GTTCATCAAGGGGTGTGTCGTGGACGTGGACGTTGACGTTGTGGCGCCCGTCGACACGGAGACGGAGACCGACATTCGGGCAAGGCAAGGACAGCCGGAAAAACCAAAAAGTTTTTGTTTAACAATTGCGAGGTGGCAAATAAAACAGTGCTCGCTGAAAGGCTAAATGTCCATGCCGAGAGCCGCCTCCCCTTCGAGGCGCTTGGCCGACACGGCAGGACACGGCCCGGACGCAGCCTGCGGTGGCGGCGGACCGGGCCACCCGCCGGGGCAGTCGGATGAATGGATTCAATTTCAAGCATTACCGCCATCGCGTCGCGCCGCACCGCGTCCACTCCACTGGGGGATGCTCGGCAGACGGGCCGCTCGGAAAGGGGCGCGCCGTCCCAGTCATTCCCGTCGCCGTTCCAGTCGCTATTACCACGTGACGTGAAAGACACAAATTGAAAGGGCTGGCTGGGTGCGCGGGAAAGGCGGCGGGAGAGGCGGGGTGCAAAACAGAGAAACTTTGGCCAACGTGTGTTGAAAGAGCAAAACCCCCCGACCCGCCAGCAAACTCGGGACAGCCTTCCAGCCCAGACGGCGGCGCGGTGGCGGTGCGTCGACCCCGGGCACCCCGGGCACCCCGGGCCAGCCAGAGCAGGGCAGAGCGGCGCACGGCGAGCTGGATGCAGATCGCGCAGCCTGGCGCATCCCGGCGCATCCCGGCGCAGCAGCACCAAGCCCGGCGGTGGCGGCGGCGCCCGGAGCAGGTTCATCTCGTTACGGGGGTTGGTGCCTTTTAATTGCATTGTCCGCCAAGGTTCGGCGTCGGCCATTTGATGGATTCAGTCCTGTTTTCAAATTTCGCATCGACGACCTCCGAAGTCCCTGTCTTGCCTTGCAATGTCTGTGGACTTGCAGGCTTTCTAGGTCCACAAGCTCCTCAGAGGCTCCGCAGACGTGGAGGGCCATGGCGTCGGCTGAGAGGTCGAAGTGACCCGAGGGATCGTCACCGCCGGAACACGGACCGCCACGACGAGCTGGACGACGCTGCCGCGCCGCTCCCACGACGAATCCGTTCCCCAGGACCGCGACGTCGACGTCACGACCCTTGCCGCGGTGCGTCGGGCCGTCGGGCCGCACGGCCTGCGGGTTCCGGGGAGGTGGGCGGCGGGCGCGCGGGGCGGCGGGGCGGCGGGGGCCCGGGCCGCGCTCGCCGCGCTACGACTAGGTGGTGCTGCTCGCCGGGCCGGCCAGTGGCCAGTGGCTCCCAGGGTGGCGTCGTGGCGGTAGTAGCAGGCAGTGGCAGTGGCACGAGCAGTGGCACGGGGACCAGGCGCCGCTGGCAGGTTGGCAGGTCCATTCTTTGGCGGACTCGTAAATCAAATTGTTCAGAACGTTGGTTCGTGCTGTCCCGCCCCGCCCCGCCTCGACCCGCCGCGCCCCGTTGGTGCTGACTGCCGTACTGCCCACCGCCGACCGGCGAGCGCCAAGTTCAAAGGACTGCAGCCCTGCGAGGAATGGGCGCGCCCGTCAAAAGGTGGGTGAGTGCTAGTTCGTGTGGGCTCCGCTTCGCCGCTTCGCCGCTCCGCCTCCAGGGTCCGGGGGTCCGGGGCGTCCTCCGGCACCAGGTGGCGGTCTCCCGATAACGACAACGCGCGCCAACGCCCCCGGCGGACCGGCCGGGCAGTCATCACCGAGCCGTTCTGGCGTCGATATTGATTGTGCCGTGCCTCGGCGTGCCTCGCTTTGGCTAGGGGCTTGTAGCGCTTGTAGCCAAAGCGAGGCAGAGCCAGGCAGAGCGATGCTGGCGTCCAGGGAAGTGATTTCGGGAACAGTGCGTCCGACGCCCCCCCCCCTCTCTCTCTCTCTCTCTCTCTCTCTCTCTCTCTCTCTCTCGGCGAGGGCGAGAGAGAGACGTATCTCCCGTTCGGAATCAGTCTGCAGAACGGGCTGTAATCATTTCACGAGCAATTTCGCGACGCGACGCCCAGCGCGACTTTAGGGTCGACTTTAAGGTCGACTTTAGGGTCGACTTTGGGCGCATTCAGAGATTCAGAGTCCGTGCTGCCGCTGCTGCCCGGCCGGCCGGCCTCGGCCACGCCGTCGCGCCGCTCCATTGTTTCTGGCCGTAATAGGCCGAGGCCGGTCAAAGCGCGCCGTTTAAGAGTTGCCGCGTACTTTTGACTTTTCGGCGGGTATGATCGTCAGAAGTGCCGCGCTGCCGCGCTGCGCTAACGGGATGGATCGCGCCCCCGAAGTTCGGCCGAGTTGTGCAGATCGGGCGTCAACTAGCGTCAACTAGCGTCAAACGCGTCAAGCGGCGCCGCCGCCCTCCGCCCGGCCCTTCGTTAGCGCCACGCGACGCAACGCGAAGCAACGCGAAGCGACACTCTGCATGCGCTGCCATGGCCGCGCCGCACCGCGCCGCCCGCTTTGCGACGCGATAGCCTTGTTCGCCTCGCGCACGCAGCGCACGCGGCACACGCCCTCCGGCCCTATTCCCGCGCGGCGTCCCGCTCCCTGTTCCGGCCGCCCCCTCTCTCTCTCTCTATCTCTCTCGCACTCACGTGGCCTCCCGTAAGGGTGTGAGAGAGAGAGACATTCGGCACCGCGCTACAGCGCTACAGCGGTACAGCAACTAGCGGCTCTCGATTTCGGCGCGGAGCGGCGGAAAAGCGCGAGGTGTATTGTACACTGTGGACAGCATGCTGTTGCTGCAGGCTGCACCACTTTCTCCGAGGCCGTGGACCGAGCACGGCGATAAAGTGCCCTGCGGAGTGCGGCTCGCCACGGCGCCACGGCCCGGCTGCTTGTATTTCCGGCTCCTGAAGGGCGAGGGCCCCTTACAGTGCAGCGGCCGGCGGTGGCGTCCGCGCGTCCGCGGGGACACGCTCACTCCTCCCCAGTCCCGGTCACTACCCTGCGGTCGGGCTCCTCCGTCTCTCTCTCGCACTCATGCCGCGTCCCGCATTGGTGCGAGGGAGACAGAGCGACGAAATCGATCCTCGGAATCGGTCTGCCGGCCGCTGTGGCGCGACGCAACCGGAAAGGCGGCGGTGTTTTCGAACGCGCCAACCCAGCGGGGACCCAACGGGGCCGGCCAGGGCCATCGCGACAATTTTTCGCGGCAGCGCGCGAGTAAAGTGCAGCCACGCCGACGTCGCGCCGGCCGGCCCAGCCAAGCGTGCGCCTCACCAGCCCGCCGGCCCGATCGGGCCACCGCGGCTGCAGTCCCATTCTCATTTTGGCGCCAAAACATGCCGGCACACGGGCCCTTTCGGGTTAAAAGGCGTGTAAATCCTGATTGGTCGTGAGGCTGGCCGCGCCGCCTTCCAGGTTGTTGCGCAACGGCCGCGACGACGCGCAGGGCCTTTTGCCGCTGCCTGGCCGCCGTGCTGTGGCACTGTGGCGCGCCTCTGGGCGCCTCTCCGTTTTCGCGGCCCCATTGGCGGCGCCACGGTAATCTGCGTACAAAATGAGTTGGTCTTTGTGGGGGGGGGCGGGCGGGCGGGGCGGACGGGGCGGGGCGGGGCGGGGCGGGGCGGGGCGTGCAGAGTGACAATTTGGTACAGGCACAATCTGGGGCCGGGACGGGTGTCAGTGCCACAAGCCGACAAGCGACTTGGGGCAGCACGGACTGGCAGGCAGCCGGGCAGACAGCACTGACGAACGTTCAAATTTGCGTAGGTCTTCATCCGTGAATTTCGGCCGGTACACATCGCCATTTTAAAGAAATCCACGCGTAAGGTAGACAGACAGACACGAAGACAGACGGCGGTGTGGGTGGCAGGCGGACATGCAGGCGTGCACAAGGCGGACAGACAGACAGACAGACAGACAGACCGGCCGGGGGTAATCTAGCCTGGCCTGGCAGGGCAGGCGGTCGCCGCGCCGCTGGCGATGTCGGCGTGCACACGCCGTGGTGGGCGTCGTCGCGGGCCCAGCGGGCGTGGCGGGCCCCCAGAAGCGCGTCACCGACTGGGCCGCGGTGTGCCGTGGTGTGCCGTGGCGCCGCCCTTTCTGCCGAGCCGCCGAGCCAAGGAAGTACATGGAAAGTGAAACACGCCGGCACGCGTAGCCATGGCGTAGCCCAACGCAGTTCTACACCTGAAGCACTGCAAACTTCTCCCGACACACGCGCGCGCGCACTCACACACGCACACATGTTCACGAGTTTAGGGGTAGCAGGGGCTGGTGAAATTAGTCAGAGAATTCTGTCTCCGCCATACAAAGGCACACACTCGCACACCCACTTGGGGGTATGAGTGCTGCCGAAAGCCCGAGAGGGTGCAGGGGGAGGGGTAAGAGGGAGCGGCCGAAATGCTATAAATTCAAGGGAGTGCGGAGTGCCGAGTTGGGGGAGAGGGGGCGGAGGCTGCTGAGCTGGCTGCTGCACAATTCACAATCCACGAGGGTACCACTGAAGCATTTTGCAGGGCGGGGCCGCCGCTAGCTGCGCGTCGCTGCGCCTGGGCGGCCTGGGCCTCTCGGTGCCTCTCGGTGCCCGATGCCGGCCGGGCGCGCGCTCGCTGGGCCGTGCTGGCCGGGCTGCGGCCGGAGCGCTTATTGACAAACACGTTTGGACCGTCATGCGAGAATGGCGCCTCATTTGACGAGGGACGCGCGGCGCGCGCGGCCGGTCGCCCCACGGCCCCACGGTGTGGGCCCCGCACCGCACCGCATGCGTGGCTGGGCACGTATTTGGACCAAGGTTGGCGGGAAAGGCCTGCCCAGCCTATGGCTGCCCATGGCCCTCGACGGCTGGATGGCGACTGCAAGCCGCGATGAGCCTTTTCGGTGATCTCCGCGTCCGTTTCCACAGGAGCACCGCGTGGCTGGGCCTGCTCGTCCTGCTGCTGGCTGCGACGCCCTCGCTGCAGCGCGGCCAGGCCGGCCAGGCGCGCTGGTCCCCGTGGCCCCAGGACGGCGGCGGCAGTGGTGGCGGCGGCGGCGTGGACGACGCCTTCCCCGCCGGCGCGGGCACCACGACCAAGACGACGACGCCGCCGCTGGTCACCAAGGCGCCCATGGGGTGGTCGTGGAACGACCTGACGACGTCGCTGCTGCGCTGCGAGGCGTCGCGGGGCGCCGAGTCCGCCTTCATGCGCCTCATGGAGTCCGTGCTGGACCAGACCAGCCACCTGCAGGACCCGCTGATGCAGCACATGCAGCGCGAGAAGTACTTCCTGGTCGGTAAACGTTTTCACGAAACACAAACACCGAAATGGAACCCTCTTTGAGTGAACCCTACCCCGGCCTGCCCGCAGGATGACGCCGACTTCGTGGTGGTGGGCGGCGGCAGCGCGGGCTCGGTGCTGGCGGCGCGGCTGTCGGAGCGGCCGGACTGGAACGTGGTGCTGCTGGAGGCCGGCGGCTGCGAGCCGCCCTTCACGCAGGTGCCTTCCTTCTACATCTCGGACGGCGACAGCCGCCGCGAGCTGGACTGGGACTTCAAGCTGGAGCCGCAGGCCGAGGCGTGTCTCGGCCACGAGGACGGCATCTGCCACTGGCCCAGGGGTGAGGCATACGTTCGTGGGGTCATACGTTCGGTTCGAGTCCCATTTAGCGACTCTGGAGCTAGAAACGCGTCTAGAATTTTTGCCGCCTTCGCCGGTCCTCTGGCCCACTGTGCGGCGGGTTGGCAGTGCAAGGCCTCACAGTGAGGCTGCAGGCTCAACGCTCGTGTGTTGGCATGCCTGCAGGCAAGGTGCTGGGCGGCACGTCCACCATCAACGGCATGATGTACATGCGCGGCCACCCCCGGGACTACGACCGCTGGGAGGCGGACGGGCTGGCCGGCTGGGGCTGGCGGCACGTGCTGCCCTACTTCAAGAAGTCCGAGGACAACAAGGAGCTGGGCCAGGGCCACGTCGAGGTGAGTCACGCACTGCACGGGCCGGGCCAGGGCAGGCCAGGGCCGGCCGGCTGGACTGTGCAGCACGCCGGGCTGACGTATGGCGCGCGGCATTCGAAGCCACGGCCGGCGCGCGCCGCCGCATGCGGAAGAAGGAAAAGGGAAGAAGCAAGGAGCGGAAGCGTCGCCTTGCTTCCTTGTTTACAAGGGCTGATCCACTGGTTGTTTTCGCGTTGCTGCGGAACGGGGGCCAATTTACTCAGGACCGGGAGGGGAGGGGGGAGGTCCGTCTGGGCTCGGCGCGTGGTCACCCCACGGCCGGGCCGCCGGGCCGCCGGCCTGCGGACTGGGAGCGTGTCCGGTGTCCACAATCAGGCCAAACGAACGAAGACAAGCGGGTGGCGGTGCAGGCGGTCAAGCAGTCCGGACCTTCCCCAAGTTGGCTGGTTTGGCTCGGCTGGCTCGCGGGCCGGAAATTGAAGAGGCGAGGCGCTGCGAAGCGCGCCGCGGTCACCATAAATACCGCGCGAGCGGCGAGACCGCGGCGCTACTTTCGCGAGCGCCGCCCTGGCCGTGCTGGCCCTGGCCGTGCTGGCCCTGGTCCTGGACGACGCGACGCGTCGACCTCCGGTCTGGAATTGCAAACTCTTCCGCAACGTGCACCGGGACCCGCGCCACGACGCGCCCCACGACGCCCACCACGCCTTCGGCTCCCTTTGCCTGCTTTTGGCCCGCTGCCGCGGCGTGCCTGGCCGTGCCGGTGCACCAGCACCACTCTGAAAGGAACGGTTTTCCCTTTGGCTGCTTTGACCTCCCCGCCGGGCCCGACGACTAGACGCGGGGCGGGGGCGAGTCGGGTGTAAGCGCGGCGGGCGCGGTTACCCCGGGCCAGCGGCGCCAACCAGCCGAGGCACCGAGGCGCAGAGCGCAGCGTCTTACGGACATGTTCGTCTCGGGAGATTGTTTGCTCTGTGTGCCGTCGGCCCGGCCCAGCCCCGCCACCACCCCCTCGGCCGTTGCAGGAGAACGTGCCCGGGCCGTGCGCAGCGCACTGCCTCGGCACTGCCTCTCTCGGTGGTGCGGCCTCAGGCCTAGCAATGCCGGCAAAGTCGGACCGTAGTGCGTGCGAAGGGCACAGAAATACCCCCACCCCACCCCCACCCACTCCCCCCGCCGGCCTCCTAAAATCCCGAAGCCAAAGCCATTCTGTGAAATCTGCTTTCTTTCCCTTTCATCGCATCACGGCCAGCACTACCCCCACCCTCCCCCTCCTCGTCCCCGTCTAACGACGACGGCGCTCTCCGCCCCGCGCCGCCCCGCACCGCGGTGGAGTTTGGCGCCGCCTCACCTGGACCGCCCCTTGCCAGCCAGCCGCAGCGATGCGCACTCCGCAGCGGCCCTCCCAGACTCCAGCGAGGATAAACGCATTAGCCCAATGAACGCGCAGCGCGGCAACTGCAGGCCGAGTCCGAGCCCCCGCTGCCGTCGCTCTGTCTCTCTCGCACCCGTTCGGGCCACTCCATCATCAGTGCAGCAGAGCAAGAGAGACCTCCCTCTCGGAGTCAGTCTTCTGGAAGTGTGTATCCGTATCCTCTGGAAAAATCCTTGCCAGGTCGCCTGATAAATATTTCCGCCGTCTTTACGACATCGCATCGGGGTGCTCAGGGAGCTGGAGGCGGCCGCCGCGATGCTCGTCGAAGAAACACGGAGTGGGAGCAAGAACGGCGAGAACGGCGAGTCCGCCCGCCGGCCTGGCCACGGCCGCCTGGCCCGCCTTGCACCCTGCTCGCCCCGCGCGTCGTTTGTTGTTGTTTTGATGCTGCTAATGGGAGTGTATAGCGGCGCCGGTGGCGCGCTACACGGGGAAGGCGCTCGCTGCGAAACTTTTTCAAGAGCAGCCGCCCGATTCTGAAAGGATCGTCCCGTCGCTCGCTGTCCCTCTCGCATCCCTGCGGCAAGCCCCGTGAGTGTGAGAGAGACAGAGCGACGATACCATTCTTTGGGAATCGGGCGGCTGGGCCAGCTCTGGTTTCTCTCCCGGCGAGGCGTCCCGACAGGGGCGGACCCGGCCGGCCGCGAAAGGTACAATGGCGGTGGCTGGGCTGCGAGGCTGAGGGGCTGAGAGGCCGAGGGAGCGTGACGTCACTGACTCCACTGCGTCCCTGTCGCCGTCGTCGCCGTCCTCGTCACATTGTCGCGCCGTTCCGCCCACGCTGCGCTGCTTGGCAAGACAGCAAGGGGGCGGCCGCATCTCGGATGCACGGCCTGCGCAGATACGCGACTCCCGCGTAACCCGTTGCGGCGATGGCGGCCGAATGGCGGCCGAATGGCGGCCCTCCGCACTCGCCGCGTGTATTCTTCGCAAGCTGCCGCGTCCCCGTCGTCGTCGCGTCGCGTCGCCGGAATTCGAAGTGGATCTTCCGTTACATTGAAAGAGAAATGGAGACTGGGACGCGCGTCGCGGAGCGTCGTGCCGCTGTCGGGCCGTCGTGCGAGCGCCGCCGTGTTTTTGTTTTTGTTTCTGTTTCCGGCGCGGGCTAAACTTTGACGGCGACAAAGGCGGTGCTGCTCGGCCGAGGCCGCCGAGTTCTATGCCGGTCCAAGGCCGGGGGCGGGTGGGCGCTGGCTGCCTGCTGGCTGCTTCAAGCCGGCAGGGGCGAGGGCGGCCGGCCCGCCACGCAGCCCTGCGCCGCGAGGCGTGGTTGCCTACCCTCTTTTCTGCGGGCGCTCGCAGGCTGGCTGGCGCGCCGCCGCTCCCGTGACCTCCACGCCCCGCGTTCCGCTGCATGACCATCCTCTGCCTCTGCATGACCATCCTCTGCCTCTGCATGACCATCCTCTGCCTCTGCCTGCCCAGGACGCGTTCCACTCGGCGGGCGGCTACCTGACGGTGCAGCGGTTCCCCGACCAGCCCCCGCTGGCGTGGGACATCCTGTCGGCCGGCGCCGAGCTGGGCTACCGCTCCAACACGGACCTCAACGGCAGCAACCGCACGGGCTTCACCGTGGCGCAGGCCAACGTGCGCGACGGCCGGCGGCTGTCCCTGTCCAGGGCGTTCCTCCACCCCGCCAAGGACCGCCCCAACCTCAGGGTCATCACCAACGCCATGGTGGTGCGCGTGTCCATGGACGGCGACCGCGCGCGCGGCGTCGTCTTCCACCGCAACGGCGCGCTGCACAAGCTGCGCGCCCGCAAGGAGGTGGTGCTGACCGCCGGGGCGGTGCAGACCCCGCACCTCCTGCTGCTGTCCGGGGTGGGGCCGCGGCGACAGCTCCAAGAAGCGGGTGAGTGTCCACGCCCGAACGACTCGGCGTTGGCCGTTGGCGACGCGGGGTGAGATGAGAGTGACGCCCTTTGCCTGCAGGAGTGAAGGTGGTGGCGGACTGCCCCGGCGTGGGGCAGAACCTGCAGAACCACATCTCCTTCTCGGTGGACTTCGCCCTGGGCAACGACACGCCCGGCTCCAACCGCCTCGACATGCCCACCTTCGAGCAGTTCCTGAGCAACGGCACGGGCGCCATGGCGTCCACCGGCCTGTCTCAAGTGCGTATCTCTAGACCCAGTGTCGCTGCGACAGCAGCCAAACGTGCGGACTGCGTTAGTTTTACCCCCCTGCCGTGTCCGTGTCCACTGCCCAGGTGACGGCCTTCGTGCACAGCCGCTACTCGCAGGGCCGCGGCCTGGACCTGCCCGACCTGCAGCTGTTCTTCGAGGGCGCGCTGGCCAACTGCTCCATCACGGGGCTGCCGGGCGAGCCCAGCCACAACGGCGGCCCCACCCCCTTCAGGATGATCCCCGTGGTGCTGCGGCCGCTGAGCCGCGGCGAGGTGCGCCTCCAGAGCAAGGACCCCACCGTGCCGCCCAAGCTCATCGCCAACTACCTCAAAGACCAGGAGGACGTCGACCTGCTCATCGACGGCATTCGGTAGGTGCGCCGACTCCCACGTCCTCCCTGGTGCAAGTAATGTGTGACAGAGTAGTTGACGGCCCGCTTCGCAGGTTCGTCCAGCGGCTGGCCAACACCTCGGTGATGCAGGAGCTCGGGGTGCAGCTGGTGCTGCCGGCCACGCCCGGGGCATGCGGCGACCTCGCCCCGGACTCCGACGACTTCTGGGAGTGCCTCATCCGCCACCGCACCAACCCCGAGAACCACCAGTGCGGCTCGGCGCGCATGGGGCCGGACGGAGGTAGCCTACCACACTTTTCTACTGCTTTCGCTGAGGGGCCTCGTGTTTCTAAGTGCTTGTACCCCGCTGTCCGCAGACCCCGGCGCCGTCCTCACCCCCCGGCTGCAGGTGCGCGGCGTGCGCGGCCTGCGCGTGGCGGACGCGGCCGCCATCCCGCACGTGGTGAGCGCCAACCTCAACGCGGCCGTCGTCATGGTGGCGGAGCGCGCCGCCGACTTCATCAAGGAGGACTACCCCTTGTTCGCGGACCGGCGGCGGCCACCTCCCCGGGGCATGAACCGCGGCATGGGCATCAACAGAGGGTCCCTGCTGGGAAACCTGCTTGGCGTCGTGCGGGGCGCGGGTGGCGCGGGCGGGGGTGGGGACTCATCCCAGTGAAAAATGAGTTGGCGAAACGACGTCTAGTCTCGAGGCTGTGGCTTGGTCTGTGCCACCAGCGTAGCACTTTCCTCGATAGTATTTAATTGCATTTTTTTTAAGTCTCTGATAGAGTTAATTTATTTTTAGTGTAAGAGGTGAGTTGTGGGATGGAAGAAAACGCATGGTCGAGTTTATGAGAAAATAATTTATTGATAAGCTGATGGAAGTTGCTTTGTTAGGGCTAGTGAAACTTTAGCACCTAACAACGATGATGATAATTTTTGACAATCAAAGAGATTTCATGATATGTACAGCAATTGCAAGAAATAAATGAAAGAAACCTTTATCACAAAGCTGAATTGACCATAATACACAACGCTGCAATACAGAAATCTCATCCTGTAAAATAAGTCATTATCGAAAAATCTTAATGTAGTTCAACTGAATACAGTGCGTACATATAGTGACCTTGGCAGTAAATATGACCTAGCCAAACACTCCCTATGCATTATTTTTTCCTATTCCATTCCATTCTGAGGAGAGGAAATAATAAATGAATTCACAATTTATTACATCTGCTTTCTTAACTGGATGGTGTCACAGATGAGACTGTAACATAAGACTAAAGTTGAACACGAATAATGACAAAACTTACATAATGAACGGACAAGCATTCTTCTTTGAATGAGAATCAGTAATAACTATTTGTGTCCTAAATCAATATTTTTCCACATGATTATCTTCTGTGGATTAATATATAAACTAATTGAAGATAGACCTGAAAACACAGGAGCATCTTCCATACTCTGACATACAACCAATTCTATAACACAAAAGCATATTTAAATGCAACGTTTCATAACCATTAAAATTGTGCTATTCATAAATGGATTTGCAATACAAAACTGGACTTTGGCATTGACTATAAACATCATATAAACACTACTCCTCATACAAGAATGTACATATTACAACCAATAACCAGAGAAATTTAAACATGAAAACAACTTAGGTAAATAGACAAGACGTATATTGCTGCATTAATTAAATACACAAAATACAAAACACAATGCAATCCTAAGAAACCATAGGCAATTTATAACAGTTCAAGTAGTTCCTGAGCGCCATCGAAAGAAGTTACGGATTAGTCTGCTCAAGTTTGTTCCATTTGGCCATGAAAACTTCAGGGGTGTGTGAAGAAATTGGCCAGATCTCATATTAAAATTCTGGCAAAGAAGCTGGTGCTTAACGAGTCCGAACAGAAAAAGACAGTAACCATCAACAAATCTAGGCTCACCTAAGCGAAATAACAATTTTGTCCAAGCTAAACTGCGATGCCTTACTTTGTTATTATTATTACTTCTTTCAAGTCCTACAACATGCAGACAGATAGTCCATAACAGCATCGATCTTCAAAACAAGCTTAGATGGAACACAAAATAACTTATACACAAAACGGGAAACCATGACTTTTTTTGTAGGCCATTACATCCAGAGCAAAAAACTGTTCACCACAAGGCTAGCACACAAATACAATGCTGTTAGGTTTACCAGTAAAATCATTTACATTTGCAGTCTCTAGAGAATATAAAACCCACCTTAACATCTAAAGCATCACAATGAGCAAGTATCAGGCGTCAAAGCATCCTAAGCAACCCCACCAGTATTTCAATGGTGAGGTGAAATGACAAGATGCACTAATAGATTTAGCAAGAGTACGGCCATGCTCAAAACACATTTCACATTTCATATTGAAAGGCAAAAAAGCAGACCCTTCAAACTAGTCTTTCAAGAAAGCAATTCCTCAATCCATTCCACATACATAGACAAGTCTTGTGGGACCATTCTGAAGCACTTAAACATGCATGCTGACTTTTAGAATTAATTTACACTTGTGAAAGCAGAAACTAAAACAAACAACAGGAATAAAATAAAAAAAATCTTAAAATAGGAGGAGGGTTGGCGTCAGAGATTACCCATTAACTTAATTTAACTCCCAATTATAAAACAAAGCAGGAAATGTAAAAAAAGTCCAATCGAACAGGTTTATCTCTTGTTGGAACATTGGTAGCTGTGAAAGATTAAAATAATTAAAACAGAGCCAATTGCATGAAATTAAAACAATGTTTGTTGTTTTAGTTCTTTTCTACTGATCTTATCTGACACTTCACAAACCTATTTTTTAAAAAATGGTAACTGCCCTACCATTTACACTACTGTTATTACATAGTCTTTACAATATTATTACATCTACTATGGACTGACTCAGAATAAAAGATGAAAAGGAGGGGAAAATAATCATAAAATAGTGATTGGTCAAAAACCTGAAATATACAAACAAAACTACACACATCACAATAAAATACATGATACACACATAGAGAGGGCACAGCAACAACTACCCTCAGACAAATTTTCACTACTATCACTTGGAATTCGGTATGGAGCACTGTGGGAGTTGTGATAACAGATGATCACTTCACTCAATAGAAGACTATCAACATCCACGCATATATATCAGTGTATAGTTTTATATATATATACAAACATAAATACAAAAAAAAAAAAAAATCTGACACAGTATACAGTAAAACCCCATTACAATGAATATGCATCAATCTGTTCGGACTGCAGCCTCATTACTGTAGTTGACATTTTATTGGAATAATTAATAAGTATACCATTGACCCTGGGCCTGCAATCCTCAAATTGTAATGGGGTTTCATTGTACAAATATTCGCAACTCAAGGAAGAAACCACCACAGTTATTATGCTCCTAATTTAAACTTCAAAAGAGATATTTCATGCCTAAAAAACCACAAGAAACGTTGTAATGAGGGGAAGCCACAAATCAACAGGTACAAATCACATATGGGATTATGTCTTACTCTAGCAGAAATTTCAATATGCACGGCAGAAAAATACCATGTGTAACATTTCCATTCAACCAAACAGTGTTTGGTTGCCCACCACTGAAATTTAAACATGATGAGTATTCTATTCTAGCTGTCAAGGCTCACACCTGCAGTAGCACAGCAAGGATTCTGTACAGCCTAAGCAAAAATTTGTACTGAAGCAGCACTTCATTGAACTTTCTATCCAAAGAGTGGCACACTTTTTCACATCCATCATAAAACAGTAATTGCAAATTCTGGAAATGCATTGAGAACAGAAAGTCAAATAACTAATAATGGTTTGACAATAAGAAATTAATTACAGGGCAGGGACACATGCTCTTACAGGTAGACAGCAAGACAAAATCAGTAAAATTTCATTAACACAGATAAATTTATCAATGAAATTGACTGGACATCCTGCTTCTGCGGCTCAACAACTCAGAAAAACAAAATGGGCATGTTCATACATAATTTTAAAACTTGCAAAAAAATACTGTTGTAATTTACGATGTAAAATTGTCTTCAAAACCCTAATATAAATACTAAAGAGCTGATCATCATTATGTTTAAAAGTATAACCTTCTTAATTGATAAATACTCACAAATAATGTCAACATAGCCACAGCTTAAAATTTCAAAATTACAAAATTAGTCTTTGATGTGCTACTGTCATCTTAGATCCAAACATAATGGAAGATAAATTCTGACAATACATAGAGCTGCATTGTCATACTACAACAGAACATGTAGGAAAGTTGTGCGTGTGCACACAAACTCAAGGAACAAAGCACATCACTTCAAAATCAACTAAATTTTTTTTATGGTCAAGTGCCAACCAAATAAAGCTGAAATGTTCGATTCCATGACATCACAGATGATCCACTCTGCTTGTACTATCATACAGCAGCCTACATTTCTTCAGCCATTTGTTCAACAAAGTTGGTACTTGATGAAATCTTAGAAACAGCCAAACATACTACAACTGATAGTAATGAGTACTCACAAGGGGAGGTACTTCCATTCATTCTATAGAATTTCAAAACATTCATGAAGTGGCCAAACTCGCAGCTCATATAACACAAAATGCTTCATAAAGAAGTTATTGACAGCACTTATTTTTTTTCTTGGATGGTGGTTTGCGAATGTTCACAGTTCCCTGGTCAGCTTGTTTCTCTTTGGTTTCTTGTTTTGCCCTCAGCACTTGCTTTGTGATTGCCATAAACATCTAAAAACAGGAAATCTGTATGTGATACACTCAGTTTTCAAAACAAGTTGCAAGACAGTCAAACAAAAAGACAACAAACCTCTTCAACGTTGATATTATCCTTCGCACTTGTTTCAAACAACTGAATATTCATCTGATCTGCAAACCTCTGAGCGTCTTCAGTAAGAACCACTTTCCTATCAGGGGCATCATTTTTATTACCAACTGAAAGACACAAGAGAAAAAAATATAATTAGAAAGGGTTGCTAATATGGGAGAAGGTAAAATAGACTAATCACTTACCTAATATCCTGTTCACAACCTCACAATTCTGCTCAATTTCATGGAGCCACCTCTTCACATTGGCAAATGAGTCACCGTTTGTGACATCATAAACTACAATGACACCATGAGTGCCACGATAGTAGCTGAGGAACCAATGAATGTATTAGAACCACAGGTAACAGATAGTAACAGATAGTGGATGAATAAACTTACGTTGAAGTAATGGTTCGAAACCTTTCTTGACCAGCCGTATCCCATATTTGTAATTTCACTTTTTCTCCTTCTATGTCAATTGTTCGAATTTTGAAATCTACCCCGATTGTTGTGATGTAACTGCCTGAGAAGGTATTGTCAGCAAACCTCAAGAGCAATGAACTCTTTCCAACACCTGAAAAATGGCAGAGAAGTTTTATGACTCTGGTTTTTGCAAAGAAACCAAACAGCTGTCAAAAAACTTAATGAACAAGATAATTAAATCAGAAAATTCTCAGAGAAATTATTTTAAGGATATCTCTATCTGTAGTGAATAAAATGAATTACAGTTGATATTGACAGTGAATGAATTGAAGCCAGGCATACGTTGTACGAAGTTTTTAGAGCAAAGAAGTAATGCGTGAGGTGCAAGAAGATACTTGAAATAAGAAAGATTTGACAACAATTATGAAATGGGTTACAGAAAAGTGAAAAGACATGTAATGAAACATATGAGTAAAAGGCCTTTCATGACAAATTAACCTATACTATTGTGATGTCATACATCATTAAAGTAGAAGAGAATGCCCAATGTATAATTGACCGGCATCGTGAGGAACGTTACAAGAAATAAATGGATAAAACTGATGAAACAAGTCAAATTTTACTGGAGAAATACACTTGCCACTGTCTCCAATGATGAGAAGTTTGAAGAGGTGGTCGTACTCCTGTACCATGATTGACACAGGGAACTAGGCTCTTTGAAAAAAAACTAAACAGACACAACACTGGAGAGGGGAATGAAGATGTAAATAACAATATTTTCTTGCGTTACAATACGCATGTGTGCTTTGTAAACTGATTTCACGACATAAACTGCTAATTTCCAGCAAAAAAATGAATCACTCCGCCCAGCGACTTCCTTTTGTTTCCCACGGCCCTTTGTTTTCGTCCTTCAACTGTTCGTTTACCAACTTCACCTCATCAAAGAACCTTCTAGGTCGCTTTTTTTAAAAACAACTATTCAAAAATAAAACCATTCAAAGTTATTTTGGGGTTTTAGTTGAATAATAAGGTATGAAAAAGGGAAAACTGATCGGATTAACTTGGGAGGAAACGTAGATCGGTCAAACGTTAAACGTCTCACATTTGTCAGCTTTGACTCTAACTATAACCAACATAATAGACACTTTGCACATTAATACCTACATCTGTCACCTGCAAATTTTCCATTTAAACTTCAAAGCATATTTGCCCGAACAAGAAATAATGTTTGATGTGCAGTTTACAAACCCTGCAAGATGTCATACCGGTAACTAATTGTAATGTATTTATATGCTGGTGGTGGCTATGCAGAGACCCCTTTCACAAACAAACGTATTTGAAATTTGGCACGTTAAAAGTGTAATGTAAGGCCAAAGCCAATGAGTGAATAGTGACCGGTCTCTGTTGTCGAAGAGAAGTTAAATTGGAAGTGTTCATTCTACTTCGTCTAATTGGATAACTGGTTGGTAAGATATCTCTTTTGCATGAACCTCTTTTGATGCACCATGTCGGCGAAAAGCAAACGTGCTTTTTCCACGTTGTTAACCTTCATTGTGTCATTTGATTTGTTTTGTTAGAAGCACCATGGCTAGTTTGTTACAATTTTATCGTTGCTGCCAATTTTGTTGCTGCGTTCTCTACTATTCTGTTACCTGCAAATCAGTCACCCTTTTGTGTCATATTTAATTTAGATTCTGTAAAAGAGTGTGCCCATGAATAAGTACTGCTGAAAACCTTTGTCAGTGAGTGAGTCAGAGTCACTGCAAGGGATCTGACTGAAGTAGCTGCTTTGGACTCGGGAACGTTTTCAGGTGTCAGGAGCCGATTGCTCCCATACTTTGGGATCTTAAAGACCATTTCAAGAAAGAATTTTCGGCACCCACAGTTCGTGCTAAAAGTCACTACAACGCCCTAAAATGAAAGTTCAAGCTCAGGGCCGGCCCGTTTTGGCCAAGCCGTCGGACGGCGGCCAGTGGCCAGTCAGTCGGGTCACGCGGCGAAAGTGCGTGTGTCACTTCGAGTTGTCACTCCTAGTGTTGCTAGGCCACTAGGCCGTTGGCATTGCCACCGCGGGTTATACCGAAATCCACCCCACCACTGTTTGGTCAAACCTGAACAGTAAGGAAATCAACCTCGTGAACTGCACGATCTTGCGGAATCCCTGTTTTCCTGCCCTCTTCTCGTTCCTTTGTTTCTGTTTCTGAGGGTGGCTCACTCATCCCTGGTGCACCTTGCATGGGTTGGCGCTTGCTCTGGCAAGCCTTTGGGGACTGTGGCGACTCCTCTGGTGTAAAGGTCAGGCGTGCCTGGCTCCAGTTGAGCCTCCAAACTTCTAGTGGGCCTCTAGCCAGCTTCTTGTCGACTTGTCGTACTTGCTCGTCTGCGCCTAGTGAGATCCCCAATGTCGTTAAGTCTAGCGAGGGCAAGCGAGCGAGTTGCCTCTTCAGAGTCTCTCGCAATGCCAGAAGGCCGCTTCCGAGCACCGTCTCCGATGACCCTCCTAGCCAGTCCCCACTGAGCTTGTACGCGGGCGCGGGCACTTGCGAGATGTCCTGGGGTATTTGTGCTCCACCCCCAAAAACAAAAACAACGAAACGAGGAAAGGATAGGCTCGGATGGTCAGAGGTCCTGCGATGTGGCAGGGGTAATGGTGTCCCGCACGGTGCTGTGGGTCCTTGGAAAGCCTCTTCTGATCCAATATATTTCATTTTCAATTTTTAATAGGCTGGGAAAATTCATAAGACCTTTTCAAACTAAAACAATTACCATGGCAAATTGTAATTTCTGCTCTTAAATTTTTTCGTCGGGAACTAAGAATCATCTGCTTTCATGGACGTTCTTTGAAGATAAATTTTTTGGTCAAGTTTATGAAAATTGGTCAATTTTCAACTTTTATTTTAGGGCGTTGTAGTGACTTTCAGCACGAACTGTGGGTGCCGAAAATTCTTTTTTAAGGTGGTCTTTAAGATCCCGAAGTACGGGAGCAATCGGCTCCTGACACCTGAAAACGTTCCCTTGTCAGTGTCTGTTAGATTAGATGTCGATTCTAGATCGCTTTGGCACGTTGTATCTTGCACAGTGTGTAAGTGTTTGGCTCATTGATTCTGTGTGCCCCTATATTTGAAGTTTTCTTTCTTTTTATTATTTATTCCCAACTGTTTAATTGGTGCTCAAGCTTCTTCTAGTATTTATTTTAGGATTCTTGCTATGGTGCCTCAAGAGATTTAATATTCTGTGCGTATCACTTTCATCTGCCTACAATCTTGAACAACAATTTCTCAAGAAAATTGGGATCTTATGTGGTCAACTTTCCCTCTACATCCTCTTAATTTTTCTGTATTTATACTCACAACAGATACTTTCTTCAAACATGCCTGAGCGAATAGCCACTTGTAGTGGCGGAATGCCTTTACCAGGTGAAAGTCCAACTCCACAACAACGAAGGGCACCGAACATTAGTTCCCTGTTTCGCTCTCAGTCAATTAATTCTTTACGCCCAACTGAGGTGGAAGAGTCTCGACGAGACAGCTCAAAAATAGCAAGGTTTGCAATTTTATGGAATGTCAATTCAAATGTGGGTTTCGGGCTAACTTAATTAGAAGTGTGCTACAGGCTACTCAATGTCTGTAAATCAACAAATAAAACTTGAGATTCATTTGGGAATACTGACAGTGCAGACTTTTCATAGTTTTGCTATATTTCCACAGTTTTATTTTCTCAATTATTCAGATGACTGTGTACTACCACCTCTCAAACCAAACGTAGCAAGCTCAGTTCTGCCTTGTAGATTTGAAATGTTGAGTAGCTTGTGAGTGATTAGAAATTTTGTTTATCTTGTGCATGGAGTGTGTTTTTGAGTGTGAATAAGTACGTAACTTCCTCCAAATATCTCATTTGCTTTATGTTCTCTTTCGAATTTCATTTAATTACTGTGCAATATTAAGAGTTTATAATTGTGTTTCAATATTTTTTTTCAGTAGCCGGAAGCTATCATCTGACAGAACTCCTGTTACTCACTTTTGTACCCCAAAGAGGAGAAGCAGCAATCAAAGCATGGTAGTGAGTCGCAACAGCATGGGCACGGCTCGCCGTGGCCTGGATTCCTCTCACCTCAATTCAAGAGCTTCAACTCCACTTGCTGTGCCCCTCCAGCGGCATAGAAGTGAAGCAAGTCTTCTACCTCCTCCCAGCACGCCCAATGGCAAGTCCCACAATGGAGTGCCAATGGCAACGCCAGAGTGCTACAGTCGAGTACGCCTCGAAACGCCAACCCCCAGAAGACGCCTGGCTAATGACACATCCGGTATGTGTGAAGAATCAAGCAATCTAACTGTGGGTGTTAGAGTGAGACCCCTCAGCCAACGGTAAGTTTTCATAGTATGGTTACTCAAGTGCTTGCTACAGTTTTTTGTGTGTGGTTTGATATAAAATCTTTATAATTATTCCTTTCAGAGAGCAGAACGACAATGCAGTTAGCAATGTGGTGTATGTGGGTGGCAATGAAATCCAAGTAACTTGTGATACTGGAGCTGGAACAACACACAGATTCACTTATGATCACTGTTTTGCCTCTGGCGATCCTGACTTGCCAAATTATGCTTCTCAAGAGACTATATTCTCTGCAATGGTCTTACCCCTTATTGACAAATCATTTCAAGGATACAATGCCTGTCTCTTTGCATATGGTCAAACAGGGTCTGGCAAAAGTTACAGGTAATAATTAAAGTAATAATGTGATGTCTAACTTTATTGACTTCTGCTGTCATTGCATGTTAACTCAATTGTGTATCTATCCGCTTGCAGCATGATGGGTCTTGACACCGACTGTAAAAATGGCTCCATGGGTCAGGATGCTGGTATAATACCAAGATTTTGCCATGAGGTGTTCCAGCGCATCAAGTCCTTAGACGACTCCCGTGTTACAACCAGAGCAGAGATTAGTTACTTTGAAATCTACAATGAAAAAATTCATGACCTACTTGGAGGAGCCACTGTAGGAGCAGTTGGAAATAATGCTGGTGCAGATGCTAGTGTCCGCAGACCTCCACTGAAAGTCAGAGAGCACCCTCAAGATGGTCCTTACGTTGTTGATCTATCTGTTCATGGTGTAGAATCCTATTCGGACATTCAGGTAAACAATCTACTTGCCACTGAAACTCTATTTGCTGTTTCTCTAACAAGCAAAAATATTGGTACTAGCATGGCATCTGTTCTTTCATTTCTGCAGAGCTGGTTAACTGTAGGCAACAGTCAAAGAGCTACCGCGGCTACTGGCATGAATGAGAAGAGTTCACGTTCCCATTCAATTTTCAGTGTTATTCTTACCCAGACCCATCCACATGTAATGTATCACATTATTGGTCACTTCAAAATATTATTATTTAAGTTTTTAAGATGTTTGTGTTTATGTTTTATTGTTGATTATTTTTAGGGTGATGTTGAGCTTAGCCGTCGAAGCAAAATAAATCTTGTCGATTTAGCTGGTAGTGAGCGATGCTCTCAAACATGTGCTAGTGGTGACAGATTAAGGGTAAGTCCCTGCACTTCAGTTGGTGAAGATACTTATATTAGCATTTTGATCCTATCCTCCTTTAAATTTATCAGGAAGGAGTAAGCATCAACCGTTCTCTGCTAACGCTTGGTAAAGTCATTGCTGCTCTGGCTGAAAATGCAGCTGGGCGTCGCAAAGGATACGTGCCTTACCGTGATTCAGTGCTTACTTGGCTTCTCAGGGTGAGTAATGCCACATTCTACCATTTTAATTTTTTTCTCACTTGCTCTTCTAGAGAACTAGGAAGGGAAAAAAAAGCACTAAGGAGGATGAATGTTAGGTTGTTAACATTTAATACTTCATTTATCACTATGGATATCATTTGCCTGATACACTATTGTGCAAATTTGAAGATACAATATTGGTGATAACGATAGCCTTTCCATATCTATATTATTTTAGAAAATGTACAAACTCTGGCCCAATAAGTTTGGGAAATCACAAATCTCAGGCATTTACATTAGGGTACTTGCTAGTGTTATATTTACAAGCAGTGGCCGCTCACACAGAAAATGGACCTTTTAATTTGCACTTTCAGGAGTACCAGTTATCTAAATGCTTTACTCAAAGACTGCATTTATGAGGAAATTTCATATTTGACTAGAATTTAGCAAGCTCATAAATCGAATAAATTATTAGGTTGTCAGAACTTAATTGCAACTTGGAAGAAGACATTGGATTCTTAGCATCAGCCTGAACAGAAACATCTAGTTGCAATCGCTGATCTTTATATCATATCAGGAATCATATGTGAGCTACACAGTTTTCAGTCTTAACAAAGTCTGCACAGCTTCAGCTGGTTGTATTATCAATGGTCATTGGCATAGTCCATGTATATTTTGTACTCTTGTAGATTTCATTAAGTCAGCCCACTTACGTGTTGCACAGCAGACACAATATGTTAGACAGAATGTATCTTTTTAAAATAATGATTTCATGTTTGAGATAGTAATTACAATACACTTTGTAATTCCATCCTTCAGTTATGTTTTCATGGAAAGTCATCAAACTCTCTTACTACTTCTATGAACACATGGTTCACCTTATCAGTCTAGGTTCGAGTGGTGGCATTATTGCCTTGTTCCTGAAATGCTTTTGGCTTACTACACTTCAAATAAAGTTAAGGTAGTTTCTGAAATTGAATTCAAGTAATTTGTGCTAATGCCACCATTCTCTTAACCATTTTAAATATCTATGTAAACTCACTGCTTTAAAATACTTCATTAAAAAATCTTATTTTTTCTCTCTCCGACACAAGTGTCTTCCATCAGTCTTTAGGGAGAAGCCTCTGGCTTCGACTTAACATTGCCACTGTTTTCCTGGCACTCATTCTGATGTGTAGTTTGGTCATGGGGCGCACACTCTTCTTCTTCCTCAACGAGGACTGTCGAGTTTTCTTGGGACTTTTGCCGGATGTAAGATCCCAGCTTGCGTCTCTTGTTCTCCACACAGATGGGGCAGGGTTGGCTCTGCTTCTTCTGCTCTAGCTTCTTCTGTCTGTTGGCCTGGCGATGCTTTTCAGCAACTGCAAAAGAGAGAAAAGGATTCAGACTTCTTTTTCTTTGTGTATCCAATAGTTTTTACAGTGGATGAGCTTGTCATGTGGCAGGTGGCTGTCAGGGCTATTGTGGACTTGTTGATCCTCAGGCCTGGCCCCGTTTACCGAAATAGTATCCACCAGACTGAACCAGTGCATGGCATGGGGCTGCGGTGCCCGGTGCGGCACCTCGCCCCCTCCCCTCCCCCTCCCCCTCCCCCTCCCCTCCCCCTCCCCCTCCCCCTCCCCCCCCCCCTCCCCCTGGTGCACGTAGTACGTACTCGCGTACCGCCAAGCACCTCGTACTGCCGCTTCTGCTGCGGGGGTCAGTAGCTCTCGCTGCGTCCAGCACTGTAGCACTACTCGCTTTAAAGTGCGGGGCCCCCGCCAGTTGGCTGGTCGAGGCGGCACCGACCGGCCCTGCTAGCCCTGCTAGCCCACGCCCCGGTCGGCGTTTGTGCTGCCCGGGGAAGGGGTCACGCTGCGTCCTCGTCGCTCTCGCACTTGTTGGCGCAGGCCAGAGCGAGAGGCCGCGAGAACGCGACCAAGGACGCCGACGTTCCCGACCTCCCGCAAAGCGACGTGAAGCGCATGCGTCGCGACGCCGAGGCGGCCGAGGCGGGCAGGGCCTCTGGGCAGGGCCGCCGTCGTGGCGTGTGCACAGTGTGCACACACCGACGTGTCTAACTTTGGCCGCGTTTCGCGTTACGCCGGCGGTTGAGGTTGCGCCCTTCGAGCTGTATGCGCAGCCGGGCCTAGGGGTGGGGGCGGCCAGGGCGGCGACTTGCGGGCGTCGTTGGCCGCGGCGCAGTACCTCCACCCCGCCGCTCGCCACCCCATGCGCGCCTCCCCCTACTCGAGGGCCTTGGACTCGTGCTGGCCGCCCCCTCGGGCCGCCGCCAGCCCCCAGCCCGTGGGTCCAGCTGTCCAGCTAAAACTTTCCGGGGCCTCTGGCGTTTGTCTGTTCGCGGTTCGCGGCCACTGGCGGCGATGTGAGCGCGACAGAGAACGGGTTCGCCCCTCCCCTCCGGGGTGCCTGGAGCTAGAGCCCTAGAGTGGAGAGAGACGCCACCGCCAGTGCGTGAGCGCGCGCGCGCGGCCAGTGCTGCGCGTGGTTTGCCATACTTTGCTCTGCTTTGCTGCGAGCCAGTGTCTCCCCGGCTCGGCTCGGCCCGCGCGGCTAAGGGCTCGGCTTGGCTCCACTCGTACCGACGTTGCCAGATTTCCGGTCGGAAGGGATGCGCAGGACTCTGCACGCAGCGGGTGGGTCCGAGGGCTAAGTTCTTTTATTGCTTCCAAACCGTTCAAGTTAGGTGGGTACAGTAAGCGAGCCGATTGTAGTTCACAGTTCAGGCTACAATCGGCTCGCTCACTATGCACCTCTAACTTTAACGGTTTAGAAGTTTTGCCAGTAATAAGGTCTTTTGTAGCAGTAGCTAAACCGTCCTATGTTGCCACATTACACCGTTTTTCACCCAACTATGGAAAATTGTGCATCCGGATGTCTGGATCGGGGTGGCGTCTCTCTCCACTCTAGGGCTCTACCTGGAGCCTGCCGCCTGCCGCCGTGACGGTGGTGTGACGCAACGCGAAACGGTGCGCAGCACAAAGGCACGGTATGGGCTGGGCCCGGGTTCGATCCCAGGCCTCCGTCTGCCTTTTTACGGGAGCGGAGCGGGCTGGAGCTGTGCGCTGCCGGAAGCGGCAAGCGACACGCGGCCGATGTGGCTGTGACTTGGACGGCTTCAAGTCAAGGCCGGTTCGGCTGACGCGCAGTGCGCAGTGCGAACTAAACAGCAGCTGCGTCGGTGTGCCGTGTCGGTCGCTCGCTGCACTCGGCGTGGCCCTCAGAGCGGCGGGGCCGCGGGGGCGGAGGTGAAGGGAAGGCGCAGCGCAGGACGGCCTGGCCCGGCCATTTGAATTGGTTATCGCGGTGGGCCGGGCAGGCGGGCCGAGGTGGCACGGTGGCCCTCCTCGCCGTGACGCGACACCTCGAATCGTGACGAGCGTCAACACCGCGAGCGTGAGTGGACAGCCCTGCCGCGGCCACCACGGCGAGTCCTGCAGTGGCAAGCGACAACTCGCAGGAAAAGCGCCCCCTTTTCCGCCGCGACCAAACCCGCAACGCGACTGACGTGCTCGCGTGCCGCCGATATGCGATGCGCAGCGCACGCGGCGCGTGGAGTGTTTCCTGGGTCGCACCTGCGAGTGGGCGTGGCGTGGCGGCGTGCCAGTGCTCGAGTGTCGCGGGTTCGGGTATCATCTCGTTTTGGAGGACAACTGCTGCACCCCGCCACGCCACGCCACGCCACGCCCCACGGGCCGGCCTTATCGAATTTCGTTATCCCCGCTCCACGTTTGCGTTGTCGTCGTTGGCGGCGTCCGACAGGTGCAAACGCTGCAAACGACTTTCCGTGTGGCAGAGGCCGGTGCACCGACCGCGGACCGCGAATCGGGGCGGCGCGGGGCGGATGGGCGTTCGCGGAGTTGGCGGCTGTGCGGCAGGAAAGCACGCCGACGCGTTGTTTGCCCCGCCGCGTCTCAAATTTGCGAGTCCGAAGAGAATTGGCGCCTGGCAGACTCAGCCTGGCCCGAGGCCTGGCCTTGTTTTGCTTTTCCGCCTCGCCAAGTCCGCACTGCTGCTGCTGCGCCGCGCGTCGCGGCAAAACAACTCGCCGCTGTTTACTCGGCGACCCGCCTCGCCATTACGAAAATGGCTCTCGGGAAATCCACTATCCGCAGACGGAGCGAGGGAGGGGGACGGCCTGGCGTCAGAGAATGCTTCCAGTGGCGAAAAAAAATGAATCTAAAATTGAAACCAACGCAGTTTTCTGTGGCGAAAAAAATGAATTTAAAATTTAAACCAACGCAGTATTGTTTTAGTTTTTTTTCGGCCCCGTTCTTTTTGCGGCCGACTTGAGTGAGTGCCGCGGGTCGCGGGGAAGTCCGCGGTGCTTTTCCTCGTCTGTAGGCTGGCTTGGCCGGCTGGGCCGGGTTCACTACACTGATACCGCGGCATCGCGGCATGCCGCCGGCCAAGGACTTATCGTCGCTAATGGTTGGCCGCGTCGCGCGTTGCAGCCAATCAGCAGCCGGGATGCACTCGGCGCCTTTTTTCAGCCGCCAGCCAGCCAACGGCCGGTAGTAAAATGTTGACGGCCTGCGAGGCGCCAGGGCGTCGCCGTCGCGTCGTCGGGGCACACGAGGCAAGCACCGCGTTGTGCAGGACTTGTGGTGGACTAGCCCGTCCCGCCGGGTTGCCTACTTTTGTGCACTGCTCTTCCGGTGCCGCCCGCCTCGCCCGCCTCGAGGAGTGATAAGTGGAGACGGCCGCCGCGATAGGAGGCTGTTAATGAGCCGACTATCTGGCCAACCCTCGACTGAACGGGGCGCTCTCCCTTTCGGACCGACCCAAATAAAAGTTATTGAACACAAACAATCGCATTTGTGACTGACCTAATTTTGACCCTCGGCTGGATTTACATTTTGGTTCCGAGCGAAATCGTGCGTTGCTCACTGGCTGCCCAAAGTGGCGAGTACCAAAATTCACGACGAAAGTACGCAAATCATCTATTGAAACCAGAACAGAAACAAAATCAACTTTGGGGCCATCACGATTTTGTGAAATCCTGGCTTTCTCGTTCACTTTCCGTTTTGTTTCTAGCCCCTTGAAGACTCCCGGAGGCTGCGCGTAGCTGCGCGGTGCGGCCGTTGCGCAGTCAGCTTGAGCTTTCTCCGGCCCACTTGCACTTCGGCTCGCGCGCCAGACCGAGGGCCTGGGCGCTGCGCTGCGCGGCGTGTCGTCGTTAGGGGTTCCCCTGGGCGGCTAGCCTTGGCTCGCGATACCGACGGGACGCTGATGCTTTTGGGAGACGGACTTAGTCCAGCGGTCTAAGGAGTTTCAAGGCCCTAACCCAGGAACAAAATTGTTACAAGCTGATTTTTGGTACACTGGTGTAGTTTGATGCGCTGATTACGGATCCGTTGAGTCTACCGCTCTAAACCTTGAGCGTTCGCCACAATTTGAACGCAAAGGGCGTAAGTGCACTGTTTGGGTTTCCGGGTCGTGCCGACCGTAATTTTCATCCGACCAAGTCGGGAAAGGTCTCTAAATATTCGGAAGAGAAAATGGGACAGAATAGCAGTTGCACATTTTCCAAAAATAGTACCCTTATGCCCCAAACGAGGCGTTAAACGCAATATTTTAGTGCGCGCCCGTGTTCAATTTTCAATCAACTCGTCGGCGTTTCTGTGGATCGCATCCGATCGAAAAATTGGTTCCTATGAACGTTGTGCGCGCAGTCTTTCCCTGCATGTCGCTATTTTCTCCTGCACTGTACGATCATCCTGAGCTTGTCAAATCGCCCTGGAATGAACCCCTGCAGCCTGCGCGCTGGCGGCGCGCCGCCCGCCGCCGCGCTGCTCCACTGCACCCCCCTCCACTCTCGGCCTCGGCCGCATCTGGAGGCAGGCTGTTGTCTCTCTCGCTCCCTTTGTAAACGCATTAGTGCGAGAACGGTACTGCATGCCTGCCGCTTCGGAGCCCGGCAGAGCGGCCGGCTCGGATGTTTATTACGCGCAATTCCTACTTCGCAGTTTTAGTAACCAAAACAAATTTTATTGAAGGAGAGGTTTGTTGAGCTCGGTAGAACGCAGCGCGCTCTACAACCTCGCTTTTCATCCACATTTTTCGTAAGATTTCTTCCCCTTGTATCGAACGAAAGGGCCTTTGCGCGTTCAAAGTCCTACACCGAAAACGGCGGCACTTAGAAATGCCGGAAAGAAGCCCAAACGACCGCAATGCATCAAGGAACCGTTTGACCATCCACTAATTCAGTTCAGTAAAATAATTAAGCAGTAATCCTTATTTTACTATTTTCTTTCATTGTTTTCTTCCCATCTTCCACCATACTATTGCGTGAAAATGGAGCTGAAATCGCAAAATGCGTCCCGAGGAATCGTCAAGCGCTGGTGTTTCAGCTGTATGTAGGTATTTTCAGAAATTCGATAAGTGCAACGGTTGCTGAGAAAAGCTGTTGGAAAGGCAGCGGCGCACCCGGGCGCCGCCGCGCGAAGCCAGGCGGAGCGACGGTCGCGCGCCCGACGGACAAACCATCGCCAAGTCGCTCAGGTGCGGAAATCGAAAAATCGGCCCCGAGGGAACGTCAAGCACCAGTCTTTTAGCTGCACGTGGATGCTTTCGGATTTGAGCTAGGCCAAAGGGTCTGGTAGAAAATTAAATCCTACACAGGCTGCGCCGCTCAGCTGCGTGGCGCGCGCAATGAAGTGGCGCGGCATTGTCGGATCTGGACTAAAACTGGATTTACAACACAACTGTATGACCGAGCTCAAATCCGAAAGCACCCACGTGCAGCTAAAAGACTGGTGCTTGACGTTCCCTCGGGGCCGATTTTTCGATTTCCGCACCTGAGCGACTTGGCGATGGTTTGTCCGTCGGGCGCGCGACCGTCGCTCCGCCTGGCTTCGCGCGGCGGCGCCCGGGTGCGCCGCTGCCTTTCCAACAGCTTTTCTCAGCAACCGTTGCACTTATCGAATTTCTGAAAATACCTACATACAGCTGAAACACCAGCGCTTGACGATTCCTCGGGACGCATTTTGCGATTTCAGCTCCATTTTCACGCAATAGTATGGTGGAAGATGGGAAGAAAACAATGAAAGAAAATAGTAAAATAAGGATTACTGCTTAATTATTTTACTGAACTGAATTAGTGGATGGTCAAACGGTTCCTTGATGCATTGCGGTCGTTTGGGCTTCCTTCCGGCATTTCTAAGTGCCGCCGTTTTCGGTGTAGGACTTTGAACGCGCAAAGGCCCTTTCGTTCGATACAAGGGGAAGAAATCTTACGAAAAATGTGGATGAAAAGCGAGGTTGTAGAGCGCGCTGCGTTCTACCGAGCTCAACAAACCTCTCCTTCAATAAAATTTGTTTTGGTTACTAAAACTGCGAAGTAGGAATTGCGCGTAATAAACATCCGAGCCGGCCGCTCTGGCGGGCTCCGAAGCGGCAGGCATGCAGTACCGTTCTCGCACTAATGCGTTTACAAAGGGAGCGAGAGAGACAACAGCCTGCCTCCAGATGCGGCCGAGGCCGAGAGTGGAGGGGGGTGCAGTGGAGCAGCGCGGCGGCGGGTGGCGCGCCGCCAGCGCGCAGGCTGCAGGGGTTCATTCCAGGGCGATTTGACAAGCTCAGGATGATCGTACAGTGCAGGAGAAAATAGCGACATGCAGGGAAAGACTGCGCGCACAACGTTCATAGGAACCAATTTTTCGATCGGATGCGATCCACAGAAACGCCGACGAGTTGATTGAAAATTGAACACGGGCGCGCACTAAAATATTGCGTTTAACGCCTCGTTTGGGGCATAAGGGTACTATTTTTGGAAAATGTGCAACTGCTATTCTGTCCCATTTTCTCTTCCGAATATTTAGAGACCTTTCCCGACTTGGTCGGATGAAAATTACGGTCGGCACGACCCGGAAACCCAAACAGTGCACTTACGCCCTTTGCGTTCAAATTGTGGCGAACGCTCAAGGTTTAGAGCGGTAGACTCAACGGATCCGTAATCAGCGCATCAAACTACACCAGTGTACCAAAAATCAGCTTGTAACAATTTTGTTCCTGGGTTAAAACCTTAGACCGCTGGACTAACTGGGACAGCGCCGCGGGGCGGGTTGGAGCGATAAGGCAGACTGCCGTCCCTCCGTCCCATCTCGCGGCGGGTTTTACTTCGTCGTCCCGGATGGCGGGCGTGGCGCGGTGGCGCGGGGGAACCTGTTCCAGCGGCGGAAGGCGCGGGTTAGCTCGCCGTGGCGCGGCAGCGCGTCAACAAGGGCCGGGGACAACAGGCCGGGCGTGGGCGGCCGGCCCGCCATTCATGCGGCTATGAATAGCCTGACGGGGCGCTCGGCTTGCTCGCCCTGCTCCGGGAAGCGACCCACCGGAGCCCCGCGCGGCCTTGCGACCCATGACCCTGGCGGCTGGCGTGGCCGCGGCGCCCGATGCTGACGGCGACGTGATGCAGGCAAGTGGACCGAGGCTCCGCGCCGAAATTAAAGTGAAGCGCCCTGCCGGTGGGGGCCGGGCCCTGGCCGGGCCGAGCGGGTGCTTGTCGGGCGCGGCCGCGCGGCCAAGGACCTCCCCGCCGACGGAACGACGCAACCCAAGCGCGAGCGCGGCCCTTGCGCTGCCGCGCCGACACGGAGAGGGACGCGGAGTACGCACGGCGACGGCGGCGGCCGTTGCAACACGCTGCTGGCCGTTGCGCGGGGGCCAGCCGTAAAGGCCCTAAACGTGCCGGCGGGGTCAAGAGCCTGCCGCGCCACGATTGGGTGCGCCGGGCGTTGCACCGTGCCGCGCCTGCTGCGCGTCATGCAGGACCTGTACCTGTCAGTCCGCCGCGCTCCTCGGGGGCCCAGCCGCGGCCCCAGGGCTGGTCGTAGCGCCCGTACGCCCCCCGCATGGTCATGTGGGAGAAGGCGTCGGACAGGTAGGCGAGGTCCATGGTGCCGCCGTGTGATGCTGCTGCTGGCGGTGGAGGTCCTGGTCTCGGTGTCGCTGTGTCGCTGCAGACCCGATCCGGCCGCGTGCTATCGAGGCTTCATCTCTCTGCGCGGCGGCGGAGCGCTGGCCGTGCGGTCCAGGGTTCGAGTCCCGGCCGGGACTTGTTGGCGGCGGAGCTGCGCGCTGCGCGGCCTGGAGCAGCTGCTGGCTATCCGTCCGTGCGTGCGCGGCGTGGGCGGCGTGCTGCGGCCGTGCAGTCGCGTGATTCGCGCACGGTTTAGAACCGAGTGGAGGAACAGCGCGTCTGGCGCTGGAGAAGACTGGTGCGACGCCGTATGGCTTCGTGACGCTGCGCGCTGCGCGGTGGCGACGAACGCGGTGAGGGTGGTGGTGCTGCGGGCACTGCTGGCCGTTCACTGCCTGCTGGCTGTGGGCGCTGGCCGTGGGTTGGGTAGTCTGGCGTGGAGTATACGCAGCGTGGGGGAGGGGAGAGAGAGGGAAGGGTGGAGGAGAGAGAAGGGGCCCCGCGCCACCCCGCCCCGCCCCGCGCGCCCTGCTCGACGCCGTGGTATGTGCGACGCTGCCGCTGCCGCCGCCGCCGCAACCCAGGGGGGCTCGTCCCGACGTCCCGACACGTACGCCACGCTGCGGGCGCGGCCGGCGCGGCTCGACACGGCCCGCCGTTTGTTTTGGTCGAGGGCCGTACTACATCGCGGCCCCGCCGCGCACGTGACCTGTTACACGCCGGCGCTGCGTCGCCTGCGTGTTTTCGGCCCGCGGATCCTATCCTGAGTGGGTGTGTGAAGGACCAGGGTTGTGCAGTGGAAATGAAAAACACAACAAGTACTGTAGGCAAACTGCTCCAACCTCGCAGTTGCTTGTGGTGGACAACCAGTTCACTTCCACCCCCGTCTTTATTTAAAATGTTTCTTTTCGTTACATACTGTTCGTGTGCGGTTTAGGTTGAAAGAACAAATGCAATTGAGCGCCGATGCTGCGAGCTGCGAAAGCAGCTCCGCTGCACAATCCTGCAGTGCGTGTTGCCTACCCTGCCCTCGCAAGGCGCTCTGTCAGTGTGAAAGGCAAGTGGGACTCAAATTCTTCGTTGATTTCCGGCGGTCCGATCTAGGTCAAAATTCATATTTAGGCGTTTCATGTGTAAATTCGGCTAACTACCGAACAGAATTTTGATATCTCGATTTTTGGAGATTTTAACTCAATTATGAACTTTCTTTTGTCCACTGCTCCAACCATCGCAGTGAACTGTGGTGGACACTGGGCTGCATGCAAAACTGCCCGTGTGTAGTAATACGTACACACTCCACCCCCACTTCCACAAAAAGTAACTGATTTTTATGTATTTTTATGCGTGTCTGTGTATAAAATTTGCATGCTTAGTTCATGTAACGCCAGAGGGGATTTGGGCGGATGTGTTTGTGTCGTTTTTGTTTGAGTAAATAAATACTCATTAAAATGACTAGAAAGGGAGAGTGGTGTGGGTGTTCCGGGGAATGTTTCTTCGCACCACGCGTGGAATTCATGCGGTAGCATGACACTCGTTAGGCCCTTTTTTGGGTCTCTATTGTCGACGCCTTTCATCCAAGGAAGGAAAGGTCGCTCGGAAAGGTGGGGGGGAAAGGCGGCGTGGGGGTCGTTGGACACGACTATCACGCAGTGCGGTTCGAGTCCGACGACGACTTTGTACAAGTAAAGTGGCACGGGCACGGCCGTGCGGTGCAGCACCCCGAGGTGCCCCGAGAAGACGGTGAGGTCCACGTTGGCGTGCCTCGCGTGTGTTCGGATGGCCTTCTCGACGGCGGCCATGTTGCCCGCGTTGACGGTGGCCGTCGTCGGCACCGCGTTGTCGTAGTGCATCGTCTGCCGCCTCTCGGCGGCCGTCTGGAAGTCTGCGTACGGCGCCAGGTGGCCGCGGTTGACGCCGAGCGCCTTGGCCTCCTCGCTTTTGTAGAAGGCGTGGATTGCTCGGGGTCCGCGGAAACTCCCACGGCCTATCCGGCCCGGCGGCTTGCCGAGGCCCGCACGTACCGTGTGCTGCGTGAACGCCACGCGCCCCGCCGTGTCGTAGTGGTATCGGATGCACTGGCTGGGGGCGTTGTTTTCCTTGTCAGCCTCGAGTGCACCTTGAATGGGGGTGTTCTGGCGAACTTCGCAAGTAAGGCGTAGTTCTTTTAACGTGTCGCTGATTGTCCAGCCAGTTTGGTTAGATGTAAGGGCATTGAGATTAGTGGTCAGGTTGTTGTTTTGGTCACGGCCAGAGAACACGCCTCTGGTCCTGAGCCGAGAGGCTTGTGTTCGTGTTTCACTTGGCGGCATAGCGATATTGTGTGGGTCGGGGGGGGGGGGGTGTATGGGGGTAAGGGGGGTGTATGGGGGTAAGGGGGGTGTATGGGGGTAAGGGGGTGTATGGGGGTAAGGGGGGTGTATGGGGGTAAGGGGGGTGTATGGGGGTAAGGGGGGTGTATTGTGGGGGTGTTTGTGGATGTATCGGCAGTTGGTCTGTGGGTCACCTCCGTACTGGATTGTGTAGGTGTTGACGCTTCCAAAGACGGCGCTCTACTGACTGGATCGGCAGAGCTGCGCCGCTATTTATACCCGTCCTTGGACCTGGAGGCAGGTTGCAACTTGCACGGCATCCGTTGCGACGTTGCGACCGTGGCGCGCCCTATGGGTGAAATTTTGAAACGCGCCTAAGCCGCGGGTACTAGTAGAGGCCTCCAGGAGGTCTCCCTCTAGCCGCGGGTTGCTTGGGTCGACTTCGCATACTCGGCGCGAAAACCCGATCGAGCTTGGCAAAAGCTTTTTGTTGCATTTTAGGATTCTGAACAAAATTTTGATTGACTTTGAGTTGTGTTGGATTAAGTCCTCATAACCTCACTTTACGTCTCCAACTGTATTTTGTACTAAAGACGATGGCAGGTGTCAGGTGCACCTTATCTGGAATTTGGCGTTTGGCGGCGGACTTTGGTTCTCGTTTGACACCCCGGCCGCCGCAGTCCGCCGCCTCTAGGCCGCGGCGTTGGCTTTCCCCTATCTCCCCGTCGGGCGGGCCGTCGAGGCCGTCGGCGTGTTGAAAGATGAGCCCTCGCCGTCCTTGCCCGAAGCACGAAGGTGACATCCTCATCCTCCCATGGTCGGCACACAGGAAATGCCCGCAAATGTGGAGCGAGCGCGCATGCAGGCGGAGCGCGGCGGGGTGGGGCGGGGCCGCCAATGCCAGAGTCTCAGCCAACAAGCCCGACAGGTGCGGACTCGGCTAGACCAAAGGCTAACAGAGCCAGTTGTGTCGTCAAGGACGCTGGCGCTGGCGGCGAAATGATAACAAAAATTGGTCAGTTTTGGATGCACCTATGACCACTTGAACCGTGCCTATTGTCTATCTCTGCTCGGCCGTGGCGGCGACGAGAGGTGATCTCATCATATCGTATGTCCTCCGCCGCCGCGCCGCCGCGGACGGACCCGTCGAGGCTCGAAATCCTCGTCCTATCTGGGCAGCCCGATGGTGCCCGATGTCAGCCCGGGCGTGCGCCGCGCGCTGCGAAGCCCTCCATTGGAGTGGCATGATGACGCCGAAGATAACGAGCTTGGAAGTGATGTGCGGCCCGCTTGCTTTTCCAGGAGAGCCTGGGCGGCAACTCGAGCACCACGATGTTGGCGACGGTGAGCCCCTGCAGCTCGCACCTGGAGGAGACGCTGGCGACGCTGCGGTACGCGTGCCAGGCCAGGACCATCGTCAACATGGTGCGCGTCAACGAGGACCCCAGCCACCGCCGCATCCGGTACGTGCGACCTTGTGGCGATACCCCGGCCCGCCTCTCTGGAGCAGGGAGTATCGGCGTGACGTGAATGCCCTGGTTTTGTTCTGCAGGCAGCTGTTGGCGGAGATCGCGACGCTGCGCGAGGTCCACGAGGACCTGGAGCGCCAGCAGCGCCTGTCCAACCCCGGACGCCGCACGCAGTCGCCCGCCGCGGGGCTCGGGGCGCAAGGGACGCCCCAGGACCCGGCCGCGGTCCAGGAGCTCCGCGAGAAGCTGCGCCAGACCGAGGAGCAGCTGGCCATGGCGCAGAAGTAAGTGAGCCAGTTGTCGGTCTGACGGACTCTGACAGCATGCCGACCAGTCGCCAACCTGACCGCACGCCGCTTCTGCTGCTTCTGCTGTCTTGCGAAACAGATTGCAGCATGCAGCGCGCGCCGCCTCGCGGCCTCGCACCACCATTGTGTGTCGGCCTGTCGGGGTGTCTCTGGAGTTGGTTGGAGTTATCGTAGGGTTTTATTGCGTTTGCGGGCGGCGAGGCGGCGCCAAGGCCCCCGCCTTTCAGGCTTTATCGCCACTGTAAAGTGCAGCGACGCCGCGATACGCCGCGCGGTTTGCCCTTTTCTCTGTCTGATTTTTAATTTGCGTGATGCAGGTCGTGGTCGGAGCGCCTCCGGGAAGCTGAGCGGTGCAAGAACGCGGAGGTGAACCTGCTGCGGCGGCGCGGCGTGGCTCTCGCCCTCGACGGCCGCCAGCTGAGCGAGCAGCCCTGCCCGTTCCTCGTGAACCTGACGCCCGACCCCAGCCTGTCCGGCGCGCTGCTCTACCTCCTGCCGCCGGGCCCCGTCCGCGTCGGCCGCGTGGACAGCAGCCAGGGCGCGGCGAGCCCCTGCACGCCGGGGCGCAGCCCCATGCCCGGTGCAGCCAGCACCCCCAGCGGCCTGGGGGGCCTCGGCCTCAACGGCAGCGTCGGCGCCAGCCCCGTCCTTGGACGCAGCCCCACCAAGACGCCCGGCCGGTCGCCGCCCCTAGCGCCGCACATCCAGCTGGAGGGGCCGCTCGTGCAGCGGCACCACTGGTACGTACTTCCTGCACTTGCACTTGGCGTCCTTGAGGGAGCGGGGGAGCGCGCAGCGCGTCGTCCTGCGTAGCCTGCGTGGTCTACCGCGTCGCGTGGGACCAGACTTTTGGCGGGCTTTTGGCGTTTACAAGAAGGATGAGTAGTGAGTGGAGGAGGTGGGGCGTGGGGGTCGAGGAAGGACAAAAACTAAAGAGGAGGCGAGAAGAGGCGGGCGGGCAGCAGGCAGGGGTTTCCCGTGATTGGGGTGGGCGGATAGGGCGGGGCCTGTTGCAGGTTCCAGAGGGGAGGGGGGGGGTGCCTTACTGGTGTCAACTACCCTGACTCGGCGAAGAGAGAAGAAAGGCTCGCCAAGGCAAAGACCAAAGACAGGCTCGTCTTTCTTTCTCTTTCCCCGCTATTCTTCTCCGCACTTGACCTGCCCCCGGCCGGCGTGGTGCGGTGCGTCGACTCCTCCGACGCCGCCACTCCACTCCACAGTCGTCGTCGGCTCGCAGTCCGCAGCGTGTTGTTGACCAGGCAGCCAGCCCTCGTGCTGTGCAGTTGCGCCAGTTCTTTGCAACGACTTACTTTCGATCCGATTTGGTCGTGAACAGCTTTGTTGTGGCGTGTGAGATAAGAAAGGCGTGATCTCTTGGTTTTGAGACTGAGACTCTTCGCGGAATACCTGCGGCGTCTTATCTTCCGATCTGGATTGGGCAGCGGGTGCCGTGGCACCAACACCATCGTCGCCCCCTGACCTTGTCGTGGACGAGGAGGCCCTGCCCGAGGCCCTGCCCGAGGCCATGTAGCGGCGTGTGCTAGGCTTGGCTGGCTTGGCGCACCGGGACCTTCTTGGACTCTGTCCGAGCCACTTGTGGCCCCCGCGCTGTGGCCTTTGGGGACAGGGACACCCGTCCTTGCCCTAGCCCTGCTTCGGCCTTGCCGCGGTCGTCCCAGGACGTCCCACGGCCAGGATGCTTATCAGCAGGGCGCGAACTCCCGCGGCGGAGTGGGAGCGGTGGAATATGGTCCGTCTGGGCATAGCCGGCAGCGATGTGTAGGTGTCACTCAATGCCAAGGAAGTGGGTTCGAATCCCCGCTCTGTGGATGAATTTTTCCCCTCCCAGCTTTTGCACAGGCACTCATAGAACCCGTCTAGAATTTTTAAAAAAAAATTGTTGTTTGGTTTCAGCACAATTGAAAATCGTCAGGGTCGACTGACGTTGGAGCCTGGACGAGAAGGACTGACTTTCGTGAACGGGCGTGCTGTGACTGGCAGGACCATGCTCCACAATGGAGACCGCCTTGTTCTGGGAGGCAATCACTACTTCAGGGTCAGCAATCCGCACGACAAATCCAATCCAGCAGAACCTCCTGCTGACTATGAATTCGCCCACAAGGAGATACTTGCAGTTCAAGAAGCAAAGTAAAGCCTTGGATAGCATGTTTCGTAGCTTCAGAACAATAACAACATCAACATAATAATTGACTTTGTATTTGCAGACTCAAAGCTGAACTGGAAGATGCAAAGTACAAGGCAATGAAAGAGCTGGAAGAAGCAAAACGTGAAGCAGAAGCTCGCCTGATGATTCAACGCTCCGACTATGAAAAGCAATTACAACAGCTTGGACAGACCTTGGTTTGTATTTATTCATTTTTAAAGTGAATCTAAACTTTTCACTGGTGTTAAAAGTTTATGACAAAAAATTGAATAATCTATTTATATTATAGGAACAACACAAAGATGCCCTTTTCAATGAGCGTAAAGAGAAGCATCAGTTGGAAGTTCAGAAGACGGCATTGGAGGCAGAAATGAACCGGCAGCTAAGCAGCACAAGGCCAGCATCCCCACCTGCAGTTGAGGTCACCCTTCATCGCAGCCGCTTCATTGAGGTAACTCATCCTTAGACTTCTTTCATGATTTTGTGCTTCTTGCTAATTCAACTTTCTTCCCTCATAAATTTGGTCTTGTTTGCAGGAGCTGGAGGCACTTCTGAACACTTCTATGAATGCCTTAGAAAATGATACCAACTGCACATCACCTGGCACATCAATGAGCTTCAATGATAGGTATCCTTACAGCTCAACAAGCTTACATGAAATGCAAATGCAAGTCAGAGAAGCCTCCCAACGTTGCAAGGAACTTGGTATTCCTTATGTGAGTAATGGTGCATTGGTTGCTCCCTGTAGTGACTGTAGAAATTCCACCCCTCGCCCCAGATTCATTTCTAAAAATCCTTTTGCTTGCCACATCAGGATTTTCAACAGCAGCATGTTGTTCGAGAGTCGGGTCTTGAACCTGTCATCCGAGTTCGTGATCACTCCCAAAAAATGTCAGTATTGTGGACCCCTGCAACCTTTGGTGCTTGGTTAGACCGCTTGCGGGACTGGGACCCTGTAAGTAACACTTCACTCAAAATTAACAACGGATGCATGTGTGGATGCATGTATGTTTAGTATTGGCGTATATATGTGGGTGTGACTTGACTTTACACTGCTTTTTTCTGCAGGAGGATAGTGTTGCAGCATTAATTTCTGGGTTCGAAGACGGCTCTGAAGAAGTTTGGGAAGCTGATGAAAGTGAGGTGACGGCTGATGAGGTTGATGGGAACATCACTGTAAACACCTTGCCCATACGCCGAAAGATGAATGAAAGCCTCCAGCAATCCTTGGTAGAGTCTCCCCTGGAGTCACGCAAAAGTCCAGGTCAGTAAAGTAACAATAAATGGAGGCAAGTCAGTTTTATCAAATTTCATTCTTTTCCTTTTTAGAATCGAATGCCTATCCATTTTTCCTTTGTTCCTTAGGTTTTGAGTCCACAGAAGCGCAGCAATATTTGAAAGATATTGAAAAGGCCACCAAGCAACTAAAAAATCTTCTTAGCCGAGGCACTGGTAGTCGCACACCACTTAAATGTGTGAATAATCTGGAAGAAGCTGTTACTCAACTCAAAAACAGTCTGAAGAGAGAAACTTCTCTCTTTTCTAAGTCTCCTAATGGTATCAGTACCCCACAAAGTAGCAAGTCTGTCCGATTCTTTGATGGCCTTGTGAAATCATGACTGAATGCAATGCTGCATAGTGCTTTTATGGCTAAAACAGATTCTGCACTACCATATCTGGGCAGTTTTGATAAACATGTTGATATTGTAAATTTTGTATATAGAAAGTATGGAAGTGCAAAATCTGTTGCACTGTGTGGCATTGCTGTTGTTGTAATATGTCTTTTCATAGTCAAGAAAAAGTAGGTACCTTATTGTGGTCCTTTGTTACTATTTTTCTTCAGAGCTGCTTTTTATGTTATCTTATCTTTAATGACTTGTTATGGCTTATGTCTATCCCTTGACTGTTTCTTAATTGTTTCCCTGTTTATCTGGACAGTCACTGTCCATCCAAAGCAACTGAAATTTATCTAGGACATAATGACATATTCATGTAGACTTCTTAATCTCTCTCCTACCTTTTGTAGAATCTGACAAGTATTTTACCTATTTTACTTAGTGTTTCTTTTTGTTTTATTGCCTTTTTAATTTTATGCGCTATGTGGTTAGTTTGGTGTTTGTCTCCTAGGGTATTGGTAATTTCTACCATTTGTAATTGAGCAGTGTACTAGTCTCATCCAATTTTCATTGCATCTATATGTTTATTTTTTCTCAACATAGCACCAATTGTACTGAAAATTATCTCATTATTAAATTGTGTTTTAATCAATGTAGCTTTTTGAATGTTTCCCCCAACTTTTTTTTTCTACTCATATTTCTCATAATCAGGGATTTTTTTTTTCCATACATTTGAACCAGGAATGGCATAGTTTAGTGCACCATTATCATCATCCTAGATGTGTCCTTCACTCGGATGTTCATATGAACGAGTGACAATGCGACACTGCCCGGGGGCTCTCATTGTCTGGAGAACTCCCCGTCGACAGGTGGGGGAAGTCCACTCTGGACGTGGATAAGTAGAGCACAGTCCTGAGGGGCGAGCTCACTGCCGGGCGCGCTGCAGCCACACTATGAAGCTGTGTCCCCGACTGCGTCTGGTGGTGAGTAGAATTCGAGCAGCCACTCTGCGGACGGTCGGATGGCTTAGAGTCTGCTGCAGCTCTAGAGCTTTCCCCTGGGCGCTGCTCGCGCTGCTGCAGGTGCTCCTGGCGCTTGCCGTGCTGGCGCTCCCCGCGGAGGCCTTCATCCTGCCCATCATCTTGCCGCCCAACCTGCTGTGGTACGGCGGCTACTCCAGCTCCCCCGTGCTGCCGCTGCCCGTCCCGCGCCCGCAGCAGATTCCCCCCGTCGCCAACTACCTCGGCTACCCGCCGCTGCTGGGCCTCGGCGGCGGCCTCGGTGGCGGCCTCGGTGGAGTGGGTGGCATTCCCGGAGGCATCCCGGGACTGGGACGCCCGGGCGTCGGCTGACTTCGCGACAAATATGTCGCAGGCACAATGCAAAAGGCAACCAAGGATTTTAAGTGTGCATCACAATTTATTCTTATATCTGACAGTAAGTGCAAAAATAATTCAAAAGACTTTAAGTGACTAGATATGCTATGTTTCAATAGATATGTTTGAGAGAACACTTTAAATTACTTGACCAAGTCAATTTTTAAAAAATTAAAATGATACAATGTTGCGGAGATAGTAAATTTCTTAAAAACCCTTTCCATACTTTTCATACTGAATGTCAAAAGAATGAAACAGCTTCAAATATTAAAGATAAACCATCTCCAAAAAGTAAAATACATAAAAAGAAGCAAAATTTTTTGGGATAGGAGCAGCCAAAATTCACTTAACATTATAAAAATGCTGGAACATCAAACCCTCTAATTGATGCATCCATAACGTTGGGCTGACTTCCTGAGTTTGTACCTGATGTTGATTCATTTTCTGTACTGAAAACCCTGACTTCTGGTGGCGAATTCCAATTACTATTCACAATCACAGTACTTCGTGGAGTTGATGAATTTGACACCCGTGGAGGAATTTGATCCCTCCGCCTGCAGTCTTTCTCAACTAAATGTATCACTTGATTTGTTGTTCTCCACTTCTTGATAGATCGCAAATGGAATCTAAATTTCAAAGAAGCAAGTGAGAAACAAACCACAGTTGCAAAGTTGTTACTCTAAGAAACCTTTTTTAAATCTCACCTAATTGTAATGTAGCACCAGGCGAGATATGTAGCCAGGAGAAAGCAGCTCAGAGCAGCCAATCCAGTTCCCTCCCACACACCATGTCTCATGTAATCAGCAGCACCGATGGCACAGAGGTAGATGGAGAGAATGCAGAGAGGTGTGAGCAAAATGACACAGGTGAGATCCGCATAAAAGCCCTGAGGACCATCACTTGAGGTAGCCATACTGAACCACTGCAAATAAAAAAGTTGCAAAATGAAATAAGACACAAATAACCATCTTAAACACAAAGAAAGATATCACCAACCTGCCACATCGGTCGGGCCTCCCTCTGTATAGGTAGCTGTTTCATACATAGCTCACAGCGATCTGAGTTTGATGTTGAAAGCCACCTCTCAAGGCAAGTCTTGTGCACTAACAGCATTGAGCCACTGCAATTACAAGGCGAGAGTAATGTTTCTTCCTTATCACCTATCAAAGAAAAACAACAAAATTGAATGACTTGAAGTGAAGTGCAATCATTGTTGGCTTACACAGTTAATACTCATAACACTTCACTGCACCTTCATGACATATACGGCAGATAGGTCCTGGACTGTAGAAACGCTTCTCTGGTGATCTACGATGTGGCTGAGTACCATCCTCTAAGCAAATGACAGGTGAGTGGTACAGGGGAGCGTCATGGGATGGCTGCAATATAGAATTAAATACATAAGATGTTTTAGTTCGTACCACCCACCTCAACCAAATAATGTGTCACTTACCTTCGCAACCTTTCCTTGCTGCTTGGGAGGAGTGTGTAGGGGTATTATGACAAAACTTCGGTCCCTGCCTGACTGAGGAGTGCTAAAGTCCTCCGTCAATAGTTGCGGAGAAGGAGTGGGCCCATTTCCAGGCACAAATTGGAAGGCATCCTCCGAAAGCCAATGGTAAAGGATGGGAGTCTGTCGAGGTACAAAACTCAAATAAAACTCATGCCATTGGAACAGATAAAGTAAACAAACTCTACTCACCCTCGGGGACGGCTGTTCATCCCACATCGCCTTCAGCCAGCCGGTTGCAGTTTAGAGACAGGATCAACTCCAGGGACCAGGACCGCTCGGTGCTGCGCGCTGCGCCCGAACTCGTACAAAGTAGGAAAGGAAAGTCCTGCAGTGGTCCTGTGGTTCTCGATGACGCGCTGGGACTTCGCGGCCCTGGGGTGCCCTGGGGTGGGACGGGCGATCTGGGATTTCCGGGCGGGTCGGTGCCGCGCCGATCCGATCCGATGCCACCGCAATGAATGAACAGGTGGCCGCGACCCACGAGGCGGTCGGAGGGCGAAAGAGGCCGATCGATGTTCGTCGGATGAGGCATGAATTTTCCCGGCTTGCCACGGGTAAGTGCCAACCTAACATGACGAAACCATCGAAATTCCATTGCTTTAGATGGATAAAAATAGAACTTTTCCGTAAAGCGTTACTATATTTTAATCAATTCTTTAACTTTTGAGAAAATGAGACCTCATTACGTCGCTGTGAGCCATGTTTTATGGATACTTGTTCAAATTTAAGTTGTTGAAGGGAAAACAAACGAACGTCACCAAAACAAACCAGTCGGCAGGATTTGTAGGCTGTCAGTCTCACGTGTGCCTCCGTTTACTTATTTTTCGGTTTAATTTGAGAAGGTAATCTCGACATTCATCATTTCATTTGAATTTGATTGAGACTTTCGTGCTTATCATTGCTTTACCACAAACAATCATTAATTGCTTTGTGACAAACGCGGAAGAGAGACTTCATTCATTTACCAGGTTATGATTCTTTGTTTTGACATGATAAAATTCGTTGCAACCTCTGAATCAAAGGCTGTTTCTTTCATCTTCTGCATTAAATAGAATAACCATTCTTCTCAACTCAGTTCATCCAATATTACTGTTTGGGTTTGATCAGGAAAGAAGCTTCAGGTTGCCATAATACAGCGCTCCAATAATTTTCAGGACTGATTCAATGGCTTCTGGAGGGGATGCGGGAAGCTCCAAAATGGATGTTCAAGAGCCGTCAGCATCAAGCAGCAGTGAGACAAGCAAAACACAGCCCATCAATTTGATAATCCTCGGCATGGCAGGATCGGGCAAAACATCTTTGGTGAAACGCATGCAGACGTTCTTGCACTTCAAACAGACCGCACCATATGTAGTAAATTTAGACCCAGCTTGCGCTGAAGTCCCATACATCACTAATATAGGTGAATTACTTTTCATTGTGTTTTTAATGTATGTTGGAAACTTCTTATTTATTACAAATATGTTTTGATTTTGCAGACATCAGGGATACTGTAAAGTATAAAGAGGTGATGAAGCAGTATGGCCTTGGTCCAAATGGGGGTATTGTCACTTCGCTCAATCTATTTTCAACCAAATTTGATCAGGTCAGTTTCTAGTACAATCATACATGTCAATCATACACGTCAATCATACACGTCAATCATACACGTGCCGTGTTACGAGAATTCCCTTTTTAAAATGTGCTTAATCATTCCCCCCAACTAGGTGCTCAAACTGTTGCATGCAGCATCCTCCACACACAAATATGCCATACTAGATACTCCTGGTCAAATTGAAGTTTTTACTTGGTCAGCATCAGGAACCATCATCACTGAGGCATTAGCATCTTCTTTCCCCACTGTTGTTGTTTATGTAATGGACACAGTGAGAAGTGTCAGTCCTGTAACTTTTATGTCTAACATGCTCTATGCCTGTTCAATTTTGTATAAAACTAAACTCCCATTTATTGTTGTTATGAACAAGGTGAGTAATCCAGTCAATTATTTTAAAAAATAACCTTTGTCATCTTCTTTAATATAATAATAATTTTGCAGACTGATGTTGTCGATAATGCATATGCAGTGGACTGGATGAGAGATTTTGAGACTTTCCAAGATGCACTGGAAAGTGAAACATCTTACATTTCAAATCTTACACGGTCAATGTCTTTGGCATTGGACGAGTTTTATTCTGGCCTTCGGTGTTGTGGTGTGTCAGCATACACTGGTCAAGGGATGGAGGAGTTATTCAAACTTGTTGATGAAGCAGCAGAAGAATATAAAAAGTTGGTCTAAACTTTCAGTTACTATTTCATTCATCCCATTATTGCAGGCTTATAACGATTTTTTCTGGAACAGGGACTACCGAGTCGAATGGGAAAAACTTAGAACTGAAAAGCTAAAAGATGAAGCTGCTCAAGCTGAGGAAAAACTTAAGAACCTGGCTTTGGATTCTGAGCAAGGTTTGGGCACAGCAGTTCCACTGATCACATCAGCTGGTAGAGGTCAAGATCTAGCTGATATTTATTTAAAGCACCCAGCCAATGAAAGCAGTGAAGATGAGGATGGTGAAGAGGAGGGCCAACCAGAGGGTATGATGTTCTGATCTGCATTTAAAAGAAAAAAAAGTGGAAACATTATTTATTTCTGTTCTCTTTTATCTTAGATGATTCTGAAATGAATGAAGAAATAACTTTCCAATCATACGTCAACACCAAGAAGGAAGCAAGAAAAGAGAAGTCATCTTCATCTGTAAGCAAGGAACCATGAAATACATGAACAAGAGATTTTTACATAAATGAGCAAAACTAATTTATTTACAATTCAATCATTTTTACACAGTTTTCTGTTAATTGATCAAACTTGCGCATATGCAGTATGAGTAAAAATTCAAAAGGATGATGCAGTATCACAGTTCAAGGCAGAAATTCTCCTCTTACTTTAAATGTTAAAGGCATCTGCAGATTCCTCATTATCATCAGGGTCAGGTTCTTCAAAATCTCTTGTTTTCACATCATTGTCTTCTCCATACTGGATGATATTATCTATAGTGAGCAAGACATCTGCAATGCTTTCTTCATCTCGAATGTTGAGAGGGCAAAATCGCACCAAACTAAAAATAGATCAGAACAAGTCATTTCACAAAAGTACAGTTGTAGCTATAATCACTACTCATAACAAAACAGAATTTTTGTCACCTGTAATCTTCTATTAACTTGCCAAGGGCCTCAGAAAGCTTTGCATGTTTCTGATTCCACTTGGATGAAGAATCTGCAAGTTCACTGAGAAGCACGTGTGGATCAGGCTCCAAGTAACTGGAAATAACATAGGAGATGAGACAAGTGACCAAAAAATTCATACTGGTAATAGATTAATTTGTTTGACAAAAAAAAAATTATTACTTACTTATCCAACTGCTTTCTTGCAGCTTTTGACAAGAGATCCATTTTTGTTATGATGTTTAAATGAGGTAATTCTAAGTTAACCATGACTGATAGTGCAGTCATTGTACCAGAAAGAAATTTTGGGCCATCGACTAAAAACTGAGAATCTAATAGAAACACTGCACACAATCTAAAATTCAATTTTTGAGTCAGCACTTCAGCAAATTGACGAATGACTGTCATGTGTGTGTATAATTCAATTTGACCAGGGCAGTCAAATAAAATGTAGTCATCGTCTGAATCTCCTAACTGTTCCTCCAGCCAGTCAAGATTTTCTAACAGGTACCTGTAGCACAAAATAAATTAATTACAGTTTTAAAAGCGTCTGCATACAAGAGAGGAAAGTGGGAGAATTAGCGTTTAACTTACTCCATACAAAAGACCAAACCCCCATTTGGACCAAAGTGCATATCTTCATCCTGCATGGCATCATCCACATGGATGAGTTCACGAATGTCTGCCAAAGGCTCATAATCAAAGTATTCGGCAGCAGGGTCCAAGTTAACAACTTCGACAATCTTCCGAGCATCAGCAGCATGTCGAACTATAGTTGAACAATATGTTGACTGCAGACAAAAGAAAGGAGAGGAAAGCGTTCAAACTATTATTCATAACATCAAAATTGACAGGCATTGATTCACGGAGAAAAGGAAACAGCAACTTTGCATCATGTTGCAGAAATGAATAAATGAATGGGTATGATTTCACACCTTGCCGCTTCCAGCAGGGCCGAGAACAATTTGTCCGTAGCGCATTTTGTTTTCGGTTTTTAACTCAACAATAAACAGTCAACGCAGTTCTTTCAATTTTTCAGATTTATAGACAGGCGTTGTTTATCAACAAGAGACTTCACCACCATGCAAAATTGGAGGTTATGGGTAAAAACAAAACACAAATCAATGAAGTACGGCAATGATCCGGTAGGGGCGCTTCGAAGTGGGGAGATACGAAATTGTTTTGTTCATTGCTGGATTCTGAGCATTTCCGATCTTCTCTCTATTTTTTCATTGTATGATTTGTAGTAAGAGCAGAGAAAGAACCATTAGGGATCACATTCGGAATTAGAAACTTTGAAGGTCATGAGCTCCTTCGTGTCTTAGCCATCATACCAAGAAGATGTAAAGACAAACAAATGTTTTCCCGCGGTTTCGGTGTGTGAAGTCACAACACCTTAGCCGTGTTCGTTTCTCTTTAATTTTTTTAAAAATCTTGTTCAATCTTCAGTTTATTTGGTAAATATGTTTGTCTTTTGTTGCCTCGAATCTGTTACTGTAAGGATTCCTTGGAATCAGTGGTTTTTCTACTCGTGCCTTTGCTGGGTATTGATGAAACCACCGGCTCCACAGGTCTTTGTTTCTGTTCCATGGGTAGCAGACATTTTCGTTGACGTCCGAACTGAGTAAAAAATATCGTTAGAATAGAATATTAGCTTTTTGATCAAATCTGGTAGCCTAGTGGTGTCAGCAGTTAATGTATGCTGCGTATTAAAGTAGCAGGTCAAAGATGTAAAATATTTGTTGACCAGTTGGCCTAGTCTCCTACAGCTGTGCGTTGTGCTTTCAGCTTTTTGGGTTGAATCTATTCAACAAGCGACATGCCGACTCCTACAAAGGCCAAGACGCCCGAGAAGGACGCGCCTCTCACACCGTCTACGAGGAGTGCTGCTTCTGCCAAAAAGAAGACGCCCCTCAAGTCTTCTAATGGAACCAACGTCACTGGCACTCCTACCAGATCTACGAGAAACACTCCAGCGAAAGGTATAGTCTCAGTTCCTTCCGCTACATGTTGAAAAGATTCAGAACTTTGTTCACGTTTCCTCCTTTGAATTGTACTAGCTGCTGCTGCTCAAGATGAAGCTGTACGTACTCCAGGAAAAAATCGTACTCCTGCAAAAACAGGCACTCCTTCAAGAAGACGAGTTGCAGCCAATGATGATGTAGGTTTGATTCTTTAAAATTGAATTGCTGTTTTGTTTGAAATTTCTCTTATCCTCTTAATATTTTCATTTTGTTTAGGATGTTACATTTGCTACTCCAGCCAAAGCAACTCCAGCTAAGTCCTCTCAACAGTCAGAGCGCTCAGACTTGACTGAGTCTACTCCACTCCGCTGGGGTCAGCAAGGACGTCGTGCTGAAAATGCAGACATTATTGTGGAGGCATCTGACCCTTTGACTCCATCAGACAATCTTATGGGTCCGCCTGCAACTAGTCCGTTTGCTGGTGGTACGTCACATACTGGGAAAAAAAAATTATTCTGTGCAATTTTTGTGCTAAAAATGATTAATATAATTTCATTGCAGCTGCCAGTGAAATGGAGATGATGAGTTCACCATTGAACTATGGAACACCAAGTTCCCTGGCTTCTGTCAGGACTCCTCGTTCCGGTATAAGAGGTACACCTCTTCGCTCTCGTCCGGACATCCGGCCTGATCGCCATCTCCGTCAAGTCAACCTGCAGTCTGATCCTGTACTTATTTCATTGAGCTCAATCATCACTGTTTCTGTTTGTGTTACAAATTTTTAAACCATTGTCTATACATTACTTTTGTTTTCAGATTGAGCCCCCTTCTGATGGAGGTGCTGTTGATGCGTCTGAAGGGGAACAAGCAGCCCCCCAACTTGTCATCTGGGGAACAGATGTTGTGGTCAATCGTTGCAAGGACAAGTTCAAGAGATTCATTCTGACATTTGTGGATCCCAACGCAGAGGAAGATGAAGTCACTAATGATATGGATATGAATGCTCCTCTCTACCTCCAGAAACTTGATGAGGTTTGACTTGACATTGACACATTGTTGATCTGATCAGTTATTTTACATAACTAAATGTCATTTTTCTTACATTCATTTTTCCTAATTCCTCAGATTCATGCTGCAGAAGAGCAATGCTTGAATGTCAACTGTTCTCATTTGGAAACCTTTGACAAGGAGCTCTACACCCAGCTGATTCGCTATCCTCAAGAAGTTATTCCCACTTTTGACATGGCACTGAATGAAATGTTCTTTGAGCGTTTCCCTGCAGCAGTTATTGACAGTCAAATTCAAGTGAGACCATTCAATGCTGCCAAAACTAAAAATATGAGAATGTTAAATCCAGAAGGTATAGTTTTTGGTTCTAGTGTTCAAATTGTGCTATCAATGTGTGCAATCAAATAAATTGTGGTCTTCATTGCAGATATTGATCAACTCATCACTATTAGTGGAATGGTCATTCGTACTTCAAGCATTGTTCCTGAAATGCGTGAAGCCTTCTTCAAATGTATTGTTTGTGCCTTCTCCACTGCTGTGGAAATTGATCGAGGTCGCATTGCAGAGCCTACGCTTTGCACAAACTGTAATACCAACCACTGCTTCCAAATTATTCACAATCGGTCTCAGTTCACTGATAAGCAAATGATCAAGCTACAAGAATCACCAGGTATAAATGTTGTTCCTGTCTAATCTAATTTTTATTAATGTCTTTTCTAAGATATTAACTGAATTCTTGGTTTCAATTTAATAGATGATATGCCACCTGGCCAGACTCCGCATACAGTGGTTTTGTATGCCCACAATGATTTAGTGGATAAAGTAAATCCTGGTGATCGTGTCACTGTTACTGGTGTTTACCGAGCTGTCTCCATGCAAGTAAACCCTCGCATGCGCAATGTTCGGTCCGTCTACAAGACTCATATTGACGTTGTGCACTTCCGTAAGGTAGATTCGAAGCGGCTTTATGAAGATGAAGAAGGGTAAGACACATTTCTTTTCTTAGCTTGGCATGCGTCTGTCAACTCTGTTTGTTTTGTTAATTTTCGATGTGTTGGGGTTTATTGTTGTTTTTGTTTTTTAGAAAGGACCACAGATTCCCACCTGAGCGAGTGGAGCTTCTGCAACGTCTTGCTCAAAGAGAGGACATTTATGAGCGACTTGCACGGGCTATTGCCCCATCCATTTATGAGAATGAAGACATCAAGAAAGGAATTCTTCTCCAGCTATTTGGTGGCACCAAAAAATCTCACCCCATTTCTGGTCGCACAAACTTCAGGTAAATGACTTATGCAATTTTAAAATTATCTTGTCTATCTTGTTGATGTTTAACATTTGTCCTTGATTTTAATTTTAGATCAGAACTGAACATCCTCCTTTGTGGTGACCCAGGTACTAGTAAGTCACAGCTTCTGCAGTATGCATACAACTTAGTTCCCCGAAGCCAGTACACTTCTGGAAAAGGATCCTCAGCTGTTGGTCTGACTGCCTATGTCACGAAAGATCCTGAAACAAGGCAGCTTGTTCTCCAAACGTAAGATAAGAGATCATTGGAATCAAAACTAAACAGATATGGAAATTTGTTTCTTCAATAAAATTTATGTTTCAGTGGAGCCTTAGTACTGGCAGACAATGGTATTTGCTGCATTGATGAGTTTGACAAAATGAATGATTCTACTCGCAGTGTGTTGCATGAGGTAAATGTCTCAAAGTCTTTGGCCTTCCTTCGATCAAACTTAACACTGTGCTTCACACATTGTGGGAGCAAAAGCTCAAGCTTCACTCAATCTACCTATAAATCAGTATGGCCTGTATTCTCTAATGTTTCATTTTTGTCTCTTATTTCCAAAGGTAATGGAGCAACAGACTTTAAGTATAGCCAAGGCTGGTATTATTTGTCAACTGAATGCCAGAACATCTATCCTTGCTGCAGCTAACCCAGTGGAGTCTCAGTGGAACAAGAATAAAACTATCATTGAGAACATTATGTTACCTCATACACTAATGTCCAGGTAAATTGCCAAGCGTTAACAACAATTGACTATTTAATCTTTTAAGACCTGCTTATTGATTTATTTCTTCTTCAATTTTTGCAACTAGATTTGATCTTATTTTCCTTATGCTGGACCCTCAAAATGAACTATTTGATCGCCGTTTAGCCCGCCATTTGGTTTCTTTGTACTACAAAACTAGGGATGAAGAGGAAGATGAATTGATGGTTTGTCCTTTAATTTTGCTCTAATTGTGTAATTTAAGTTGCAGCCATGTTTGTAATAAATTTTTTTGCAGGACATGAGCATTATGCGAGATTACCTGGCTTATGCCAAGGAGCACATCAAGCCAAAGCTAACTGATGAGTCCTCTCAAAAACTAGTTCAGTCATATGTAGACATGCGCCGTATTGGGTCCGGCCGAGGACAAGTCTCAGCCTATCCCAGACAGCTGGAATCACTGATTCGGTTGGCTGAAGCTCATGCCAAACTTCGCTTTTCTGAAACTGTTGATGTTGAAGATGTTGAAGAAGCATACAGGTGTGTATACTTACTTACTATGGTGCTACTAAATTAATTACCTCTCTTTTGCATTACTTAATTATCACATATTGAAAATGATTTTTTAGGCTTCACCGGGAGGCATTGAAACAGTCTGCAACAGATCCTATATCTGGTAAAATTGACATTGGTATTCTCACAACTGGTATGAGCAGTGCTGCCAGGAAGAGGCGTGTGGCAGTCAAGGAAGCTTTGAACAAGATTATTTTGAGGAACCGAGGCAAGGTTCAGACACTGGGCTATCAAAGGCTTCATCAAGATCTCAAAGAGAGCTGCACTGAATTCGTAAGTTAAATATTTTTACAAAATCTGAACCATATGTCAGTAGTTTTGTACAGTCCCAGTAATGGCTTCTTTTTTCTCTCTCTCCCTTGCAGCAAGTTAATCGAGAAATGTTTGAAGATGCCCTTAAAGACATTCAAGATGAAGGGCTTATTGTTGTGGTTGGCAAAGCTAATTCTGTTCGAATCTGCTGATTGTAATGAATCAACTCATATCAGCTTGTTTGTCTTGTATTTATGAAATTTCCTGTTCACATCATGTGCCTTATTCAATCTCGTTCTCATTGACCCATTTGTTTACACTTTCTATCATCTCATCACAAGTGCCTTGTTAATTTTAAGCTTCATCTATATTCTTTACTTTATTACTTTAGTCTTCATATAATGCAGGCTGAAGTAGAATTTTAACAAACTACTTTCCATGTGTATCTGTTGGGCCTGGCATGTGCTGATAATAAAATAAAACTAAACAAAAGTATGTCTTTCTCGCATTATCTTTATCTCTTCCTACCTCACCCCACCTAATTGGCATTGACCTACAGTATCTTATCAAAGTGCAAAAGTGCATCTCTCCCACAATAATAAGATGTAAACAAAAGGGGCCTTGTTTATGGCAGAATCAAACACGCTGATTTATTAAGAAAATTATTTATTAAAAACTATTTATGATAAATTATGAGATAATGACACATGGATGGCACAAATAATGAGACTTTCCACTCCAATGGACGGTGCAAAATGATATACGAATTGATCAAGGTATCACAGACGCCAACCTAATACTGGATGAGCACCGTTCTCACAAACACGTCACGCTTCACTCCCGAGGGACTCAGACACGGTCCGTGAACAGATTCTCACTCAGAATAGCTTGAAGCTAATGGCCTCGCGCCTCGCTCAGTAGGAGCCCCGGCTGGGACCGTAGGCGCCGGCTCCTCTCTGACTGTTGCCCTTGATGTTGAGGGAGATGCCGTCGCTGCCGTAGGACAGCTCGGCGGCGGGCTTCTCGGGGGTGGTGGTCATGGAGCCCTCGGTGCTGGACGGGGCCGCGGCGCCGGAGTAGCGCCCGCCTGCGGGGGCCGCGGGGCCGCCCACGCCCTTCAGGTGCTCGATCTCGCTCTCGCCGGCGTGCTCGTGCGCGGACGGCTGGGGGGCGCCGCTGTACGCGCCGGCGCCGCCCTGGGGACGACCGCCCTTGAGCCCGCCGTGCTCCATGCCGTGGTCGGCTTCGGGGTTGGACACCAGGCTGGATGACTCCGGCCCGTACGCGCCCTGCGGACGGGCTCCCTTGAGACCGCCGGCCTCGGGGGCGTGCTCGCCGTAGCTGCTCTCGGGGTTGCCGTGGAGGCTGCCAGACTTGGGGCCACCCTTCAGCCCTTCGGGTGCTTCGGGTCCAGACTGGAGGCTCCCGGATGGCCCGTACCCGCCGGGCCGTCCGCCCTTGAGTCCGCCGTAGCTGCCTTCGGGCCCCGACTGCAGGCCGCTGGACGGCCCGTACTGTCCGCTGCCCTGGGGGCGGCCACCCTTGAGTCCACCAACCTCGACGCCGCGGTCGTATCCACCCTGGGGTCCGGAGTAGGGGCTGCTGGGCTGCGGGCCGTAGGAGCCCCCACGGGGGGCGTAGGCACCACCCTGGGGCCCGTAGGCACCGCCCTGGGGACGGCCTCCCTTCAGGCCGCCGGTCTCTGGCGCGTGGTCACCGTAGCTTCCCTCGGGGTTGCCGTGCAGACTTCCTGACTGGGGGCGGCCACCCTTGAGGCCTTCGCCGTAGCTGACTTCTTCGGGTCCTGACTGCAGGCCACTGGATGGCCCGTACGCACCACTGGGGCGGCCGCCCTTGAGCCCGCCGTGCTCGGGGCCGTGGTCGCCGTAGCCTGTATCACTGCGGTCAATGGGGCCGTGCTGGCTGCTCGGGCCAGGTCCGTAGCCGCTGTCGCGAGGACCGTAGGATCCACCCTGCGGCGCACCGTAGCCGGAGTCGCGAGGACCGTACGAACCACCCTGAGGTGCTCCGTAACCGCTGTCGCGAGGACCGTAAGAACCACCCTGAGGTGCTCCGTAGCCGCTGTCGCGAGGTCCGCCGTAGCCAGAGTCGCGAGGTCCACCGTAGCCAGAGTCGCGAGGCCCGTAAGAACCACCCTGAGGTGCACCGTAGCCACTGTCACGAGGGCCGTAGGACCCACCCTGAGGTGCGCCGTAGCCGGAGTCGCGCGGACCGTAAGATCCACCCTGAGGCCGGTCTCCGTAGCCACCGTCGCGGGGCCCAGAGGGGCGGTACGAACCACCGCTGGGCCTGTCGTACGCGTCGGGGCCTCGGTACGCGTCGGGGTTCCTGTAGGCGTCGGGGCCTCTGTAGGCGGAGGGGCTGTCGACGTAGGGCTCGCGGCCGCCCTTGTGGGGCAGCGTCTGGGGCAGGGGGCCCAGGCCGTCCTCGGTGCGCTGGTCCAGGTACTGGTCGTTGCCCTGCGTGCCCTTGATGCCGTACGGCTTGGCGGACGCCGCGGCCAGCGCCGCGCACAGCAGCACGACCTGCAGACGGCACCACCACACGGATATTAGTCCACGTAAAGAAAAGGAATTCCCCGGGACCACTCTGCCTCGACCTCGGGGCGTGAGGGGCGTGTGCTTACCGTGGTCCTGGTCATGTTGCCGCCTCTGGTCGGGATGCTGGGAGTCTTGGAGCGCCACACGCTGCGGAACGTTCGGCACGAAATCGGCTTCTGCTTGGCGGCGCCGTGCAGTGCGGCTTTATACAGCACAAAGAAAAGACCGGGACGAGGTGGCCTGGCGTGGCCGGCCTGGCCGCGCCGCGGCGGTACAGCATCCCTGCCTCCTTGCCTCCCGCCCCCTCCGCCGTTATCTCTGCGCCTCTCTGCCCATCCGTCGTCCGCCATCATCCGTCATTCTAGTCGCGAATTTCACGAGAAATCCGCGCCCCGCCACCCCACCGCGCCCCTCGCGCGGTCTGCGTTTTATTTGCACGATCGGCGAGGCGCGGCGGCGAGGCACGCCGAGCACATTGAAGCCTTTGGCGATGCTGAGCTGGCGGGGGGCGCGGGGCGCGGCGGGGAGGCGAGTGTCCACTGTGGACGGCAGCCCGGCCGCGGCCCGGCCCGGTGCGCTGTGCGCGGAGCGTTTGATGCGCCAGCCACACGTGTCCGGCCCGATTGGAAACACTTGGGGGTTCGGGCGCTGCTTCACTCCACACCTCTACACACTGGCCGCGGTTGGCCGCGGGAAAAAGGGAGGGGGAGCCACGGCCACTTCTTTATCACCGCCGATGAATAAACTGAAAGTTGTCGAACTTGCGCGGCGCGCGCCGTTCCGAGATCTGTTTTCGGTTTTCCCTTTCCTGACATCATCACAATAAGATCGAGCACGCGGAAATAAAAGCATAACCGAATGAACCGCCGCCGTGGACGAGCGAGGCCGCGCGGCATCCAGGGCGGTAGGGAATTCCCTCGAGATGAACTTCCTTCCCAGACGCGTCAACGACCAGCGCAGCAGAGGGCGCCAGGTGGACAGACGGACAGGCAGACGGGCAGGCAGACAAACATACACACACACAGTCACACAGCGAGGTACACAGGCAGCCGGATAGCATAACGGGCGGCCAAGCGGCCAGCTGGGAGAGACCGCCGCACCGCCGGGGGCAGGTTGGTGCGCGCTGCGCGCTGCGCGACGCGCGGGGTAAAAGATGAGGTACCCGCCGGGGAAATCCTGAAAAGCCGCGCGGCCGGGAAGGGGCAAGGGAGGGGGAAGCTGAACCCAGGCCCCATTGCAATAAAACAAAGTTTGCCCCGGCGTAAGTTCGTCAGTCGCAGCGCGCAGCCGTCGAGTCCAGAAGAAAGGCGCTGCCTCACGTCGCCTTGCCATCGGCCCGCTCCGAGTCGCCGACGACGTTCTCTGCTCCGCGGAGGGAGATGCTGCAATTCAGAGTAAGTGATTTGCCCCGCCGCGCCGTGCCGCGCCTGGCCGGGGCGCCCTAACTTCTCCTAACTCGTCGCGGAATGGAAATGAAATTCGGTCGCAGCGCTCGCAGCGCCGAGTGCCGCGCGCGGTTCGCCGAACAGCAAACAGCGCGAGTTGTTTTCCGGCAGGGACTTTGTTTTGATTTATCGCGCGCGACGACGACGACGACCGTCCTCCTCCAGGAGGGGTTCGTGGCCGGCGGGCCGGCGCCGCACCACGCCCTGGACGCCGCGGCCCTGCTGACCTCTGACTCACTACTTGCACGGAGACGCCCGGCCGCGGCTACGCAGCGCCGCGCCGCGCCGCTCCTCTCCAAGCATAAAGAGTTCCTCGAAAAGATTGGCGCTCCATTAATCAATCACAAGTGTTGACCGAGCTGAGGCTGGAGCCTGGCTGGAGCCATGCCGTGGCCTTGGGGCGACCATGCCGTCCTGGTCGCGTTGCCGGCGTTGCCGGTGTTTGGATAATGGCTCGGTGGGCGGCAGAGGAGAGAAGGCTCGCCGGTCCAGAGCTTCAGCCGCGGAGCACCGCGGAGCTGCGCGCGGCGTGCATGCAAAACAGTCCAGGGCGTCCGACGCAGTGCTGACAGTGTACTGCGACGGGGCGGGGCGGGGCGGGGCGGCGCTGGCTGAGAGGGACACCTCAAAGTGTTGTCCAGGTTTCAGAAATCACACCGCTAAAATTCCATGCATTTGAAAGCGTGCGCTCGGCGTCGCAGCCTGGTGGCCGCCTAGCTATACGCGAACAGCGCAGATGTTTTTATGACAGCGCGAGCGTGGATTCGCAGAATGGTATATAAAAGTTATCTGCGTCAGACGCGCCGGTCAAGTTCAGATGAATACGGCCGGCCATGTGATGGTAACGACTCGCCGAGCCCCCACGCAAGCGCGCCGAGTCAGGGGAAAGGGGGCTTGGGCTGGGTTATTTTTGAGAAAAATTGCGAGCAATTTACGTTTCCTAATTACAGCTAATTTTTTTCTTCGCAGGCTCTGGTGTTATTGGGGGCAGCGGCCGTGGCGGCCGCCCAAGGGAGCTACGGCCCGAAGCGTCCCGCTGGGAGCGGCTCGTACGGCAGCGGCGGCGCGGCGGAGGCCCACCGCGAGGAGGCCGAGCACCCACCCAGCGTGGTCCTAGGCGCCGGCGGCCAGGGCGGCCGGGTCCCAGCCACCACCCAGGAAGGCGCCCTCAACCTGGCCATGCTCAGCGCCCTCGGCGGCCACGTCCAGAGCGGCGGGGGCTACCACGGGTCGGGACTCGCCGACCGCGACATCGAGGACGTCCTGGCCCACATCGCCTCCTTCGGCGACCACGGCGACGGGAAGCGTCCCGGTCACGAGAACGCCAAGCCCGGTGGATACGACGAGCACCGAAAGCCAGCCGGGACCTACGGCCCTGTCAAGCCCAGCGGCAGTTATGGAGAGGAGCGTCCTGTGAAGCCCAGTGGAAGTTACGGTCACGAGGAGGAGCGCCCCGTCAAGCCCAGTAGCCACGAAAGCAGCTACGAAAGCCATGCTAAACCCATTGGTAGTTATGGTTCTGGACTGGAACCCAGTGGCAGCTACAAACCGGACAGCCACGAAGAACCCCACAAACCCTCCGGTAGCTACGGACACGAAGAACGCCCCGTCAAGCCCAGCGGTAGCTACGGACAGGAAGAACGCCCTGTCAAGCCCAGCGGAAATTATGGACACGAAGAACGCCCTGTCAAGCCCAGCGGTAGCTATGGACAGGAAGAACGCCCCGTCAAGCCCAGCGGAAATTATGGACACGAAGAACGCCCTGTCAAGCCCAGCGGTAGCTACGGACACGAAGAACGCCCTGTCAAGCCCAGCGGAAATTATGGACACGAAGAACGCCCTGTCAAGCCCAGCGGTAGCTATGGACAGGAAGAACGCCCCGTCAAGCCCAGCGGTAGCTATGGACATGAAGAGTACCCCATCAGCTTTGGTCACGAGGAGCGACCAATAAAACCCAGCGGCAGCTACAAACCTAGCAGTCACGAAAGCAGCTACGAGGAGCCCCTTAAGCCATCAGGGAGCTATGGACATGAGGAGCGACCCATGAAGCCTGCTGGCAGCTACAAACCCAGCAGTCACGAAAGCAGTTACGAAGAGCATGCCAAACCCATTGGCAGCTACGGTTCTGGACTGGAACCCAGCAGCAGTTACAAGCCCAGCAGCCACGAAAGCAGTTACGAAGAGCCCCACAAGCCCAGTGGAAGTTACGGACACGAGGAGCGACCCGTCAAGCCAAGTGGCAGTTACAAACCCAGCCACGAAAGCAGTTACGAAGAGCCCCACAAGCCCAGTGGAAGTTACGGACACGAGGAGCGACCCGTCAAACCCAGTGGCAGTTACAAACCCAGCCACGAAAGCAGTTACGAAGAGCCCCACAAGCCCACTGGAAGTTACGAACACGAGGAGCGACCCGTCAAACCCAGTGGCAGTTACGAACACCACTCTGAGCACCACGCCAAGCCCTCGGGTAGCTACGGGCACAGCGAACACCGCCGACCTGACGAACACGAGGACAGCGACGGTGGCTGGCACTTTGAGTCCGACCTCCACCACGGCCACGGAGACCACAAGCAAGGCTCGTCGTACGGGGGACACCGCGAGGAGGTGCATCGCGACCACGACAGGGACGCGCACCGCGAGGAGAGGCCCAGCTATCCGGATGGCCACCGCGACCGTGACGAACACCATCACCACGACGACCACCACGACGACCACCACGACCACCGCGATGAACCCAAGAAGGGCTCGTCCTACGGCGCGCACCAGGAAAGCCCCTCATATGACGCGCATCATGACCGCCGAGAAACCCATGACGGCCATGACCGTGACGTGGAGGGGGGCAGCGGCGGCAGCTACCGGCCGGCATCGCCAGTATCGCAGACCGGGTCCGGAGCCGGTCTGACGGGGGGCCCGGTGGGGTCCCCCTCGGGGCACGGCCACTCCTACGGCGGCAGTCGCGGCGGCGGCTACGCCAAGCCCATCGCCACCGCCCTGCACGAGGGCCTGGCCCACGCCACCAAGCCCGCCGGCAGCTACGGCCGCCGGAGATAGGCTAGGGGCTGCGCCGGGCTGCGCGCGTGTCCTCCGTGTGCCCCAAGTCGGCCACCTCGCCGCCGAACCCCAACTTAATTTATTCCCTTCGTTTCCAGTTCGGCGCAGCGGAACCGCGATCCTGCTCCCCTCCCCCGCAATGCCGAAGTAACAGCCGCACGGGATGAGCGCGAGCTATCAATTACGACTCGCCCGGAGGGCTGCGTCCGCGGCGCGTCCGCGAGACCGCCAACGCGGGGCGGGGGCAGTCCGAACCGAACGTGGCCGCCGATAGACAGCACGCGACGCGACGGCCGCCCGGCCCGGCGGGGCTATCTGACTGGGCGCCGCCATGCCACGGCCATGGCGCCGCAAATCGCTGAACTCGCCGAACGCAAGTTGTTGTCGCGGTGTCGCCGCGGCGCAGTCGCACGAGTCGCACGCGTGTCGCGACCGCGGCTTGGAGCGGGGTAGCGGATTGCCCTTGGCAGCTCGAACAGCGGATAACGAGGCCGCCAGGGCCAAAGTCATGACCCTCATGACGGAGCGGCGGGGCGGGGCGGGGCAGGCTGCAGCCCGTGCCGTCATGGCCGTGATGGCGTCATTGGCGGCACGGCCGCGGCGTCACCGAAGCGCGCTGTCATGTCGGCTCCTATGACGCCGCGCCTCGTTTTCGCACGATGATGCAAAGATCGTCAACGGGTGGATCGCGATGGATCGTGCTCGCGAACGTCGGTTCGGGTCGGTTCGGAACCAAACCGAAGCGCCGGTTTTGGCCCAAACCGTTGACCAGCTTCGAGTCCCGGCGGCGCTTCAATTTTTTTTCGCGATTTCAGAGCTGCAACCGCAACTAACATTTCACGGCATATATAAATACCGTGGATATTCTTTTTCAAGAACCTGAAAGGTACCAGAGACCGACAAAAATGCAGGCTTCTGCCGGGATTCGAAGCTGGGCCAGTCGCCGGCCGGACCCACGCCCGCCAGGGCTTGGCTCGGGACCGACTCGGACCGACGTTGGCGAGCACGATCCAACGCGATCCACCCGTTGACGATCTTTGCGATGATGTCATGAGCTGCTGCCTGTGTTGACGGACGACAGTGCCCGCGCTGCCGTGGCTGCCCCCCATCCGCGTGCTGCCCTCTTTTCATGTTGTGATATACATTTTAGGGAAACCGAGAGTGTACTGTATTTACCACTGAGAACCAAGAAAAAAAATGAAATAAAAGTTAAAACAACATCTTTTTGTCGTGTGCTTTCTTTCTTTTGTGTGCGCCTCCAATACATGTGATTGAGCGGGCGCGAAAAGCAACAGGCCGAACGCCTCGGAACGCGAAACTTGGCGAAGAGTCGCGGCAGAATGTGATCTCTCAATCGGCGGAGTGCGGCGGAGTGCGGCGGAGTGCGGCGGAGTGCGTGCCCCGGGGCGTGCGTCTCTGCGCCGGCGAGGCGGGCAGCCCAACGGGCACGCGGGAGACTCCCGCCATGCACCCGCAGCGCACAGTGGGCCAGAAGACCGGTGGAGCGGCCAAAATTCGAGACGCGTTTTGAGCTCCAGAGTCGCTAAATGGGACTCGAATCGACCGTGTGACCCCACCAATGGATTGCTCTCCGAACAAGGAATCCATTGGTGGGGTCACACGGTCGGTTGGTGTCCCATTTAGCGACTCTGGAGCTCAAAACGCGTCTCGAATTTTGGCCGCTCCACCGGTCTTCTGGCCCACTGTGCAGCGTCCCGACGGATTCCAGGTGTCGTCGTCGAACAGCCAGGCTGATCCCGAAGACCCGTTTCGTCGCTCTGTCTCTGTCGCACTGCGAGGGCGTTCCGTGCACGCGTGCGGCCGCGAGAGAGACGGAGAGACGGAGCGATTCTCGGCCGACTGTAATATCGCCAAGTGATTCCCCGGAAGGCGGCCCGGCCCAGCGCAGCGCCGCCGCGGGGCGGGGCGAGTGGGGCTCTTTGAAACTTCCGCGGAGATACCTGTGTCGTGCCGCCGTGCCGCCGTTTCCTTGCAGTCGCCAAGTTCTCTCGAGATACAAAGGAAGGCGGCGGTAAAAGAGCGCCCCGGGCGTTGCCGAGGCCCTCGAGTTTGAAGTTTACGCCCCCGCCCCTCCAAGGGCCAGACGGCCGCCACCCAGAGTCCTCGACAAAGGGCGTGACGGAGGACTCGGCCTGCCCGGAGGGCGACTACCGTGTCCGGCACTTGCCGATGGCAGTGGACTTGGCTTGCAGTGGAGCGGCAAATTCGTGAGGACATGCAGCCCGCGGTCCACCTAGCGACGCGGGCAGTCACGAAGGCGACGCGGATAAATACTGGCAAGTCGTGCGCCGCGGACAGCAGGACGCACCCAAGTTCGTGATGGCTCTCCTGTTGGGTTAAATAAATACTCGTCGATTGGGTAACAGTAACAAGTTTGTTTTCTTTTTAATAACACGGGCAATAAATACATCGATAGCGAAATCAATAAATATCAACAGGACAAAGTCCTCGACACCGGGCGAGGCCTGGGCCAGGGTCGCGGCGGAGAGAGGAGCGAAAGAGTAAAACAAGGCCACCGGAGAGGATTAGAACCCGCGCCCTCGCCGCAACAGTCGGGGTTGTTGCGTCCCCGGGGTGGTGCTGCGCGGGCTGCGCGCGGCGTCCGGGGTACTCGACTCATCGCGGAAGGGCTCGGCGACGGCGGGGGCTGGCGGGGGCAGGCTCACAGCGACGCCGGGTACGGGCCGGGGGCCGCGGCGGGGTAGGGCGCGGGGGCGGCGGCCACCTCAGCCGGGTAGGGAGCGGCCGGAACGGGTGCAGCAGCAGGGCTCTCCCGCAGAGGCTCGTACCTCACGGCGTTGTACTTGGCGAAGCCGAGGTGTGGCAGCAGCTTGTACTTGATCTCGGCCTTCTTCACCTTGGCCAAGAGCCCGAAGGAGGGCGCTGCGGAGGTAGCCACCAGGGCGCAGGCAAGGATCGCCTGCAACAGCGGAGAGAAGGGCGTCAGGGGAGGCGCGGCTTCACTTTGAAACTGGGATTGCGGGCGGAGTGCGCATCCGCGGCAAGTTGGGGGCGGCCTGGCGGCGGCGGCGTCGGCGTCGGCGGCCTAGCGCCTGCGAGGCGGGCCTGCCCGTGACACTCGCGCGCCGCGACCAGGACCGGCGGCCTACCTCGCAGGCGCCCCATGCGGCACGTGCGGCCTGCACTCCCGGCGAAACAACCCCCTTCCAAACACCGACGGGGACTTGCCGTGCTGCGGCGTCCACCGTCCACCCCCGCGGCGCGACGGACACTCACCAAGATGATAGCGGCCTTCATGGTGACGGTGATGCTGGGCGGCTGCTGACGGAACGCACTGTGCAGTGTAGGGTAAGGGACGGACTGCCGGGGAAAGTGAGGGCCCGACTACTTATACTTAGTGCGGCCGGCAATGGCCGTTTGGAGGGGGCGTGGGCGGAGAAAGTGCTGGAGCACCCCGAGCAGCCGGACCAAGCCCTGCCGCGCTCCAAGAGACCAACCCCAGTGGCGGATCCAGAGTCGGCCCAAGGGGGGGGGCAAGGTAGCACCTTTTGCCTATTTACAGGGGCAAAGTGGTACTTTTTGCCTACCTTTCAGGCGGCTATCTAGGGGTCAAGGGGGGGGGGCAATTGTCCTTGCAGTGTAGGCAATGCTACCAGGTGCCTGTTAAACTACTCTGGGTTTACTACTCTTGGATAACAAATGTTCTCGAACGTGGTGGTTGGTACTTTCTCAACGTGACCGGTGGGCCAAACTAGGCCAAACTTAGTCAAAACACAGCATAATGTGCAGCCATACCAAAAAAAAAGTTTTTCAGCCGAACACAGTGGCGTCCTGCAGCATTGGACTAGTTTTTCGCTGCGACCGCGAGAGGTCTGTTTTTTCAACCCTCCTTAGTGAGTGGCTGGTCTGATTGATGGCTGGCTGGAGGAGTCCAGGGCAACCCTGCAGGGCAACCCTCCAGGGTTCTCGCCCCCTTGGCCACTCTCTCTCAGCGCCGCGCAGCGCCAACAGACCTACCCCGAGATGATTTACATTTTGGAAGAAAAATTGCAAGGCCACCAAAGTTGGTGAAAAATGGAAACCTGCTAAAACCAGTCCAGGCCCACGCGCCATGTAACATTTTACGCGCTCTAGTACTAGCAAAAAAAAATGTGTGGGGAAATTTTAATTTGCGGCACTGTGCCGCTGCTCGAAGATCGACGTCAGAGCATAAAACCGGAATCGACCGGGACCCTCGACGGTTGGGTCCCCCCACGGCACGCACCACCCTGCAGCATGCCTGCGGCGCGGGGCCGTGGGCCGTTCGAATGTACCCATCCGCGAGCCAGCGACAAGCGCACGCCTGGACGAGCAGGGCGACACACACACACGCCAACACGCAGGCGCGCTCACACACACGCGTCTGTTACACAATCGGAATGCGGTCCCATTGTGCCATGTGCTGGCGGCCAGGCCGGGCCGGGCTACCCCATCGCGTTATGTCAATCGCGAGCCCGGCCAGGCCGGGCCAGGCAGTTTGGCCCCGAGCACCGCGCCGTCCACCGCGTCCCCGGCTTACCTTTGTCCGGTCAATGGGTCTGGGTCAACGGCCCCCTTGGGGTGCCCCTAGGGCCGTCCCCCACCGCGCCTACAGTGCGCCACGTTATATCAAAAAGCGTTTCATTTGTCCGGCCGGCTCCCATTTGCCATCGGGCCGAGTTTTTCTGTCAGCCTCCTTTGTGCATTAATTACGGCTAGCCAACCATTGGCCGCGCCAAAATCCCCGCCGAGGGCTGCGTCGGGCTGCGTATGACGCGCTGCGGTAGCTGCGGTGCCGCCACGCATCTTTTCAGCATTCACTTTCAAGGCCGCTCCATTCCGCCCCGCCCCCCCCCCTCCCCACCTCGGATCCGCCCCTTGCTGAAAGCCGGGAGATGCGTTGAGTTATGCGGGCCCGCTCCGGGCCGGGCCCCTGCAGGGTGCTTCCGAGCCGTCGCTCTGTCTCTCTCGCACCCCTGCGGAACCCCCACGAGTGCGAGAGAGACAGACAGCCAGCTCCTCATGGTGGCCCCAAGCTGGGCCCCACGAGGGGCGGCGACGTCAGCCTCGGTGGGCTGAAACCACGGCGGACGGCGGGCGGGGCGGAGCGTCGAGAGGTGCACAAAATACTCCGGGGACTGGCGGCCGGGCCTGGGCGCCCGGACCTGGACAGCAGCCCTGTCCGACAAAGCAGCCTGGACGGCCTGGACGGCTTGGAGGGTAGAGCGTGGCAGCGGCGCGGTCAAGTGGAACGAATGCGCGCTGCTGAAAAGCACCGAAAAGGCGACCAACGGCGACCACGCATTGCCGGGCGGGCAGCGGGCAGGTCGCGCCTCCAGGGCAGCGCCGGAACAGCGCAGCGTGGCGGAGTGTCGACGCCAAAAAAGCGACCGGTATAATCTATGGCCCCGCAGCCCTGGCCAGCCGGGGCGGGGGCGGAGACGGGGGAGACGGGGACGGTGCGCGCCGAGGAAAAACGAGCATGACACATCGGGTGGCTGATACGTTGATGCGCAGCGCGGCAGCGCGGCGGGGTGAAATAAAAACACATGGCATTTTGTGGCGGCTGTAACCCTTACCCTTGTCGTGGGCCTCGGCGATGTTGAGCAGCATGGCCAGCCCGGTGCGCAGCCCGCCGCAGAGCATGGCCACGACGAGGCGCAGCACCGCCTCCAGCAGCATGACGACCACGACGGCCGCCCGCAGCACCACCCCCAGGCACCACCAGCCCATCCCCGCCTCCAGCAGCTCGGCCCCCGGGGCTGCCGTCGCCGTCGTCGCCGGGTTCGGCGACAGCCAGGATGAATCCTGGGCGCCCGCATCAAGTCCGGCTGTTGCTCGGAGCGCGTTTTCGTTCTCCGAGGCGGAGTGCGCAACGTGGCTGACCTGCGGCTGCTGTTGCTGCTGGGGTGCCATCAGGGCCGCCGAGAGCTCGGCCTCCATGAAGAAGGGGTCGTCCTCCAACGAGTCGTGCGAGGGGCAGGCGCTGCAGCTCGAGCAGGCGCCGCGGCTGGCCGCCGACACCTGAGCAGCGCCAGCAGCGCCAGCATGTCAAGCACCGCGAGCGCCCGGAGGCAGGCCACCCAACCAACACGGTGGCGGTGACGGGGCCCCGTGAGGGTGGCGGTTCTACTCCGGGCGTACAGTACAGGCAGACGCCGTGAGTGGAACTCGGTGGAAACCGAGGACAACTTTATTCCGCGTGCCTCTGACTGACAAAGCCACCTGTCGGAACTATTCCGTCCCGCCCGAGGCAGAGATTTGGTCGATTTCAACTCACTTTACTTCACCCCCGGCTCGCCCCGGACCCCGGGCTTTGGGCCGCGGGACAAGTCAGCCCGAAATCGACGCACACGCAACATTGTCCTGTCTATTCCCGACCATTGACTTTATTTCCGAGTGGCGAACTGAGATCCCGTTTCGACCAGACGGACAGACAGACCTCTCTGTGCGGACGGGTCATCGCTACGGCCAGGCTGTCCTCGGTCCTCTCGGTGACTCCGCTACACTGCGACACTCCACCACCGCGTTGAGTCGGCAGAAGCCTCCGCGGACCAACAATGCTCCATTTCCATGGCTCGCTGCCGAAGCGCGACACGGCGAAAGAAAAGACTTTGGTATTACAAAACGATTTATTGTACAAAAATAAAATCATAAATAAAGTATAAAAATATGACAACAGTACAGAGCAATGGTTTGGGCCAGCCGTTTATTTTTTTGGCACATGTTTGCGGCAAATTTCTGTCGGCTGCCAAAGTTTTCCTCTGTTTATATGGCACGGTGTGTCTAACGCCGAACAGCCGAACGGCGGCGGCAAGTTTCGCGGGCGTCTGAGTCTGGCGCGCCTTGGCTCGCCTTGGCTCGCCTTGGCGGGGTGGTGGTGGTGGTGGTGGTCGTTGTCGTCGTCGGTCATCGTGTGGTCGCGTCGCCGTCATGCCGCGGCCGGCCGGGCCCTTCGGCCAATGGCAGCGCGTGACGTCACGAGGATGACTCTCGGCCGACGGCGAGGTGCAAACCACCGGCAAGTCCTGGCCAGGTGTGAAAATACCGAAGAGTCAAGTGTCATCTTCCACGCGGCGTTCGAGAAACAACCGCTGCGGCGCGGCGTGGTGTTGGCGTGTCGTCGGGAGGGGAGGGGGGGGGCGTCGCGGGCAGGGCTGACCGCCACTGCCTCCGTCGTCACCACTGTCAAGTCCAGGCGCGCGCGCCCCTGTCAGCTGCCGTCAATATTTGGCGCGGACGCCCCAAAGTCGCAGACGGTCAGTGGTCCGTCCGCGGGGTCCGCGGCGTCGCCGCGTCGCCTAGCGGCCCAGGGCGGGGTAGGCGGCGGGGTAGGCGGCGGGGTAGGCAGCGGGGTAGGCGGCGGGGTAGGCGGAGGCGTACGGCCGGTAGGCGGGGTGGGCGACCGCGCTGCGCCGCCGCTCCTCCTTGGCCCAGTACTCGCGACGGCGCTCACTCTGCTCGCGGCGCTCGGCGTCGCGCTGCTGGGTGGCGAACAGCGGCCGGAACACCACGCTGGACCGCTTGGACAGCGAGTGGGGCGCCGCGTCCACTGAGCAAGAAAGTTGCAGTCATTGCAATGAAGCGGGTGCCGAGCCTGCACTGTGCTCCACGACGGCGACCTCACCTTCGGTGCCTTCGGGCGCGACGTAGGGCTCCAGGTGGTCCGGCGCGAAGGGGTAGACTGGCGGCTGTAGGGCGGGCTGCTCCTCCACGCTGTAGACGGCGTACAAGTCGTCCTCGGGGATGCGCGCGTCGCTCACGGCGCGCGCCTCGCTCGAGAGCACCGCCGCGGCGAGGACCAGCAGCACCTGACGGAGGCGGAGACATGCGTTACTTTTTGTCGAGTCGCCTAACTGAGAAGAATGAAACAGTTTCCCCTTTTTGTGGCTGCCCCATTACGCGGGCCGCGCTGCCGCCCACGCGCCGTGTATCTTTTAATGAGATCTAGTTTATAAAAAGACAAACTCAACATTAATTTCGCCATCCAAGTTCTGAATGCATGCCGAGGCGAAACCGGCGAACAATAAAGCCGCAATTTCCTTGATGTTGAAGAGAGCATTCGGCCGGCGGCAGCGAGACCTTTGCACCCATTGTCCGTCGCGGCCGCCCCGGCGCCCTGCGCCCTGGCCTCAGACGACTTGCTGCTGATGGTGCTGCGACGGCGCAGTCTCGCGTAACGAAGCGCGGCGGAGCCACAGCGGGGCAAGCAAAGCCGTTGGGTCTTTGTCTTGGCTGAGATGACATAATTTGAGGCCGTTCCGGCGAGATTTGGCGGCGAGCCGCTCGGCTCCGCTCGGCTCTAGGGCTTGGCGCCCTTAGCCGGCCGGGGCGTAGAGCCGAGGCGCGGATGCTGTTTATTCTGTCGCGCTGTCTTTTTGCGCCGCGGGTCTGTCCCCTCTCGCTGTCGGGGGGAAATACTGAACAAAGCCCTGCTGCCGGTAGTACCACGCCGCCGCGTTGTCAGGGCCTTGCGCCCCGCCCCGCCCCGCCCCGCCCCGCCCCGCCCGCCCCGCCCGCCCCGCCCCGCCCCGCCCCTGCCCCGCCCCGCCCGCCATGGTGATAGAAACACGTACGAACCGAGGCGAGGGCCGCGTGGAAAATGACTTGTTTTTGCGTAGCGCCACTTGCACGCAAACACGGAGAACACACATGAGCTACCCGTACCGGCGTTGGGTATTCGGCAGGGGCTACTTCCCTCCTCCTCGGCACGCCGAACGGACGAACAAAGGATAATTTTGCATTTCTCATTCGAGGGAGCACGCCCGCCCGGCAAATGTGTTTCTGAAATCAAGTTCTTGATGATGAGGCTTGAGTCAAGAACACGTTTTCACGGTGAGGGTGTTCCAGGCGACACATTAGCGCTGGCAAATCGGGTCTGCCGAGACGACGTTGCGTCCGGGCGAGGAGAGCCAGCAACGCGGTGCCAGGTGCCACGGCCCTGCCTGGGCCTGCCTGGCCCTGCCTAGCCCTGCCACGCGCCACGCCACCGCCACGGCGCCTCGGCACGGCCGCAGCGGTCATGACTTCGCCCGTGTTCCCCGCGCCCTTTCAGGGCATTATAATTGAATGAGGCGCTGCACAGAAAGGGCGGACACGAAAAGCAGAAGAAAGAGGAGCAGAAGAAGGAGAAGAAGAAGAAGAAGATGAAGGGAGAGTGTGGGGCGGGGGTGCCTGGGGCTCCACAATAAACTGGGCGACGAAACACTAGGAAGCCCCACACTGGAACGTGGGGCTGGGGCCACACCCTCCAGTCTAAACCAACCCCGGCCACACACACTACCCCCCCCCCTTTCCGATTCGCGGCATAGGCAGCGGCAAACCACGCGATTGTATAGTATGTTCTCAAACCGCGGAGAGTTTAGAGTATCAAAGGAGCAGGGAGGGTCTACGCTAGCCCGTGAGTGCGAGAGAGACAGTCGCACCTCAAACTACCCCTGCTCGGCGCAGTGACGCCAGGCCGCGGAAAACGTGCGGTTTCCAATTCCTGAAGAAACTCGATGGCGACGGAGGGCGAAGGCAGCGAGGGCGACGTCGCCTGGTCTTGGCTCACCTGCGGGGCTTTCATGTTGGAACTGTGGACGGCGGCGGGTCTGCGGAGTCCCTGGTCGTCTGCGACGTCGTCTGCTGGCCGCGCCGCGAGTCGCCACAGTTTATATACTGATCGGTTTGTCCTCCTCCTTGTCCCCACGCGCCACGGCGCCGCGCTGCGACGCCACTGGGTTCGCCAAGAGGTCGTTCCACGAAGCGGCGAAGCGGCCGGCCGGCGCTAGGCTCCCCGAAGGCATGCCGCGCGTATCAGGGGCTCTCTGTCCGCGGCGCGTTACGCGGAACCGGGTGCTCGCGGAGCCGGCGGAACCCCGGACGAGTCAGCGCTAGTGTGCCAGCGCCAACCAGCGCACGCACTCCCCACGGTCCCGGGTTCAAAACCCGCCCCCGCCCCGGGGAGGCGGCCGTGCCATTTTTATTTCATTTCATTCGGACTCCGAACGGACACGTCGGTGGGAAGCGTGTCGGTCTGGGCCAGCGGCGCGCTGGCTCTTTTATATTTTAACTTTGGTGCCCACTCATCTTTCGGTCATGGCGGGTGAAGCGACCTCGCTAAGTTGGCCCAAAATGCCGACAAATCGATAGAGGATGCGAATTTGCTGATCTTGGGTGGCCACTGGCCAAAAGACGACCTTGCCGGCGGCGTCCCGGTGGATCTGGAGGCTGGAGGCTGAAGCACCCACGCCGTCGGCTCGCCCTCGACCGCCAGTCGGGCCTCGTTTTTCATTCCCTCCTTCTTCCTGCATGCCCTACATCATGTCGTGCCCTACATCATGCCGCCCGTCATCCGCGGAGGCGTCCGCGAGGCCGCCATGGAGGCCGCCATGGAGGCCGCGAGGGTGCCGCCATGAATATCCAAGGGGACAGTCGCCGCGGCTGTATCGGACTCGGGCAGCTCGGGGGCGGCCATGAGGGCGGCGGCGGGGGCGGGGCCCGCGGGGACCGCTGCCAAACTCCGCGCGACCCTGAAGGACGGTCAGGAGAACTTGAGTTGAGAGGGATGCCATGCCGCCGCCGGTAAAACGAAACCGGAAGAGCTGGGATCAAAACCGGCAGCAGCCCTTCAAACTGGTGGAATGCTCTCCACCTGGCAAAGTGCGTAAGAATATTTTGAAGCGGCGAGTTGTCGGCACAGCCACGCGCGACGGCAGCGTGCCGAAGAGCTTGCGAGCGAGACAGAGCGATGAAGAGGGTTCCGCGCAGCATTGGGCGAGGTCAGTCACGCCTGAATCACGCCGCGAAATGAGTAACGCTTCCGGCCGAAAAACAGCGCCAAAATGTTTGGTTCTGGCCGGCCGGGGTGGGGTGGGGCGTTCGCGTTCGCGGGCGTTCGCGTTCGCGGGCGTTCGGCGAGACGCGGGGGCGACGTTGATCCCGCACACGGCGCCGCGACGCGCGGTGGCGGCCGATGGCGGCCGATGGCGGTGGCAGCAGTACATCGGTGCGTTACGCTCGCTGACACCTCGCGAGAGGCTATTTTCTGCTTCGGACAACACATTTGTTCCATCGCGCAGCTGCGACCTTTCCTCGTCGCCGCGGCGCCCCTCCCCTCCCCTCCCCTCCCCCCCTCCGCGCCCCCCTTTCCTCCGGAGAGACGAACCGACCCCTCCCCCCCCCCCCCCCCCCCCCCCACTCACCCGGCCGCGGCGTCACTCAAAAGGAAAATGTCCGAGACGGCATCTCGGAGGCACAAAACTGGAAGAGATAAGAGGTGGAGAGGGAAGCCGCGAAATCAAAGGCGGGCTCCAAGTTGGGCCACTTAAAAGTTGGGTATCATAACCTCTTCACCTGGCCGGCGGCGCATCAACAGGATCAGAAGGAGTGCTGGGACCAGTGCGGTGGTTGGCGGGGCTGGGCGCTGTGGCGCTATGCAGCCGGGGCAGGGCCGCGCGGCAGATGATGAAGTACACCAAGTTGAGGGGTCGTTCGTTTCAGACGCGGGCGCCTGCATTCTCGCCATTCCCGCCTTTCTCCGCGTTTTAGGCACGCTTTGCTTTTGTTCTCTTGTCAGTTTTAACGGACGCGGGGATAATAAAGGATTTCGGCCATCGGCCCGCCATGATTGATTGTACACACAACGCCTAGAAGGGGGTCGATATACACACACGATACACACGCGCCGACACACATGGGCAGACAGACACGCTCGCACCTGCACGCACACACCCACCGGCGCCCGGTCGCACACGCGCAGACTGACAGTAATGCCAGATTCTGCGACCGAGAACACGGCGTTGTTGTTGTGGTGCATGCCAGCTCTGCAGAGCTTGCTCTGGCCTGTCTGGACCTGCTCCCCGCTGCAGCAGCCCAGGTACACACACCTTTCATTAAAGTCCGGCTGCACTGGCCACCGGGCGCACCGTGGCCGCACCGGCTCTGACTCAGCCCTACGGGGATTACCGGGATTACCTTGCTCGGGCCCAGCGGCCCCGCACTGGCACCCTGGCACGGCCCAGCTGGCCCACGCCGCCCACGCGCCGTGCTTTCGCCGCCACCGTGCTAGCAGGGCAAGCACACCAACATTTCCGCTGCTCTTGTTCTTGTTGCTGCTGTTGCTGGGTCACGCAGGGCGCGGCTGTGACGGCGTGCTGTGACGGCGTGCTGTGACGGCATGCTGTGGCCGCGCTCCCGCGCTCCCAGCGACCGGCCCGGCCCGCGGCCCCGCCGGCCTACTATTTCCGTGCGATGCGCTCATTCGCACCCCGTCATCGCAGCCATCGTGACGCGGTGGTGTGCCAGACGGGGCGACGCCGCCTCGCCGCCACGCCGCCGTCCATCCGCCGTCGCAGCCCCGCGCGAAGAAGCGCGAAGCCGCCAAGCCGCCAAGCCGCCAAGCGCCTAGGAAGCGGGCTGGTGGGGCTGGTGGGGCTGGTGGTCGCTGTGGAGCCAGCTGGCCAGCCAGGCAGACGGACACCCAGGCAGCCAGGCAGCCTGCCAGGTAGCCAGCCAAGCAGGCAGGCAGGCAGGCGGCCAGGGCGATATTCGGCCGGAAGCAGCGCCTTGATTGATGGGTTCGACGGTATTGATTGCCGTTCTCTTCTCGCGCCTCCTCGCCTCCACCTCCAGGCACGCAAGAAAGGCAGGGCCATGGCAGCGCCATGGCAGCGCCCTGGAGAAGAAGAAGAAGAAGGAGTAGAAGCAGTGCGAGCAGCCCGCGGCCCCGCGAGTACTTGCCGTCTGGTTAGTACCGGGTAAATGAGCGGGTCTGGTGGTGGAATGGCGGGGTGGAGGGTCTGCTGGGGGGCGATAAAAAGACAGGCGGGCATTAAGCGCGGGGGCCGCGGGGGCCACGGGGGCCACGGGGGCCGCGGGGGCGCAAGCATGGCGCGGGGGCGTCGTCAGCACAATTGCTTCCCTCTCGGGGGTCCTCACGACGTCCACCCGGCACGCGTCTCGCGTCTCCTTCACAGACACAATAAACTTTGTGCGTGCACGCACTCCTCCCTCACACACACACACACACACACACACACACACACACACACACACACACACACAAACAACGGCGTAACTTAGCCACCTACGCCCGCCGCCTCTTGAAGCCCCACGACACGCACTACACTTGCCATCCCCCCGCGCCCCGCACGCACGCGCCCCCACCCGCAACCACCCACATACTACGCACGCAGGCACGCACGCACGCACGCGAGGCCAGATACGACAAAAGTAAAGCCGGTTGATGAACAGCGAGGGCGGACCCCTGCGTGCGCGTGCGGTGCGTCCCTTGGCACGGCGGGGCGGCCCAGAAGTTAGTCCGGGTCGTCGTCACCCTGCCCACGCTTGGCGCCCGCTGCGACCTCGCGAGCGTAGGGCCAGGCTCCAGGCCTGGCGGAGCCTGGCGGAGCAGGGACCTCCTCCAGTTCCAGTTCGCCTCCTACGCGGCGCGTCTAGGACGTCGTCTAGGGCCGCCGTCTCCAGGCTGGAGCCCTTTATCGCCAGGCCCTTGAAACCTCCAATCCATCGGCCCTGCAGCCGAGCGGCTCACTGCGTGCCACGCACTGCGCGGCCGGCAGCCAGCAGGCTCACTGCGTGCCACGCACTGCGCGGCCGGCAGCCAGCAGGCTCACTGCGTGCCACGCACTGCGCGGCCGGCAGCCAGCAGGCTCACTGCGTGCCACGCACTGCGCGGCCGGCAGCCAGCAGGCTCACTGCGTGCCACGCACTGCGCGGCCGGCAGCCAGCAGGCTCACTGCGTGCCACGCACTGCGCGGCCGGCAGCCAGCAGGCTCACTGCGTGCCACGCACTGCGCGGCCGGCAGCCAGCAGGCTCACTGCGTGCCACGCACTGCGCGGCCGGCAGCCAGCAGGCTCACTGCGTGCCACGCACTGCGCGGCCGGCAGCCAGCAGGCTCACTGCGTGCCACGCACTGCGCGGCCGGCAGCCAGCAGGCTCACTGCGTGCCACGCACTGCGCGGCCGGCAGCCAGCAGGCTCACTGCGTGCCACGCACTGCGCGGCCGGCAGCCAGCAGGCTCACTGCGTGCCACGCACTGCGCGGCCGGCAGCCAGCAGGCTCACTGCGTGCCACGCACTGCGCGGCCGGCAGCCAGCAGGCTCACTGCGTGCCACGCACTGCGCGGCCGGCAGCCAGCAGGCTCACTGCGTGCCACGCACTGCGCGGCCGGCAGCCAGCAGGCTCACTGCGTGCCACGCACTGCGCGGCCGGCAGCCAGCAGGCTCACTGCGTCCCGCACTCCGCCGGCAGCAGAGGCAGCGTGCCACGCACTGCGCGGCCGGCAGCAGAGGCCAGGTGCAGCATGCGGCCGGCGCCCGCCACTGCGTGCCACGCACTGCGCGGCCGGCAGCCAGCAGGCTCACTGCGTGCCACGCACTGCGCGGCCGGCAGCCAGCAGGCTCACTGCGTGCCACGCACTGCGCGGCCGGCAGCCAGCAGGCTCACTGCGTGCCACGCACTGCGCGGCCGGCAGCCAGCGGGCTCACTGCGTGCCACGCACTGCGCGGCCGGCAGCCACGGGCTCACTGCGTGCCACGCACTGCGCGGCCGGCAGCCAGCAGGCTCACTGCGTGCCACGCACTGCGCGGCCGGCAGCCAGCAGGCTCACTGCGTGCCACGCACTGCGCGGCCGGCAGCCAGCAGGCTCACTGCGTGCCACGCACTGCGCGGCCGGCAGCCAGCAGGCTCACTGCGTGCCACGCACTGCGCGGCCGGCAGCCAGCAGGCTCACTGCGTGCCACGCACTGCGCGGCCGGCAGCCAGCAGGCTCACTGCGTGCCACGCACTGCGCGGCCGGCAGCCAGCAGGCTCACTGCGTGCCACGCACTGCGCGGCCGGCAGCCAGCAGGCTCACTGCGTGCCACGCACTGCGCGGCCGGCAGCCAGCAGGCTCACTGCGTGCCACGCACTGCGCGGCCGGCAGCCAGCAGGCTCACTGCGTGCCACGCACTGCGCGGCCGGCAGCCGAGCGGCTCACTGCGTGCCACGCACTGCGCGGCCGGCAGCCGAGCGGCTCACTGCGTGCCACGCACTGCGCGGCCGGCAGCCAGCAGGCTCACTGCGTGCCACGCACTGCGCGGCCGGCAGCCAGCAGGCTCACTGCGTGCCACGCACTGCGCGGCCGGCAGCCAGCAGGCTCATTCATTTCGCCGCTCTGCCTCTCGCACCCTTCCGGCCACGCCCTATGAGTGCGACAGAGACAGCGACAGCGACGCGTCGGTATTTCGGAATCAGCGCGCCGGCCCTCGGCCCGGCCCTCCGCCCGCACGCGTCGCTCGTGAGTCGCTCGTCAACATCCTCAAGGCCCCAACGCGCTAGGCGCTACGGCGCTACGCACTACGCCGCTGCCGCTCCGGCCAGGGATATCAACACAGTGAGCGAAGGGCGAAGGGCAGGGAGGGGAGGGGAAGGGAAGGGTGCTGGACCACCCCGCCTGGCCCCGCCTGGCCCCGCCTGGCCCCGCCTGCCCCGCCTGCAGGCCCGCCCTACCCCGTCCTTGTCCTTGAGGCCTCCGGTCTGATGGTCTCGCCCCGTCTCCCTCGCACCCCCGCGGAACGCGCCCTGAGCGCGAGAGAGACGCCTTGCTGCGAGTGTTGGCGAGATGCCTCCGACTGCCAATAGGAGGGGGGAGCCTTTCGGCAGGCCGTCGCGCCGTCAGGGATGAGGGGCTGACAGGTCGCTGCAGCTGGAGAGACGAGACGACGTGGCGCCGTGAGCGAAGCGCGAAATGCGAGCGAAAATCTCCCGCCACGCGGGGCTTGGCACGGCGCGAACGGAGCCTGACACGGCGCGTCACGGCGCGTCACGGCGCGTCACGGCGCGTCACGGCGTGTCACAACGGGCATCCGGAAGCGCCGAGCTGCCTGGCGCACTCCAAGGCGGAGGCTCGGAGGGTGCACCGACGCGGCAGTGGCGCGCCAGGCCACCCCACTGCGAAAGCCATCCTCGGCAGTGTAACTAGTAGCGGGGCGGATTAGAAGCGCGGGTGCGGCTGGCAGCTCGTACTCATTCACTTGTTAGTGGAGCGCCAGTGGGTTATCGTGCGAGGGGTGCGGGGTGGGGTGGGTGGGGAGATTTAGCGGCAGCGGAGTCATTACGCCCTTGCCACCTGCCACCTGATCCAGGGTAATGAAGGCGATCAAGTGTGATAGTGTGAGTGTGAGAGTGTGCGTGTGTGTGTGAGAGAGAGAGAGAGAGAGAGAGAGAGAGAGAGAGAGAGAGAGAGAGAGAGAGAGAGAGAGAGAGAGAGAGAGAGAGTGAGTGACAGAGAGAGAGAGAGTGTTGGCGGCTCTGGACACGTGCATGACCCTCCAGGATTGGCCTCTGGATACTCTCCCCCGAGCTAGAGCCAGCCTGCCGTGCCGACGCCTGCGTCAGGAGGCAGAACGCTCTGCAGCGCTCTGCAGCGATGAGATTTGCTGGCTTTGCGCGCGTTCGGCGCGGACACAACAGCAGCACGACGACGACGTAGTTTGTACGATGCTATTGTTCCGGGCCTGCCGGGCCTGCCGGGACCGTGTTCAACACGCGGCGCGCGCGTGGCGCGTGTCAGCCAGCCAGCCAACCAGCCAGCCAGCCACAAAGAGCCGTTTGTGAGTTTGTGAGTCTGCGTGATAACGAGGTTTGCCTTTCCGCGGGACCGCGAGTTTTCTTTCGCACAGTGTGTGTGTATGTGTGAGCGAGAGAGAGAGAGAGCGCGAGCGAGGGAAGAGGAGCAAGCGTCATGTTTGCGGACAATCACCACCGCGCGAGTGCGAGTGAGAGGCCCCGGGGCCGACGCGGCGACGCGGCGACGCGGAATAACGAATAACTGTCGCGCAACCTCCAGGCGACCCCCCGCCTCGCACGCCGAGCATGCCAACCGCAATGCCGCCCGGTCCGCCCCCGGCCGTGTCCGCCCCGATGGGGATTCGAACCCCTGACTTTTGCGTGTCGTCTCGTCGCTTGCCGGTCCGCTTGCGTTCGCCTCGGAGTCTCAGAGTGCGCCCGTCCGGCCGTCCGGCCGTCAGGCCCCTGACCTTCACATTCGACGTGACCGAGACCGAGACCGTGGCGTTCCTCCCCCTCTCCTCCACGGCCTGCGGTCCGGCGCCAAGACGCCAAGACGCGAAGACGCCCGCCCCGAGACCCGAGGGTGTGAGCGTGGGGCGTGAGAGAGTGGCGTCAATGGCAGGCGGCGCTGCGTTGTGGCGAGGCAGAGCCGGCAGAGCACCAGGCAGCAGCCTTAGGGCTGTAAACTGAAGTTGCGCAACATATTTATCAAAAACGACGACGACAAAGCACCACCAAACAAAAACAAAACAATGATTGCATGGTGGTGGCGCCCTGTTCCTCGCAGTGTGGACTTGTTACTCACCACGCCGGCTCACTGTTAATGAGGTGACAGTCCTCGGGATAGACACAGCTAGTGTGTGTCTCACTGTCTCATTCTAGCCAGACAACGGTGACGTCATCGCCATGATTGCACCACCAGGTCCACGGTCCGCCAGGCTCGCCAACCGAAAAATAGAGGAAGCCGCCCGAGCGCAGTGGGTGTGCTGTGCTGTCGAACGCGCTCGGCGGGCCTCTCGGCGGGCCTGGACTAGAGGGGTTTGCTATTGGCGCGGGCGGCGCGGGCGGCTCTGGCCCGGTGGATTAGCGCTCCGGGATGGAGAGCGGAGGGGCGGCAGGGTCACCATCGGCCTCTCGGTAAACACCATCTTCATAATCTTCCTCCTGAAACGCCGTGCTGTATAGATGGGCTAGAGCCATCGGGATCGTCCCAGCGGCCCAGGGTCCCCGGCGGCCTTCCAGCGGCGCCCGCCCCCACGTCGCCCCCGACGTGAGAGCCAGGGCGGCCAGGGCAGCCTGGGCCACGAGGGGCGGGGCGGTGGCAGCGCACAGGTGGTCGGTGCCCGCTGTCCCCCGGGACGCTGAGCCGCGCCGTCGAGTCCCTGCGCGACGAGGCACGACCTGTCCCAACCAGCACGGACAGGATAAGTCGCGTCGGCCTGGGGCCCGGCTCCCCCTGCTGCAGCACTGTGTGCAGCCACGCAGCCCGGAGGAGGAGGACGGTCCCGGTGTTTCCCGGTAGCTGTCTGCCTGCATGACGTCAGCCTGGCCTGCCTGGCCTGTCCGCCCTGGCGATAAGGGCAAGGGGCGGTGAAAGGGCGAGCGACGGCAGCGCTGGTCTGTACCTGAGTCCCTGCGCCCCGCCCCGCCCCACCACGCCCCGCCCCGCCCGCCCCGCCCGCCCCGCCACAGGTCGCCGCTAACTGGCCGCTAACAGCCCATCATCCCTTCCTTGTTGCGGTGGTGGCGGCTGGGCTGGCCCTCCTATAAAACGACTGGTCCTCGGCCCAGCGGACAAGTCCAGCAGCAGCAGCCGACCGGGCAACACCTGGCAGAGGAGCCCAGCGCCTTGACCGCCGAGTCGCCGACGTCGCCGCCAAGTGCAAGTGCAGAAGTGTCACACGAGTCCAACAAGTCCTCGTCGCGCAGTGCAGCAGTGCGGTGTTCAGTGACGGTCGAGTCGAGTGGCCAGAGCGACGAGCAGCAGACAGCAGCGAGTGGAAATGGCAGCCAGGATTTCAATGGTGAGTTTCAATGAGGGCGGGGAGGCGACCAATCGGACGGGCGGCCGGACGGACAAGGGGACAGACAGCGCGGCGGCCGATTGGACTGGTAAAAGGCAAAAAGGCTGGGTGGGGTGGCGCACAGTCGCACACAGTGGTGCCGCGCTCCGAGTTCATCAGACCAGTGTGGCGCAATTGCCAATCTGGCAATTTGGCCGCCGGTTTACGGGAGGGCGGGCGCTGCATTCCAACATTCCGACCCGGGCCTGGGGAGCGGCGAAATGACTCTTGTGTTCCTCTCTGCAGGTTCTACTATCGGCCCTGTTGGCGCTGCTTTCGACGACGGTGGCCATGCCCGCCTCCAGGGAGGCCGAGCTGGTGCCCACGACCACGGTCCAGCCCAGCGCCGCCCCGGATGAAGTGGCGCAGGCGGACCAGGCCGACGTTGAAGACAACAACGCCGACTACGACGGCGGCCAGGGAGGCGGCGGCGACGACGAGGACATGCGTGACCGCATGGCCTACCTGATCCTCAGCCTGTGGGGCGAAGACCTGCAGGGCCTGGAGGCCGGCGAGGACGAGAACCACGAGAACTCGTACCGCGACCCCGCCGAGGCGCCCCTGCTCTTCCCGCGCGCCGAGCGCCGCAAGCGCGACTTCGTGTTCAGGCCCTTGTTCGTGACCAGGGACCGCCGCGCCAGGATCCAGCGCATGCGACAACGCTACTGGGACGAATACAGGAGGTGAGTGTCCTTGTCTGACTAGTGCTCTTCCGCAACGTCGAGTTCGACACCAAGTTCGGTGCTTCAAAGCGGAGTCCGCTGCGCGCGGTGTGCATTGGGTTGCCTGCGCGCCCGGCGCGTCCGATGGGCTGCCTACCCTCCAGGCGCTAGTGGTGTCGCCGCTCTGTCTCTGTCGCTCGCTTGCGGAGTGTCCCATGAGTGCGAGGGAGACAGGGCGGGAGCTCTGTTTCACATCAAGCGGCAGGGGCAGGCCCCATTAGCGATTGGCGGCGACACAGGGCCGCCTCGCCGCGTGACTCGCGAAGGCGGCGGAATGTAATGAAACTGTTCTTCCTTTGCAGATCCCAGAGGATCGGTCGCGACGTGGAGGCGGCGCAGGTCGAGTCAACCCAGAGCCGGAAGCGCAGGGACGTCGCCCCCATGCCGGAGGACGCGCTGGTGCCCAGGGCCCGCCGCCACGCCCAGGATGACGACGCCGTCGGCGACGCCGTCCTGTCCAGGGTGCGCCGCCAGTGGGTGAACCGGCCCTTGTTCGCCACCAGGCAGCGTGCCGCCGCCAGGAATTACCGGTACCGGCTGCGGCTGCCCCGCGCCGTGGAGGACGTCCAGGACGTCGAGGACGTCCAGGACCGCGACGCCGTGCTGTCCAGGAAGCGGCGCGAGTGGACGGACGTGCCGCTGTTCGCCGTGAAGCAGATCGAGGCCGCCAGGGTGAGGGAGGAGAACGAGATCACGCACCCGCACCACCACGGCCAGGACCCACGCCAGAGGCTGCAGCAGGAGTACGAGCGGGAGGAGCTCCAAGCGCAGGACCTGCGGCAGAGGCAACAGCGCGAGCGGGTGGAGCTCAACAGGGAGCTCAACGAGTACAACCGGAACCTCAACGCGTACAACCGCAACTACAACACGTACAACAACGGCTACTACAACTACCGGGAGTACGCCCGAGACTACAGGCCGTATAACGGCTAGGTGGGGTGAGAGAGGAGCAGGGCTCAGTCCTTTACCGCATCCCAAGTTTTTCCTTTTCAATAGTCGGTGCGGGAAGAATTTGGCTGACTGCTTCTCTGATGAGGGCGGTGTTTTCTAGAACCTGTACTTGCCATTTCCCGGATCCCGGAGCGGTTGACGTTTTAATACCACTTGTGATTTTTTTCTGTTCGATGATTTGGGACTTATATATTTGACAACTCTTATGTCTTGTGTACTTTAAGTTCCTTTGTAAGTGTTTGGTGTTATTAATTGAGTCCTATTTATTGATAAGTATGTGAGTTAATTTATTATTTTATGTTAATTTTAGAGAAAAAGTGGATTTTGATTATGAGGAAATTCAGTCATTTTGTGTTTTGTCTGTTGAGTGGAACAATTGCAGATCGCAGATTTTGTTTTTTTAATGTGATAGAAACTTTAATATTTATTTATTTTAAGTCAGCAGTCCTACAGTTCACAAAACTGGAGTCTGCCTGTGGTGTTTTGTTCGAGGCTGACTGAGTTGTCTTGCCCTCTCTCTTGTTATGCAGAGAGGCAAAGACAACTCGTCTGGTTGTGTTTTAGCTAAGGGAAGAACTGAAAGTAAAAGTAGTTTTTAAGTTTTCAAGCGTCTGATATTGTATAGTAAACCAAATTATAACCAATTGGCTGTATTTATTGTGAATATGTAGAAAGGATAAATACAAAGAAAATTTGACCCCAAGTCTCTGCCTTTTTATTGAATGCACTGAAAGATAAACGAGAAAAGAGGAAAAGCAATGATGTGGCAGAACGGCCCAACTTTACAAACAACACTTTATTGAGCAAAACGCAACTCAGACGCGCCCGCACCGGGAATCGAACCCGAGCTGAGCTTCACAGCGGTCCTGACGTCCCTGTCATCCGAGCCGGCCAGCCACTCGACCCCCTTTCCCGCCGGAAGGCAGACTCGCCGGCAGCAGTCTGGACGCGAATTCGCTGCCGAATAAAACGAGGCAAACAGCGCGAAACAGAGCGCGCGTAATCGTGGCGGTCGTTGTTTCCACAGATACGTTGCACCGCTGGCGGCCTGGCGGCTCCCCGGGCCGGGGGGGGGGGGGGGGGGGGGCTGCAGCGGGGCGGGACGTGAACTGCATCGGAACGGCGCGCCGCACGCCGCACGCCCGGAGGCGTCCTAGCCTGGCCGGCCCACCCCGCCGGGCTGTCTCCGGGGTGGCAGGCATAAAGGGTAAGAGGGGGCCAAGCCGAGGAGGGCCGAGAGGGAAGGGCCGTTCGAACGCAGCCGCGCGTGCCAAAGTCACGGCGTGGCCCTCGTGGCCCCAGCGCCGCCCCGGCCGCCCAGTGTCGCAGCGAGGATGAGTTCTAATTGCACCCGCCCCCTGCCGCTCCCTCCTCCCACTCCTCCCCTCCCGCGCGTCGCGTCCACGACACTGACAGAGGTACTGCAAGGTCGGCCAGGCACTAACACTGCAGCCTTGGGTCGAGCTGCAGCCCCCCGCCAGCCCCGCACGAGGTACCAACCCGGACCGGAACAACATCAGCGACAACGACTCGCTGTACACACAATCCGACTTAAGCTGCACTAGCCTGCCACAGTGGCCGGTTCCTGGTGCAAACGAACGGACGCCCCAAAATAATCTGCTTTGCATCGCAGCGCGCTGGACGGCCTGGAGGCCCTCCGGTCCGGTCGGCCTGTCCCAGTGCACCCAAACAAAAGACGCGGAACGTAAATATAGCCGCCGGGCGTCGCGCCTTCGCCTTGCCGCGCTGCTCGCCGCCGCCAAAGTCGCGCCAATTAGGGTACTTAGTGGGGCATCGCTCCGCGTGTGTGATGATTCCGAACCCTGGTCGCCCCGTCTCCCTCGCACTCGCGGGGCGCACCGTAGGCGCGCGAGAGAGACAGCGCGTTGCTGTGCGGAATCGTTGGTCTGACACCGCGGCGATACTCGTCACGTGACCCGCGAGGCGTGCCTGGGGTTGCCCCTACATGTGGACGGTGCGGCCAGTCCGCGCAGCGCAGCCTAGACTACAGTGCAGCGCACACTCACACCGCGGCACCGCGACGCTCGGCGACGACACTAACGACCATGGCCGCCAACCTCCGGAACGTAAGTCAGCCCCGGGCAAAGTTTCTTGTTGTTGTGCAGCGAGCTGTACTGAGCCGCGCAGTATCGCAAAGTCCCACTTATTACACGGCGAGTGGATTACGCCTTCCGCGCTGGCCCTTGCAGTGCAGGCCCTTGGCCCTCCCTGATTGGCTGCGCTTGGGCGGTCCCTCGGTGTGCGGAAGGGACTCAGTACTCGGCGCCGCCACGCCAGCGCCAAACGGTTTCCGCGAGGGAGGCCTGGCTATGCTTCCAGCCGTGCTGTCAGAGCTTTCGGCGCTTCCCAGTGCTTCCGCTCTTCATTCAGAGAGGAGGCCGAGTCGCGCGTTGTAATTAGAATTTCTGGTGGCCTCGGCGGTGGCCTGCAAACTGAATCCCAGAGTCGCTTTCGTCGCTCTGTCTCTCTCGCACTCACGGCGCGTCCCGTGTCGGTGCGAGAGAGACAGATACGACGGAAACGCTTCTCAGAATCAGTCTGGTGGCGCGTGCCCTTTCACGCTTTCAGCCTGCCGTTCAGACTGCCGTTCAGACTGCCGGCCTGTTTGGCGGTCCCTGGTCCCCGGAGGGTGCCCCCCCCCCCTCCGCTTTTTGCAGCACCCCGCCATTGAATGCAGGGCCGTCGTATTCATCGCGACGCCAATTACGGTCGAAAGTCCAACTTGGGACGACCAGCGCCTGGCTCTGCCAGCCGATCCTCAATGCGGAGCACATCGCCGAGACCGTGGAGAGCGGCAGGCGGCAGGGCGGCAGGGCAACCCGGCGTGGAACTCGAGTTGGTTGTGCGGGGAGAGGGAGAGGGCTGCGGCCGGCAAGGGTCCAGGCCCTCTAAAGTGCTGCATAAGGGCAGCAAGGGCGTCATCGAGGAGCGAGACCCCCTCCTGGTGACTGGGAGGGGGAATTGATTAAGTCGCCAAGAAATCACCACGAAATGTTGCTAGCGCAATGGGACCCCCGAAGACGGTCGGTCGAACAAATAAAAATGGCCCAACACAGCAGCAAATCCGTTGGCCGTCCCTGTCGCTAACCCTTTGCCAACTGATTTGTCGCTGTCCGACAGGGGATGCTTCTCCTGGTCCTCGCCTCCATCTGCTTCATCGGCGATGCCGCCCGCGAGGCCCCCGCCTCCGCCGCCCCCCTCGCCCGCCCCCAGCCCTTGGACCGGCCGGGGGCCGCGCTGCCGGCGCCGGCCGAGGCCCTGGGGGCCGCCACTGATCAGGGCCTGGGCCTCGAGGACCAAGGCGAGGGGCTGGGGCCTCTGTCGAGCACGTCGAGGACGTCACGGACCAAGAGGCACTTGGTGTTCCGGCCGCTGTTCGCCACGCGCCAGAGAAACTCCCGGAACTCCAGGTCGAGCCGGCGGCGCACGAGGTTCAACGTGGGCTGACGGAGCAGATTAAACTCGCTTTTCTATCAAAGTGCATTACTTACTTGACACCCCGTCCCCCACCACAACATCAATGCGTTTGCATTTCGCGCTCCAGCCATCCGCAAAATATCTCGTTTCCCCGAAACCCCTGTCAGCCCAACTCACGGCACTGCCTCGCACTGCACTGCCACGCCCTGGGCCGCTCCTTCGCCTCTCGGAGGACCGTCTCATCGCTCTGTCTCTCTCGCTCCCACAAGAAGTGCGAAAGAGACGGGGCGACGGAACGACCATTCGGAATGAGGCTGGAGCTGGTGGAAGGAAACGGACTTGCGGCCCGACCACTTGTTTGGCAGGCCGGCTCGGCCCGCCCCGCGCCGCGCTGGCCGCGGCCTTGACGGCCTGGGTGATGGCCTTGGCGCCCTTGGCGGCCAGAGGTATATGAGGCTGCGAGGGATGGGATGGCCAGGGCATGGCCATGAGGGCTGTGGGGGTAATCGAGGTGAAACTTGAAGAGGCCTCCGAGGGCCCGTTTCATTCGGCCCTGCCCGCGAAGGCCGGCTAAAAGAACTCGTGTTTACCAAGGGCCAGAGATTCCGTCGCACGGAAGAAACAAAGCACACCGGAAGAACTATTTAATTAAGTTTATTTGTTTTAAAGTCATCACAGGGGGAGTTGGTTTCTTGGCAGTGGTGGCGTCGCAGCCGTTTGGGTGACGGAAGAGAAACACTTCCTCGTCTCAAGTTCGTCAATGGCCCACTTCCATGAGTCCGTAACAGAGAGCAGGGCTAATTACGTTCCTACACTACAACTAGACTAGTTTATTTGGCACTGCTTCAGCCGGGGCGCTGTGGCCCGGACGTCAAGAAGGGCCGCGGGGCAAGACGAGGCGAATTTGAGGTGAGCTAGGCGTCCTGCGCGCAGGGGAGGGCGTCGGCGTCCGGGTGCACGTCGTGCAGGGCGATGCGGCGGATGCCGTTGCCGCTTAGGGAGGCCGTGGCGGGCAGGTCGTCGAGCACCACGCCGGTCGGCTTGACGTCGGGGGCGGCGGCCTCGACCTGCAGGCTCTGCACGGCGGGGGCGGCGGGGGCGGCGGGGGCGGCGGTCAGGCTGGCGGAGACGGGGGCGGCGGCCACGGCGGGGGACGGCGCCAGGGGGGTGGAGTACACGACGCTGGGCCGGCTGGCCTGCTGGCCCCACGGCAGCACGGCGGAGGGGTTCTGCAGGAAGCTGAGGATGGGGCCCGGCTGCTGCTGCTGCTGCGCGGCGGCGGTGTTGATGTTGTTGCTGTTCCAGGGCAAGAGCGCCCAGAACGCCTGCAGAGGCTGCTGCGGCTGCTGCGGCTGCGCCTGCACTTGCTGTGAGGCAACGAGGGGGGCGCTGAGGGGCTGCGGCTGAGGCTGGGCGGGCTGGCGGTTGGCCGAGGCCCAGGGGAACCACGAGTTCTGCAGGAGCGAGCTCAGAGGGTTGCTGCTGTAGCTGTATCCACTGCCGTACGAGTTGGGCTGCCATTGGTATGCCGCGGGCCGGGAGTTGGCGTACACTGGGAGGAGAACGAAATGAGAAAAAGCAAATTAAGGCAAGTCTGCGCATACATTCCTGGAGCTCCCCTCCCGTTCGTTTGGACTTCGCGGAATAGCCGTGGGATGTGGCCGGGTTGCGTTATAGGACAACGGTTTGCGACCGCATCGCAGGAAATGGCAGAATGATTTCATACACATACATACGCGAGCAGTACGTGTGTGTGCGCGCCCATATCGAACACTCACACAGACATACGGACAGACACACACCCTCACTCAGGCATGCAGACACGCGCTGTGGTGAGCCTCGCCCCTCCCCGGAGTCCGTCCCTTTTCCTCCCTCACTCACCGCCATGCTGCACCGACTGCAGGGGCTGCAGTGGCGCGGGCAGGGTCTGCACGTCGTTGGAGCGGCGGTACTGCGAGTACTGGTAGTACTGCGGCTGCGTGTACTGCGGCTGGGCGTACTGCGGTTGCGGGTACTGCGGCTGCGGGTACTGGGGGTACTGCGGGTACTGCGGCTGCACGGCGTGCTGGATGTGCTGCAGCGGCTGCAGCAGCAGGTCCTGGAAGAAGGCGGAGGACGGCCGCGCGGCGCACACGACCGCCAACGCCGCCACCACAAACTGCAACACGGTTCGAAGTGTGAACGTCTGCGCGCGCAGCCGACCGACTCGGCTTGTTCCATTGTGCCGATTACTTTCAAATCTCACTACGGCTTTTCTGTCTAAATTTTTTCCTTCCGAATAAATTCAAGTCGGCATTTCGGACTGGAGTCACTCACCGCGCAGGACCTCATGGCTGTAGCTTGCGGGCACCGGTCGGGCACTGGCAGTGTCCTGACAGGCCAGCCGGCTCATATAGCAAAGGGATCCTGGAAGCGGCGGAGAGACGGAGAGGGAGAGAGACAGAGAGAGAGGGAGAGGCGGGGTGGGGGGGCCACACCGCACCACCGGCCGGCCGGCAGGGTGGCACGCTTCGACGCTGGGCGCAAACATGCCGGCCTCTAGAGCTTCCAGAGCATGCCGGGGAGGCAGGCCACCTCGAAGATGGGCGTAAAGTTGCACTATGCCCAAGTCAGTGGACAGCATTCCCCCTAACCCCGCCTGGTCCCGCCCTTGTTTTGGTTGTTGGACCTTTGGCCACGTCTTCGGCCACGCCTCTGGCCGGGCCGTTCTTGAGAGTTTACCCGACTAATTTCAAGTAGTTTCCGCCTCGTGCCGGACAGCGCGTTCTGCGTCCTGCGGGGATCCTGCCTACAGTGTCGCGCCGCGGGGCCAGACAGACTGCTGACGCCCCTCAAGGCGCCCAAGTTTGGATTTCCCCGACACGGATTGAATGACGTGAGGCTCCTCCAGTCAGGCTTGGATCAGGCGGTTTGGACTCATTTTCTCCGTTCTGCTACCGTGCCCACACACTGCTCGAACAGGAGCAGGGCTGGCGTGCGACAAGTTCCGCAAGTCGACGCAAGTTGGTGCAAGTTGGACGCCAGTTGGCGCCACACTGCGATCGAGCAGGCAACGACCCGGCCAGCACACCGCCTTGAACTTGAATCCTGAGCGGGTCGGTTCGCCGGTTCCAGCGAAGCTTTTGTTGTGCCAGGGCAAACACGTGGCAGGGCCCCTGCCAACCGAGTGCCGCGCGCCGTGCACTTGCAGGGAGTGGCGGGGCGGGGCGGGGCGGGGCACCGCGGGGCTCCGCGTACAACAATAAGGGCCCTCGCCTCGCTCGGACTGTCCGGTGCTAGCGTGTTGACTCTGGTAAATGGCTTCGGCAGCGGCCACCAACAACACGTGGATGCTCGCCCGAATGACCCGCCGAGAGTATGGGAGAGCGAGAGAGTTGGACTACCAGAGAGAGAGAAGGCGCAGTCAGCGCCAGCCCCTCCGCAATATAATTCCGAACCGCGGCCAAACCATGAAAAGCCCCGCGGTGAATGCCGTCCCCGTGCCGCCCTGCCGACGGAGCGTATTGGGGCCCGCGGATTTCCGGACGTTGGACCCCCTGGGCACTGGGTGGGCACTGGACCTGCGCGACGGCGCGACGAAGGTCAGATCGAGAGACCGAGAACGACGCGGCCCATTCATTCAGTCCGCTTTCTGCAGCTGCTTCGAGTGGACAGGGATCAGGCTGACAATGCTGCCGGCTTAGCAGGCGGAGAGGAGGCTGTGCTGTGCTGGTCGGCGGCTCGGCGGCCGGGCCCTCGCTGCTGGTGCCAACCAAGCGCGCAAACAGCAAGTTGGCGGAAATGGTGGCGTTTCCCGCGAGGGATTCGCTTCGCTTCGCATCGGGCGCTCTGGGATCGCGTGGCACGCGGCGCGACACGGCGACGCGGCGACGCGGCGCTGGAACAACACAGGAAGTTTAGTGTTCCCATTAGGCGCCATGGCGAAGACATTCATGCCCTCCGCAGTGGTGAGCGCAAAGCATTCCTCGCCCGTAAAGAAACGTTGTTGGGTGTGAACCCAAACACTTGAACAAGTGTTGCCAGCCAGAATCTTTCATCTGCGCCGCACACAGCCCCTGCGATACTGACATTCCAGAACTTAGCTTTGTAGTTGACAAAATAAATAAATCAAAAAATTAACTATAGCTGACCAAATAACAGTGTATTTTCGCTGAGACTCGTCACATCTTACGGCAGGCGACGTAATGCGAAAAGCGACTCGAAGAGAGGCTCTGGCGGCAAGGAAGGCAAAATATTTGAACACACGTTGTCCCTAACCGGGTGGGACCGGGCGGACAAAGGAACGTGTACACCGAGCCTTTTTGTGAACTCACAGACACACGCACGCTTGAGTACACACACACACACACACACACACATACACACACACACACACACACACACACACACACACACACACGAACGCGGGAAACATGATATGGATTTGAAATGAAATCGGCCTTTCCCTCATGCCTGATTTATCCGTTGTCTCCCAGGCAAATGCTCTACTAAAAATATTTTCGGGACAAAAAACATTTCATCATGCCGACGGATGACCTGCCCACAGTATACTCGGTTTCGGGCAATGTGGTCTCCACCAAATACGTTAGAAATTCAATAATATTTATTCCCTTTTTATCTTTGCCAGCGAGAATCTGCAAGAATGATTCACTTTCTGGCCCGTAAAGTAAACGGCTGCGCCGCCGGCGGCCGCGAGAAAGCTTGTAGTGGACCAGCTATAAAAGCGGTAAAAAAGTTGCGGGGCAGCTCGCGGTGGCCTGCGGTGCACATAATGGACATTCCTCTCCTTAAAGTGCCCCTCTTTCGCGTTTTTTTTTTCGCGGCCCTCGGCGGCTCTTGGCGCTGTCGGGCTGTCGGGGCGCTTCACCGGCCGCCGACCCGGCCGCCCTGCCGCCCTGCCGCCGACCGGGGGCCGAGGAAGGCGGGGATGGCCGGCGACTGGACTCAAGCCCCCGGCCGCGCCGCCGGCTGGGTTATCGCGGCCCTTCGATGGCCCTCGCCATCAATCCTGGAGGAACACTGAAAAAAAAAAACGTGATCGGCGAAATCAACCGTGGAATTCGGCCCTTACACTGCTGCGACGGCTCCTTCAAATTTCTCATGGAGATGTTAAGGCGAGTGTGTGCGCGATGCTGCACTTATTGTGGTGCGGGACTTCTCTCCATTATCCTCCAGCAGTCCTCTGAGTGTGTACGCCCGGACGGGAGCTGGAGTGCTGGAGTCTCGAGAGAGACGGTTGTGTGTGCGCGCGGCGGCGGGGCGGCGGGCTGCTTTGAATCCGCGAAAGCCACTTGTTCGTCCGGCATCACGAGAGAGCAGCGCTGTTTCTGAAAATCAGGTTAGGCCGCACCGGGTGGCGTCTAGAGGGCTGTGGCGTCTAGCTGGCCATGATGCTTGCGGGGCCCTTGTGTGGGAGAGAGAGAGAGAAAGAGAGAGAGAGAGAGAGAGAGAGAGGGATGCTGTGATAGGGGAGTGCGAACCGTTGCCTCGCTTCTGCGATCACCCTTCGGCCTTCAGCCCCGAGACGCATCACGTCTTTTATCGCCTGGATTAGCACCCCCTTTCTGGCCCGAGCCCCGAGGTGTGTGTGTGTGTGTGTGTGTGTGTGTGTGCAGTAAAGGCCCGTTCTTTCTTTGTGGCGGTGATAAAGTGCCCAAGTCACCTCGCCATTCATCATCGCCGGGGACGCGGCGCGACGCGGCGGCGACGCGGGGCGCGGCCCGTAATAGGAGCGTACAGTGGCATTACCTACAACAACGGCGCGAGGACCGCCTGGGCCGCCCCTTCGCGGCCAGGCCCCGCCAAGCCACGCCAAGCCCCGCGAAGCCACGCCACGCCGAGCCCCGGTGTCGCCGCGACGCCGCGTCGCCATGGCGACGGCTGATGAATGCAGCCGACCTGCGGGCTCACTCCGAACTGTGCTTTGGGCGCTCAGTCTCTTTCGCGCTTCCACGGGACGCCCTGCGAGAGTGCGAGGGAGACAGCGACGAGAGCGCGCGGTGTTCGGAATCCCTTTCGGCTATATGAATCCCTGTCGCGACGGAATGGTCTCCCCCCACTCCTTTCCCCTCCCCTCCCCTCATTCTGGGATTTCGATTCACCTGCCTTGCTGCTCCTCCACCGCCAGCAGAGTCTGACACAGCCCAGCCTCCTGGTGCTTCGACAGTCACACCAATGAATGCCTCTCATTTCTGAGACCTGAGACGCCAGGCCGAGCAAACTCCGGGGAGTGGTTACGGTCTCGGTCACGGTCCACGCGATGGGACGTACCCGTCTCTGACGTTGGCGGCGTGGGTAACTGAATGTGTGTGAAGGTGCGCGCGTATTTACACGGGTGCGTGCGCGCATGTGTGGGTATGAGTCTGCTGCCAACGAACGCCTACCGCCCAGCAGGTAGGCAACCCATCGCGCACGCAGCCAGTCGTATTGCCTATGCCGTCGTTCACAGGGGCTTCCAATCACAAAAGAAAACACAAAGAAAAAGCCGCAGAAAAACAACACACGTAACAAAGTAATCACTATTTTTTTAAAATTCAAATAAAACCCATTTGATCGTTTACAGTGTCAATAAACCGTGAAACGGGCACGTGGAATGGCAAATGGGCCCCGAGCCCCGTCCCGCCCTGAGCACGTCCCTGCCCCGCTCAGAATTCCTTACAAGACGCGTGTGGCTACGTGTGTGACTGCGCGTGGGCGGGTATGTGGCTTTTGCGTGCGTGCGTGCGCACGCGTGCCGTGTCAGGGTGGTGTGCGTGTGTGCGTGTGAATCGGTGGACGGCAGAATGGCGTGCAGGCTAAGTCGGAGGAGACGGACATCCGCCTTCCGCGGAACGCACAGCCCCAGTGGGGTGAGCTCCTCTCCGCCGCGCCGCCCGCCGCGCCGCCAGAAGGGGGAGGGGAGAACCCCCCGCGAGTTTTCGTGGGGGCGGGAAAATAAAAAAAATCAACTTGTTGGACAGTTAGCGTGAAGAAAAAAAGGGTGATGTTTGCCGTGTGTGCGTGTGAGAGGAGTGAGTGAGATCTCTGATGAAATGAATCAGGCATTGCGTATTAAGAAACAATTTTTTTTTATTGTTAATACGAGTTATAATGATGATGTTAACATTATATGCCTAATGAACGGAGAAATGTAAGGAAATGACTCAAAATGCACAAAGTTCACTTTTATTTTAATTAAGTAAATAAATAAATAAAGAAATAAATAAATAGATGAACATACAAAACAAGGAATAATCTACAAACATACACTGCCGTGCAGACGAGGCCAGTTGCACTTGGCTCAGTAAGTATCAGCTGACCCCGCGCACTGCGACAACAAACTTATTGCAACCTAACACCGGGATGGCTTGCACCAAGTCGTAAAAAATGTCACACAAGCTTATTAAAGTCCACACATTACGAGATCACGCCGCGTTTTTGGGTGGGTGAGAGCCAAGCACGGCACGGCTCGCACGCCACCGCCTGCCTCAGTCAGACAGCGGCGGCCTGAGCACATAAAAAAAACAGCAACAACAAGAAAACGGCTTAAAACTCGCCATTTCGACTGTAATCCTCACGGTCTTCTCAGAGGGGAAGGAAACCGGCCACCGCGGTGGCGACGGTACAGTCGCAGGTTGGAAATGTTTTCGGCAGCAAGACGACGGTAATGGCAGTAAGCCGACCGCGCCAGTCGCTCCGATCGGGCGGGCAGTAATCCCGCAGCAGGACAAGCAGGGCTCGCTGCTCGACAACCCTTGCGCTACTCTCTAGGACGCGCCTTGCCACCGCCCCTGTCCACACACACCCGGCAGGATACCCACTGCCCTGTGCCACTCAGCCAACAACACGTCCGGGGAATACGAAATCAACAAACGCGCGTATCCCGTGCCACTCAATCCGAGTCCACCTCACAAATCGCTCGGTTTTTAATTAAAAAATTTTCTTTTCAATTTGCGCTGTTTGTTTCCCGTTTGCGACATTTTATTCGTCCCTGCTTCCCTTTCGTTTTCATAGCATCGTCCGCCGGAGGTCTGGCTCACCCACGCACACGCTGTGCTCCTCCCACTGAGCTTGCTAATTAATGCCCCTCCCCCGCCACCCCTCCGCCGCCCTATCTCCCCTCCAAGCCGCGGGTTACTGGACGTCGTCTCATCAGGCCCACAATGATGGCCCCGGCGGCCCCGGCCCGGCCCGGCCGGCCGGCCAGATTTTCGATCGAGACAAGCGGCTTTCGCGGCCGTGGCATTCAGCGAAGTCAAAGAGCATTAGTACAGGGTCTAGGGGGCCGTCGGCTGCGTCAGAGCCAAACTTGCAGAGAGCGGTGACGTCAGACCGCCATGCTCTCGATGACGTCGAGGATTCCTAACCGAAAGGGATGCTGCCTTTCGTTTAGAAACCCCCAGAACTCGAGTACTTTTATCTCGCAAAATGCATTAATATTGGTTTTTTTTTCGCATTGAGGCGTTGTTATCATCTTTCTGCTGTTATTTCCCTCCTCCCCCTGATATCCGTTTCCGCCGAGCCAGAGCAACTTTGCTTCCCCTCCAAGTCAAAAGTCCTCGATCGCCCCGATTCACTGATGGCTCCCAGTGTAGCAGTCGGCGCGTGGCGACCGCCGACGGAAAAGGGGGACCGGGAACCAAGCCGTGATGAGAAATTTATACGACCGCAGTGGCAGCGCGCTGCTCCGAGGCCCTCTCGGTCCATCTGGACGCCACCGCAATCTTGTTTATCCAGGACTCTGGATTCGGCCTTTTGGCCGCGACTGCCTCGCGCCTCGCGCCTCGAGCGCGCCGCCGTGATTGATGGCTTTTAATTTCGCGCTACATTTTCGTGTCGGCCTGGGCCACGCCGATGTGTCATTGGTCCCGGTGAGTGGAAAGGGGAGGGGGAGGGGATGACTGGCGCGACACACGCGTTCCATCCTGCAGCGCAGCCATCCGCGGAAAAATATACATAAGGATATTGAAAACATGTTGCGAAAAAAGAGACAGAGGACGAGGTCGAAGGTTCAAATACCCGAGTTAATGGATTTCCGTTCATGGGCGGTGACTGAGCGAGCAGAGCAAACTGCAGGTGTTGTTTATGGGCGGGCCTGACGCCCTGGACCGTGCCACGGCCGTGCAGCGCCACCTTCCCAACACACGCGGGCTCGGGGTGTGCTCGGAAGGGGTCCGTCGGGGATCGCATCTCGGTATGAGACGCCGCTACCAGGAACACAGGGGGAAAACATTGGCACAGAGGGAGCGGGCAAGAAGCATCCCGGTGGGCGTGCCGGGGTGGGGCGGGGCACCGGCGAAAGGCATGGCCTGGAGGGCCTTTGAATCTTGCCAAGAAGGAGCGGCCCGAGCAAGCTGCCTGCGCCACGGCCGCCCTGGCCGGCCGATCGAGCAAAATGACGCATCGGATCCTCGTATGGCTTTTGTGCTGATACGCTGAAAGGGTGCGATACCTTAGGGAGAGAAAATGGCGGACTGGAATCGAAAGAGAAGAAACAGACGAGAACTAGCAACTTTCCTTTGACTTTGGCCCTGGCACCTTGGCGCGCCTTGAACATCCCAGTGGAGCCTCAGCTCCCAGGCGGGCTTCTCGTAAAAACACTCACACTGACTCACACACATATGTACAACCACAGTTTTTCCTCAAAAAATATTGATAACTAATTATTTGGCGAAGGTAACATATAGTCGAAAACTTATATCCTAAGCTAAAACTAGAAACACTGGACTCGCCGCAGAATGCCGAGAAGTCCGCTGTGCACATCACAGTCCTTTTTCTTCACAGTGGCGCACCGAGTCCACGCGGAACGCCGAGACGCCCGCCGCGCACATCACAGTCCTTTTCCTTCACAGCACCTCGTCCATGCCGGCGCGGTAGCGCACCGAGCCCATGACGAGCACCTCGATGGCCCCCGGCGAGCGGAATCGCACCACGGTGGGCGTGACGGCCGCGGCCGGCGGGGCATTGAGACAGGGGCCGCACGCACCCTGGCCCTCCTGGGGGGAGGCTCCGTCGCGCCGAGGACGGCGTCGACCGAACAGCACCCCCAACCAGGACGACCAGGAGGGCGGCCCGCGGCATCAGACGTACGTGCTCTGCACCTGCCGAAGAAGAGAGCCACCATGAAGTCGTGCAGTCGTCGTCGCGGCGCCGCGGCTCAACACGTCCTTGAGGCGCGCCGACGCCGACCTCGCTATAATTGTAGGGACATTTAATTGCGTTTGCTTTGACAACATTCAAGCCAGCCGCGCAGCCGCACTGGAGGGCAGGCCGGGCGGCAATAAACGAGCAGTTGTCGCCGCCCTCAACGGGTGCCTCTCAGGGGTCGCGGAGGCGGGTAGCGCGGGTAGGAGGCCGTGACGACCTTGGCCTCGCGTGGCCTCATCGCGTTTGTCGTCATTTTTGGATCACGGCCCGTGTCACTGTATCCGCTAACTGGATTGCGTAGCCGCGCGGCCTGGGTCGGCCTGCGCGTAGCGACATAGCCATCCCAACAATGGCATCCATAAAAGGGCTTGAGCGTAGCGGCGGCCCGGAGGGCCTGAAACGCTGCAAGGGCTGGGGAGTGGGAGGGGGTGGCTGGCTCGGCGAGCATCATAACAGGTGAGCGGCGACCGCGGCCTCGGCGGGGAGGGGTGCGGATCGACGCCGAGCTCACGGCCGCCGCCGGCCGGCCTAGAAGGGCGCCGGCCCGCTCACCTCGGTCTGCGACGTGGTGGTGCCGTGGAGCTTGGCCATCAGCCCGCGCGGCTTGAACAGCTGCCCGAACGTGGTGCGGAACTGGCGGCTCATGGCGCAGTACAGGATGAAGTTGATAGCGCCGTTGAGCAGGGCCAGGATGTCCATCACCTCGCCGAACAGGTGGTAGCAGCTGCTGAAGAAGCTGTGGCCGAATATGCCACTGAGCAAGCCCAAAATACCCTGCAAACCAATGAAACAAAACATGCGGTGAAATGCGAAAGGAGTTTGAAGCTTGGGCGGGAGTGGCAGCCTCACCTGTGGAAACTCGGTGATGAGGAAGAGCAGTAGGATGGCGAGCAGCATGCGCGTGGTGCGGTCCGTGCGACGCTCCGCGCGGGTCGGCCGCCGCGCCTGGGGCTGCAGGTGCTGCAGGTGGGGGCCGCAGCTGCCGTTGTGCTGCACGCCCAGCACGGCCACCTGGCTGTAGCCGCGCAGCTGCGCCTTGCGCCGGTTGGCGCGGTACAGCGCCTTGATCAGCCACACGCTGCGACACAACGCACACAACACTCAAAAACGCGTGGCGAGCTACCGTATGCCACCACCCGGCGGTAGCTGGTTTCATAGTTTCATGTTGTTGGGCATGAGCGGGTGGTGGGCCTGGCTGGGTGGCCTTCGCTCTCCCCCCACCCCCTCCTTCGCCTTCGCCACAATCTCGCCCCGTCCTCTGGATGCCTCTGGAATCCAGCGGCACGGCGCCGAGCCCGGCCGGGCGCCACTGCGGCCTAGTGTTCGTTATTTACCTTATTTAGCCCACGGCGCCCAATATTTAGGCGCGTTCTTTCTCCGCCGCGGGGCGGCAGGGCGGCAGGGCCGCAGTGTGTGCTGGGATCAAAGAAGCCCCCTCCCCACCCCGTCCTCGCTACCCCGGCCGCATAATTCTCTCGGCCTGTCTGACACACGGCCGCCGCCGTGCTCACGCCTATAGATGTAGAGGCAGGCCGGCTGCCTACGGCCGGCGGCGAAGAGTGAGCGGCGCGAGGCACGAAGAGGCAGGGGATGAAAAAAGGCGGCGCCATCTTTTATTAAAAGCAAGAGACCGTGTGGCCATTCACCAACATCAAACTTGGAAACGCCGCGCGAGAAAAAGGGAGAATAGGTTGGAGCGAGGAGGGGGGGGGGGGAGAATGAAAGAGCCAAGCTTTTTAGTGGCCACTCGATGCGTCCTGCATGATTCAGCACGGGGACACCGCCGCCTTCAGGGCAGCCCGCAGCCCCTCGGTGCAGCCCAGCAAAATGGAGGGAAAATCCAATTTTTTTAAACGCGATTTAACATCGTTTTGACTAACAGTTTCTTTGTTCCTGGGATGCATCTTGTCTCTACACGGCGGCAGCCAGCTGCAGCACGGCCGGCCGGCGAGGGGTTGCGAGGGCATGGCGAGGGCCGGGTACGACGCCGGGCTCTGTTTTACATACGCGTCCCACGCCACTCGACGGCGTGCTCGAGGGCGGCGCCTGGCGCGTGGATTCAAACGGGGTGGCCATCATCTGCAGCAACAGGGGTGAAACGAAGTGGTTTCCCAAGAAGGTGACATTGAGAGTTGATTGCGATAGGCGCATTGGTTGTATCGGACGGTCAAATTTTAAAATGGTGGCTTGTTTGTTCGTGGATTCAGTTTCAACGTGGACCTGCGCTGTTACGGACGAGCAAGAAAGGGCCTCGCAGTTCGTTAAAAGTCCACGGCCGGCAGCCCTCGACATGGGCTGGCGCAAGGGCTGGCGCAAAGGGCTGGCCCCGGCCGTGGCGACCTTGGCCTTGGTACTCGTGCTGCCCCGTGCCCTTCGCGGCCAAGCCGGGCCAAGCCGGGCCAAGCCCAGCAGCCGGTCTCCATGCCAAATATTGTCCCCGCGACTCATTAAACATGCCCGAGGACGATTGGCCGTCGAGTCCACAGCCCTGTTGGCCGTCCCGGGCGTCCCGGGCGTTCCAGCCCGTTGCCGTCCAGAGGCGGCCATGAGACGAGGACGCCCGGGCCGGCCCCCAAGGCCTCACCTCGTGATCACACAGTCAGCCGGGCCCCACTACACCGCGTTTCAGGACCCTTCTGGGAGGGGAGTGGGATGCCGCTGGCCAGGACCCCCCACAACCTCGACTACCGCTTCGATGTTCTATTCATTCCATGCGGGACGCAGCAAGCAGCACGGATGACGCAACAGGCCCCGCCCCCCACAGAGCGATCCGTCACTCTGTCTCACTCGCACCCCCGGGGCGCGCCGTGAAGGTGAGAGAGAGACAGAGTGGTATCAGTCGGCAGGCGCCCTGGTCACGCACACTGCTAGCGAACTGCGGCCCGGGGATGAGTTCCAAGGCTGGCCGCGCGCGGGGGCCGGCCGGAAGGGCCGGAAGGGGCCGGAAGGGCCGGAAGGGGATGACGGCGACCCGCGCGTTGTTTTCATCCCTCGATGAAACTGCCATCAGGCCGCTGGAACGGCAGAGGGCTGCGAGGGCGGCCTCGCCGAACGGCCTTAATCAGAGAAATGGCGTGGAAGCAGAGCGAAGCAGAGCCGCCGCGCCGTGCCGTGCCGAGCCGTGCCGCGGGCCGCGATAAATTGTTCTTTCCGTGTTCAGCAACACGCTGACTCCGCTCCGCGCTCCGCCCGGCTCTGTCGCCTCGGGTCTCCGGCGTCCTGGCGGCGGGGGCGGGGCCGCCGACGACACCAACGCGCCCGCCGCCCTGGCCGGCCGGGCCCGGTAATGGGCTTGTCGTCCTGCTCAGCCCAGTAGTACCGCCAACTCAAAACCCTCAAAACTCGATCCCCATCTCGGTGTCCGACTTGGACAAATTTCCGGCTTGAAGAAAGAGCGACCGCCTCTAACCTGATGACGGTGAGGATGGTGCAGGGCAGCAGCTTGATGAGCACCGAGTACACCCAGAAGTTGAGGATGTAGAGGAACTTGCCGCGCTCCTGCGCCAGGTCGCTGAGCCCCAGGTGGTACAGCGTGACCAGCTGGTGGTTCTCCAGCAGGTGCACCTCCCGGATGCTGATGGTGAGGTACGACGGGATGCACACCACGACGGGCAGCACGTAGGAGAAGAAGATGGCCAGCGTGCAGCGCCTCTGCGAGCACAGCGAGTGCGTGTGCTGCGGGTACCTGGAACAACAGACTCGGTGTTGATGAAGCGCGCGGCCAAAGCGCAGCGCACACACGGCGCCCCAACGCGGCGAGTGTTTTCACTGGCTTGGTTCGCTCACCTGATGGAGATGTAGCGCCACACGGCCAGGGCGAGCGTGAGGAAGATGGAGATGGTGTGCAGCACCTGCGCGAAGTGGCTGTGGAACAGGATGAAGATGGCGCCCAGGCGCGGGAAGTCCTTGCGCTCGGGCAGCACCAGGTACATGTAGCAGGCGAAGGGCACGTACTCGGCCATGACCAGCATGTCGGCGACGGCCAGCCAGGTGAGGATGCGGTTGATGGGCGCGCCGGCCAGCTCCTTGCGCGTCAGCACCACCACGTTCAGCAGGTTGGCCACGCTGCCGAACAGACACACGGCCAGCGCGAAGTAGCCGTGGCCCTGGCGGTACGAGGACAGCACGTCGCGCATCTGCAACGCAAGAGGGCGGCGTCAAGGACGGGCAGAGGACGGCGTCAAGGAAAAGTCCGAGAGTAGCTCCGAAAAACCGTCCCAACAGTGACGCGTCCGGAGCGCCGTGCGGGTAGGCCACAGCGGGCCTTCAGCGCAGGCGTGCGCGCGCGCGGCCTACCTCCCAGGCGCTCCGGCCGCGCCAAAGGGAAAGTTGGGAGGGGTTCGGATGGGGTGGGAATGTGATAGGAAAACATGACACTGGGCCAGCAGGGCCTCTGATGTAGGGAAAAAACACAGACTCGATCTCTTTGTTTTTGCACGTTATGCTGGAAAACAGTGAGTCCGGTAACGGACGGAAGAGGGGCGGCTGGACGGGGGCCGTCGGGATAAACGGCGCGTGTATTGTGTCACAGAATTTATTTGCCGCATCCCGCTTTTTTTGCGACAGTCCGTCCCCGCCCCTGCCCAGGGCAAGAGGCGGGCCCTTCGCCGCCCCTTCGTCTTTGTTTTCGTCTCCCTCCTCCCTGCTGTCCCGCCCGTCTCCGTGAAGGCTGCGTCTGCCGGCGTGCCCGCCGCGGCCCGCCGACACCGTGTCTGTGGATGTGGGGGAGTCGGATTCGATTACGGCGGCAATAACTTTCCGCGTGTTATCGCGGCGTCGCCGTTGTCCTGGCTATGCCGGCTACCTTTCCTCCGCTTCGGCACCATGCCGGGGGTGAGGGCCACGCCGAGGGTGGGGGACATGCCGCGAGGGCGCGGCGCGCTGCCTCCCCGCTTCCACTGTTTGCCTTGCCTCTCCCGTGTCTAAACACTCGCCGCAACAGCACGGCTATTCGAGCGACTCCGCTCATGGGTTCGGCCGATCGGTCTCTCTCGCTCCCATGGGGGGACGTCCGGCCGAGGGCGGCATGGGGAAGCAGCTCGGACCCAGTCTGCTGGCTCCAGCCATGGTCCAGACATTTTGGCGCTGTTTCTCGGCCGGAATCGTCTCTCCGAATGTCGCTTTCGCCGCTCTGTCTCTCTCCCGCACGACTCGCGTGGCGTCCCCTAGATGTACGACCTTGGAGTCAGTGTGCAGCCCTCTTGGCCCCACGGGCCGCGGCTACACTGCTCGCCGCAGCCACACGTCCCAGCGCCCTTAAATTAAATTTATCGACTCGCGCATCCTAATGGGCGACGAAATGTGAGTCCTAACTCTGAGTACGATTGTATCGCGTAATGGGGTGAGCCCAAGGGCGGGGTGGGGTGGTGCGGCGCGGGGCGGGGCCGTCCCGGTGGCACCAGGTGACGCGGGTGAATGAACCGCGCCCACGCCAAGACGATCCCCGGCCCGGCCCTTCCCGCACGACGGCGTCCCTCGGTGTCCCCGGCCACAACAAGGGAGTAATTGAGTGTGTGATGGGAGCCCCACGCGTGAGCGGGCACTGCCGAGGCTAGCCTGCTCTCAGGGCTCAAAGCCACTGGGGGAGTCACAGTCACTCCGCGCTGCCTACTCAGTAGGCCCTGCCGGCAGGGCAACGGTCTTTCCGCTTTGCCCCGCCACTCGTGCGGGGACGTATCGTACCGGCTATTCGGAGCGCAATATCTACCCGCTGAGGAGGAACAATGCCACTCTGGAGCCGCCCCGCCCCACCGCCCGCAGCAGAAGCTCGGATCGGCCCCCCAAGGACTGCCAGACTGCTAGACGACTCTCGTTGTCGGTCGTGACGGCTTCTCCAATCGCGCTAAAGACGCGGGATCTTTCGCACTGGCCTCTTGAAGCTGACAGTGCCGAGCTCTCGGTTCCAGCGTTCCAGCTCCGGACCCCCTTTTGTTATTTTTCTTTCGTGGTTGGCGGCACTGCCTCTCCCATTGCACACAGGATGACCTTTTCTTGCCTCACGGCTGCAGCCGGGGCTGCCATCCCGGCGACTTGTTTTCGAGAGTGGAGTCCCGTGTCGCTGTCACTGACTAACGACCCGCTAACGGCCCGGCCCGCCTTTTGGCCGCCCTTTGGCTGCTGTTGGGCCGCGCCGCCTCGCCGCCGCCCCGTTTCCGTTCGCTCCGCCTCCGTCTCGCCGCCCTGGCCTCGCTGGCCTCGCTGGCCGCCGAGTGCCAAGGCCGACCGACGGCCAACTTTGCGCCCTCATAAGGCGACCTCCTCGCGGCCCGCCACCCGCGCCACGCCGCGCGGCTGACAGGCACGGAAACAAACCGACCGGCCTGCCTGTTTGCCGGAACGACCCGTCGTTCATCGGTCGTCGCGAGGGCGTAAACGTCTGTCTGTCTGTCTGTCTGTCTGTCATGCTGTCTGTCTGCTTCTTGATTGTTTGTGTTTCTGTTTGTTTACATGTAAGGTGTGCTTTCACGGTGTGGCGTGGGCCCCCCGCACACACACTTGTCACTCGAGACTCGCCCGACACGCCGGGCACCCTATATCCTATCGAGTCGGCGCGTCCCGCCGATTGGCCACTCGGCCGCACCGTGTGGATTCCCCCTTGACACACATGCAGGCCCGTCTGCCGCCAACCCCCATTCTCGCGCCCTGCTGGGTGCCGTCGCTGCCTGCCTCGTACGCCAGAGTGACGCGAACACCGCGCGGCTCAAGGCGCAATCAAGGCGCTGTCGCCGCACTGCAGCGTGCAGGCTGCAGTAGCGGGCTGGCGTCGGTATGCGGCGCCGACGGCAACAGGCTGGCCAGACTGGCCAACTACAGCAGGGACGCCACTCAAGGCCGCGCCAGCCGCCATCACTCAACGTCACTGCCGCCTAGTGCGCCTTGCCGGCAAGAGCGCCCCAGCAGGCTGCCCCTTGACAAGTTCCAGGGAGGGGCTCTGACGAGCTGCATTCCGCGAGGGAGTGCGTGACACTGTGCGACAGCGACGCGTCGCGACGGCCGGCATACTGCCTCGGCAAGCTGCCGACACTGCGTGAAATCGCGTTCGAATGTTGTCCTGTCATCACACTTTGCCTCGCCCTGCGCTTCTGCGGCTTTTTGGCGCTGGCACACTGGTGGCACACGGGCCGAATCGTGTGGCCTGTGCCGAGGCGCGTGTTGTGTGTGTGTATGTGTGGGCGCGGACGTGTTTGCCTGCCATTCAAAGTTGAAGGTCAAACTGGGAGGCAAAATGCACCCGTTGTCTGATGCCATTCCAGGAAAAAGTTCATAATGAAACCCTCGGAGGACCCATAAATTAAACGTGCTTTATTTACCCTCAACAAGCCCACAGCCTGCAGAGCGGGGTCGGGGCCGGTCGGGGCGCAGGGGCGGGGAGCGGCGACCCGACCGCACAGCGCCGCACAGCGCATAGCACCCCCTGGGCCGCGTCGACTCTGCAAAGACGCGCAGGGGCTTCATTTTACTCGCATGGTGCGCCTCTCGCGTGTGACGATCGTTGCGAGTTCCGCGGTACTAGATCGGCACCCCTGTCTCTGGCCGACAAGGCTCCCAGGTTGCAGCCTCTCGGGGTGCCGCCCCTCGGCAGAGCTCGGCAGAGCTCGGCAGTGCTTGGCGGGCCGCCAAAGCCGCAGCCAACAGGACGCACCGACTGCAGCGGCGGGCGAGGCGAGGCTCTTGGAACGGTGGACCAGGGTGGGTGGACCACTTTGGCGGCACCGCGACCTTTAAAGTTGCCGGCGGAAGTGAATGTCGGTGACTGTCTGCAGAGCGGAGGCGGGCACAGGACGCAGGGCGCCGTGCCGCTGTTGTGCACTTGCAAAGGTGGGACGCAGCGCAATACCACACGCCGGTACTCCCGGCTGCCTGGCTCCCAAGGCGGACGGTGAGTGAGATTGGGGACGCGCGGTCTCCTTCTCTCCCTCTTTCCCTCCGCCAGTGCGTCCTCTCTCGATTTGCTGCACCGCTGCGGCGGATGAAATAACTCGCAGGGAGGCTTGCCGCCGGCTTGGCGCAGCCAGGCAATACGTTGGGCTGGCGCACACAGGGAAGGGGAAAACAGACTGACAGACAGAATTCGCGGAAAACGAACCACCCAAACAGACCGGATGGACGAACGAGGCAGACGGGGAGGTATGCAGATGATCTGCTGGGGTCCCGAGTGTTTTCAGGGGCGCGCATCGCGGCCACATCACCGAGGTTTTCTCTCGGGGTTAGTTCAGCGCACCTCAAGGTCAGTCGTAGTGCGGACAAAGGGCGCCATGCAAGTGCGCGTTCTATCAGCCGCAAAACAAACACACACACACACACACACACACACACACACACACACACACACACACACACACACACACACACACACACACTCAAGCGCGCACCCTGGGGCGCTCCGTAGTGATACAAAAGCAAATTAATAATGCCCGGGGGAAGCGCGACTTGTTTTTTCTGCGTGGCGGCGGCGGTCGAGGTCGCGGACGGTCGTGGAGGCCGCAGCCCGGCCCGGGCTTGGTTCGATTATCAGTGTGGACTCACCGCCAGCCCCTGCTGGCCAAAGGCTGTCCGGTGCACCGTCACTGTGCGTTCCGGAGGCAAAGGGTTTTCATTTCCCGACGTGGCCGTCAAGCCACCGAGACGGGAGCAGTTAGAGACGTTGCCAAACACTCGCACCCTTCTCGAGTTTTTTTCTTTCAGAGTGTCCGGGAAGCCGAAGTGATGCGTCGAAAAAAGCGGCAGTGGCAGAGACGCCGGGAGCTCCCTTCGCGGATCACAGTGCAGTTGATCTCATTTGTCTCGAGTTTGAAAACGATCTTTCCGAAGTAGCGGTCGGGATGGAAAAGAGGCGGTTGGCGGGGCTTGTTGTCGAGGGTCAGTCCAGAGGCTCTTTGATGTTCCGCAGCGTTTTCCAAGACAAACCTAACACGCCTGAACCTCGGCCCGGACTCCAAAGTCACCGCCAACTTAACCTATGAGGCGCCCAGCCCCGCGGCGCCGCGGCCACGCTCCCCGAACCGTGAAACACTCCAATATCGGTGGCTTTACGGAACTCGCATTACATTCGTGACACACACACACACACACACACACACATGCACTCACAAACACACACGCACACACGCGCACACACACACATCCGGAGTATAAAGTTGAGCGCCGGAGCGTTAGCGCGCCTTGTAGCCCAATGCCAGGTAGCTCGGCTCTAACGGCCAAAGTTCCAGTTCGCGTGCCCCAAAAGTTGAGCACGATAATGTAGACAAATGAAGGAAAGACAAAAAAAGAAACACTTACGTAAAGAAAAGGGAATGTAACTCTTAAACACAACAAACAACAGAGCTGGAGGTGGGGTCCGGCGACAGTCGGGCCAGTGCTATCGCTCGCCCAACGGCGCAGCAGGAAGTGCGGCGCAGCCTCTGCATCTCGTTAGGGCATGCGGCGCACCGCTTGCAACATGCTTTAAACGGCCGCACCGCACGCGAGCGCGCTTGAAAAATGGCAGCGCACGCGACCGCACGCGTCACAGACATATATACACACACACACACCGACACGTGCATGCACACACACATTTATCTGGCTGGTTTCAATTAGGGTAAACATTGGCCAAGTGCGCACGCGAACGGACGGACCGTCCAGTCCAGCCCAAGTTGGCGGTCATACAGTAATTTAATTCTCGCATTACTGCCGGCAGGATGGTGGTTATTCATCGCCATCGTGCGCCTGGGCACGGCGCAGCTCATTGCGGCCCGATTAATCACTGCACCTGGGCGGACTCCCTTCGACAAAGGGACGCTGCCTGCCACCAGTGGCGTGGCGGTGCCGGCGCGGAGCACTTCCATAATTGCCATGGGGGCGTTGGGACCGTCGCCTCGGGCAGGTGGCTTCAGTGGTTCGCTGTCCAAGTGTCCCTAGCTTCGCTGCACGAGAAGCTGTCATAGAATTTCACACACGGGGACTGACTCATTGTGCCCTTCAATTAACACTCACCCCTCCAGCACAGTAGCAGGTGTCGGGCCGGCAGTCCGGGGACAGCGTCGGCGTGCTGTTGAGCGAATCTCCCAGGTTTAGGTACTCCTTCTCGGCGTCGGTGAGGTTCAGGCTGTTGAGCACACTGATGATGTAGCGATGGCTGAGCGTGTACTCGGTGATCTTGCGCTGCATGGAGACGACGTCGTCGTGCGGTGCCATGGTGGTGGCCACCGTCGAGGCCCCCGCCAGCACCGTCTGCAGCATGGCTCAAGCGCGGGGTGGTGGGGACTAACCGCCGGTGGCGCCGGAGGGCTCTCCAGGGCGGCGCGCGCCCCTCTGCCGCGCCATGCCGGCCATGCCGCCTCGGCCCTGGAACATGCCAAGAATGCATTGAAGACGGTGCTCAAGCAGCAGGAGCAGTGATGCACGGCGCCGGCTGATTGTATCAGACTGCCGTTGAGCTGGGTCGCGCTACCCACATCACGTCGTCACGTCCGCCCCCATTTGCTCTGCAGAGCCGTGCAGAGCACCGCAGTGGGCTCCATTTTTCATACCGCTTTGTCGGCCCTCGGTCCCTTGGGGAGGCTGGGGCTGTAAACCAGTGTAAACGCGCTGCCCGCGATCTTCCCGTCGACACCGCGCACTAGGCCCTACGCACCGCGTGCTGGGCGAACAGGACACCGCACCCCGCAAACAAGCAGCGGGCTTCCAAGGTCGACCCAAGGTCGCCGACAAATCGCAGTAATGAGATTCATGGGCCATGCTTGTGTAAATGTGAAAGTGTGTGTCTATTTAATAGTACATCGCCACAAGCGACGCACAAGCAAATTCGTTGCCTGTTAATTTCTTTACTTCTCTAGGGCAGAGGCCAGGTAAGCATTGGGTATCAGAGAGAGAGAGAGAGAGAGAGAGAGAGAGAGAGAGAGAGAGAGAGAGAGAGAGAGAGAGAGAGAGAGAGAGAGAGAGAGAGAGAGAGAGAGAGAGAGAGAGAGAGAGAGAGAGAAGGGAGCAGGCGGGTCTATTTTGCCTTTCTGGGCGTCAGGTTCCCACACCGATAACATTGATGACAGCCAATATCTCACCTCTCTGCGCACTAGGCCGATACGAGCGGAGTGAGCAGGGGCACTATCAAGGTGATCCGAGGGGGGTTGGTGGAAAGAGGGGTAAGTGAAATTTAAGGACCGCCCTACGCCGCACGGCTTTCCAACTTTAATTGTTGCCGGGAACGAGTTTGAGTGCGGCCGGAGCCCTGTTGCGTTCACCAGCCCCGCGGCCTGATTCAGAATTAAATTGTCGCGTTGTGACGTCAGTCCACTCCCGAGGCCGTGGAGGGGTAATGTGACAGCCGTCTGGCAAAGGGGTGGGGGAATTCCATTGTGTGTTGGGGATCAAGACTGATGGCCAAATTTGACCATGCTTCGTAGATCTGGAAGGATGCGTCTCGCAACAAGTGCTGCAGCTGTAGAACGAAATTGCTTTAACGTTAACACGGGACTGTGTTTGAGGCTCAAATGGACACCGTCGACCAACGCAAGGAAGGAGTTCCCAAAGAGCAACACTTTCCTCGAAAATATATAAATATTCTATTTTCTTCCCAATCTCAACAAGGCCCAGTGGCGATTTGGGAGAATCCAATGTCGGCTTTGCATAATTTGACCTCCTGAATACAGCCATGCTCGGCGTCCTGTAAGGTTCGATGCTCGAGGCTCAGCCTAAGCAAGGGTAACATGGGACGGATACCTCCCTAGTATTCAGGCTTCCGACCAAGCCGCTGCGAAACTTCACCGAGCTTTCACCATAATTATTCCCCGGAGCTGGTGGTTGATCTTCCTCGTTCTTCTGAAACTATCGACACGAGCCCGGGGCGCTTGTTTTTGCGCTAAGCCCCGATGTGTCCTTGCCAGTCCCTGACACAAGGCCACAAGAGCAGGACGGCGTGTTGCTGGCACCCCCTGCCGACGCACCATCACACCTTCTGACTGCGCGAACCACGTCACCGTGGCCGTCAAGGCCACCGAGGAGGAAGAGTGACTTAACCCTATTTGCCCTGCTTCCCTGCCACCCTGCCTCTGCAAACAAAAGCAGCAGCTACTCATCGACTAGGTCCCTGACGCCCCTTCCCCCGTTCGTCAACACGCGCGGGGCACACATCGCACTGCGCATCCTACTTGACCCACTGGAACGGCCTTGCCCGGCCTTGCCGCACATTCCTCGAACACCGCAAAGCTGGAGCATCTCGGCCAGCTGCATCTTTTCCTTTCTCGCTGTCATGGCGCATTCCGTCGGGGTTTCTCAGAAAGACGCAGAAGGATTCTTGCAGGATTTCCTCGTGGGTTTTAATCCGACACACACGCGGTAGAACCCAGCCAACCAGCTGCGAGCCGTCGTTGGTAAGTAGCTTTCAAAACAGCGTTCTCCGCGCGCAGCACCGTTTGTTTGCTCGCCGTATGAATCTACCTGGCTGAGCCCCTACTGTGATGGGTAAACACGTGCCTCTGCAAATGTCGAGTGAACCCCAACAGGAAAGACTGTCCGTCATACAGAGCGCACCACTGGCCCGACCTTTCACCGCCATCATGCGCAGCAATTGACTTTTTTTGCAGCACAATGCACTTTATGGCCACCGTATTTTCCGCGGTCACCTGTGTACATGCGTCTGTGTGTGGCCATGTGTCTGCGTGTGGGTATCTCTGTGGGAATCGCAGGGGCTTTCATTTGCGATTCATTTGTACGTGCCTCCCTTTTGCCCCGCGGGCCGCTCGGGATGGACGTTCTACATGCGCGTGTAGTGGATTGCCCTTGTTTGTGGCCCACGGGCTGGCGCCAGGCCACCACGGCAAGAAGCAGCAGCAGGCACTGTTCTTAGTCCTGGACCGCCGCCCGGCCACGCCGCCCGCGGAGTTTGGGATAGGCCGCACGCTGCACGGTGGTGCCTCAAGTTGCCTATCAGCAGGGGCCCCGCTCACCCCGCTCGCCCCACTCGCCTCACTCGCCCCGCTGCGTTACAGCGTTTCTCGTTTTTCCTAGTTAATTACTGCCTTGGAAGGGAGTGCGGCCCTGTAGCTGGGCTTGGCACGGCCGGGCGTTGGCTCGGCCGACGCAACGGGTGCCGCTTCCCACGCGTCAGATCATCCCTACACATTTTATCGACCAACATGACGGCATGGCCACGACCCACATTCATTCAGCACGCTTGTTCTTCTGTAGCACGTAACGTGGGTTTACGCAAGTCTCAACTACTGTTCCCCGAGGTTTTCCGCACTCGCGTTTGCGAAAAACAATTTATAAAGAATAATTTAAAATCCACAGAGACGCCACTAGCTATAATCCCTCCTCGCGCTGCCCACACACTGGCGCCCAGTTTGCGCCTGTCAAGAAGTCCAGAGTAGTGCCGGCACAGCACCACCATTAATAAGGCAGCCGCACTCTGCGCAGGCCGGACTGCCCCGCACCACAGGGCACCGCAGAGAGGCGTCCGAGAATGCCGAGGCATCGCAGCCCCGGTCGCAGTGCGGAAAACACGTGGGGAGCGAAAAGAAAAGAAAATCCCGAGAAGGCTAAATGTATGCGGAGGAGTGGTGGGATTGAGGGTCTGGGAGCAGAACACGGAGCAGGGGACCGAGGAGCTGGCGGCCTTATTAAGAACCTCAACCTGTGCAAGGGGCACCATTAGACCAAGACAAACAATGCGGTGGGTCCCGCCTCCTCCGACTGGCTCCGAATTGGATGTTGCACTTGCAGGCCTGGCCTCGGGGCTGGCGCAGTCTAGGCGACCCGCACACCAAGGCGCCTAGGCCATGAGGAAAAGTTTGTCCTCTCTAGATCCAACGCTGTAGCTTTATTAGCCTAGGAGTAAACGCCCCCTCTGCAAAGAGGGACAAGATGACGCACTCGACGAGGGACCGGGCGAACTGGGCCACAACACGGGATTAGTGCCTTCCCCAGCCGCAAAGTACAACGCAGTTGGAAAAGTTGTTGACTTTGCGTAATCGGCGTCCCCATCATCTCATTGCGTCGCCCCCCAGACTGCAAAGAAAACACCTCGCCGGGGACGGAACAACCCCCGTCCAAGGCAGTGCTCCGGGGCGAGCAGCTCGGAGCAGCCACAGGAAAGACTCTGTCTTTCTCGCGCGCCCTTGAGTGCGACAGACAGCGCGACGAATCGATCCACCGGGATCTCTCAGCACGCCCCGGGCCCCGCCACCGGCATCTGGAAATTACTCCTCCCGGCGATAAGCCGACAACAGCATCCTGGCCGGGCCGGATGGGGCCATCCGAACACGCCCTCCTGGCTGCGTGCCCCGGCCTTACAGGGCCCTAGCCCTGCGCTGACTCGGCCGCCCCAGCCAATGGTGCGCTGGTCAAGCGGCCGACGCCGTTTTTACAGCGAGGGCAACCAGGAAAACCCGCAGTGTTTGTCTCCGTTCGCAATGCTGGCGGTCCCCTGGCAGGGCGGGGCGGAGCCGGCAGATGCCGAAGCACGCACTAATTCAGAGCGCGTAGCCCTGCCTCGCCCTGCCGTTGCCTTCCAGATGAATATAAATGGCACGGATCTAGCGAGTCGTGTCGGGGGTGCGAGGCGGGCGACCCAAAGGCGGGGCGGGGTGGCGCGGTCCCGAAGTCCGGGCTTGGGGGTGGTGCCACCCCGCCTCTGCCACTTGGGGCTTACCTCCTCGCGCGTCCTGCCAGCCTGGTGGCAACCCCGCGCCGCGCTAGAGGGGGCCCAGCGCAGCCCGGCAGGGCCCGGCCCCTCGAGGAGAAAGAGACTGCTCCCCCTTCCCGCTTTCGTGTTCCACGGCGCCACTCTTTGGCGGCTTGGGCTGCCGCCTCGGCGGTATTTCACGCCTGCATTAAGGAGCGGACTTCTAAACACGCCAAACAGGAGCAGCGCGGAGCAGCGTAAGCCCACGCCACCGCTAAAAGGGTTGACACTGTGATTGTGTGCAGGGGTACCGGGCGACCCTTTCAGGTACTACGTACCCTCTTCGTATGCTGGAGCGCTGCCAGTGGACCGCGAAAGTAAACAGCAGGTTTAATTCGTTTTACCGCAACAGTCCTTTCTGGCTGCCCTCGGCGGAATGAATCGCTCTGTTCCAAAGGACCGCACACAATACCCAGTACCCTGCCCAATTACGAACAGGCTGTGCAGGCTCCCCACGTCTTTGACGGCATCGCCCTCCCTCGCGGTCCACCACTCGGACACACCATGGACACTCTATTTTCTTTCCCCCTCTCGAAGCAGCGCTGGCGCGCCGCCGCGGCCGGGCAGTCCAGACCACTCCAGCAACTCCCCGAGCTTCTGCCGCGCAATCAAGTTTGACTTTCCCGCTCCGCAAGTTTCTTCGGGCCGCAAATAAATATCCAGCCGG